GGCGCTCGGGCCGCCGAACAACAAGGGTGGCTGGACTCACCAGTGCGTGACCGACGCCATCACGGCCGTCATCAACGTCATCACTGCGCGCGATGAGGGCGGCGTCAAGGGCTTCCTCAAGCGCGTCTACCGCGGGCCGGACAAGGGCAAACCCAAGCCGCTCACGCACTCAGACTGCGAGGACCTCAAGTCCGGCTTCCGCGAGGCGCTCAAGCCCGTCTTTGGCATCACCTGCGAGTCCGGCTACTGGAAGCGGCACCAGGCCTTCTCCGCGATGCACACAAAGGCGGTGGAGGCGGTCAACACGCAGGCGGTCGAGGACGCCAAGCACAAGCTCACGTCCATGGTCGGCGCGTCGTCGATGACCGTCACCAAGTTCAAGGTGGCCGCCGCCCCGCCACCCCCCTCTCACTCACCCCTTCAACCCTCCCCCGCGCGGTCGCGGTGTGTGCGCGCGGTGTGTGCCACGACCACCATGTCTGCTGCCACGTGATGTAGACGGCCCCCCACCCATGCGACAGATGGTGCTGCGGCGCCTCTGGGAGAAGGCCGACGACGGCTTCCTGCAAAAGCAGGATGTCTACAAGTACTTCGTGTTTGGCAACCACACGCTGCACGCGCTCCTCGGCGGGCGCTCGCACATGGGCTCCGCGACGATGGGCGACATGATGCCCCGGCAGCACGACGGTGACGGCTCGAAGCCGCACTTCTCGTACCCACGACCGGCACGCGTTCATTGCGTGCAGTGGTCTTCCCACTTGAAGGGCCAGCAGACCCAGTCGCAGGACGGGACCCTCGCCGGCATGCTCCACCGCGACAAGGACCTCGCCTTCCTCGTCACCGTCGGGCTGCAGCTCATCTACCTTCACGGCCGCTGGCGCGAGAACCACGGCTTCTGCAAGATGGCCTGGGCGCCCACGCTCGACAAGTACCACGACGGCACACACAAGGACGGCGGCGAGGGCCGCCACCGTCCGATGTGAGACCCCCCCCCCCCCCCCTCCCATCCTCTGCCGGCGCCCGCGCCCGCGTCCACTCCTTGGTTCGGTCGTGCAGGTGGTGTACCCTTATCGACACGCCAAGCAACTACCATCGCGCGCGGCCCGCGTCGGAGCTCGGCGAGCACTTGGTCAACGTCGCAAAAGAGATCGACATCGACTTTGGGATGCACGGCGTGGGCAACTGTGTGTTCGCACGCAACTTCGTCAGCGGCCTCGCCTCTTCTGCGAACGGGGTGACGGACCAGCAGGCGAACCTCGCGTCCAAGCACGCGATCTCCGGCGACAAGCAGTCCGCAGCTTACCTCGGCACCCCAACCCCGTCCCGCTCCCGCACCCCTCCATCGTCATCAACCCCCCCCCCACCCCCCCCCCCCCCCCCACCCACCCACCCACCCACCCTCTCAGGCGGCCTCTCGAGCGACCAGATGTTCATCTCCGGCGGGTTCAAGCCGGGGCAGGAGCTCGAGATGTGCCCGGCGTGGCATCTCGTTGACGAGCCGTACAACGGGCCGGAGAAGGACAAGATGCTCCGCACGATCTCTCGCCTGATGGACGACGACTGGGCGACGCAGCAGGCTCTGGCGCTCAAGCTGACGGACAAGAGCACCGACCGCGACACGGACGAGTACGGCCACCGTCAGATCTACGAGTACTGCATCCGCTGCATCGGGGCGGCGGTGGTCGCGGTCGGCGCTCGAGGGCTCGGCGATGACGCCACCATAAAGCCGGACGACACCCCTCTGATTGACCTGCCGGACGGGTTCGGCGGCGCCGTCTTCCGGGCGATGTTTCTGCCCATTAAGGACGAGGTGCTGCGCATCCAGCGCGATGAGACGATCCCCACGGAGGAGGCGGAGATCCTCCTCGGCCCGGACGCGCTTCTCGCCCAGAAGGTTCTCTGTGAGCGCGGCTACCAGCACGTGCAGCACGAGGAGACGCGCTCGCAGCAGGCCGCGCAGGCCGCACAAACCCGCGCCGCGCTCGCCCCGATTGCCGACGCGCTGCAGCAGCAGCAGGGCGCGCTGCAGCGGCTGCTGCCGTCGGACGAGCTGCCCTCGCTCTCGCCCGACAGCGAGATTCACGACCGGGGACTCCTCGTGGACGCGGACTTTGCTCGAGCGGCCGGCGTGACGCACGACCCGAGCGAGCCGCTATCCGTAGTGATCAGCTCGCTCGGCTCGGCGCAGCCACCCACCTTGCGCGACACGCCTGGCATGCAGCTCGGCTCCGCCTACGGGCAGAGCCGTGCCGGCGCTGCCGCTCTCGCTGACGCTTCGACCTCCTTATCCCTCTCCGCCAGTCCCGCTCCCGCTCTCTCCACGCCTGCCTCGGCGACGCCCTCGCCCCACGGCTTCGCCGCATCCCCGTCCGCTGCCGAGCAGCCGATCGCCGAGTCCGCCGGTTTCCCCGTCATCCTCCGTCCTGCTTCGGTGCCGTCGCTGGGCGGACCGTCGGGGACGCAGCTGCAGCCCACGCCGCCCGGCCAGGAGGTCTTCTCTCTCGACGCGGGCTTTCCCACCCTCGTCGTCAACTACGTCGGCGCTAAAGAGCGACTCGAGGAGTGCTGCGCCGTGATCCTTGAGGCCAAGGGGATGGCGCTGGCGCGCGGCCACGGCTCGGCGCCAGCGTGGCGGAGCGATTTGGTTCCAACACCGGCGGCAGACGCGTCCGAGGAGGAGAAGAAGGATGCGGCGAAGGCGAAGAAAGCCTTCAACACCAAGGTGTCCACCTTCAAGCTGCTACTCGACGCGATTGTCCTCCACTCGGGCGCGCTGAAGCCAGGCGGCGTCGACTACCCGTCCATCACCCGCTGCATCCGCTCCCTCTCCGGCACGCGGGGCGCAAAGGAGTGGGGGGCGCAGGTGCGCAAAAGCTACGAGAACGGCACGGATGGGTACGGCGAGAAGTCCGCTGCGCGCGCTGCATATGAGGGTGTGCGGGGAGGGTCCGAGGAGGAGAGGCTAGCTGCGGCTCACTCCTTCCGCAAGGCGGTGCTGGATGCGCTCGACAAGGAGCCGTCGCTGTCGTCATTCGCAGACGCGGGCGGCGCGCCGGGCGCCGCGTCTTCATCACTGACGCCGCTCAAGCGTGGGCGAGATGAGTCGGTGCTGGCGCGGTTCCTCGCCGTTGATCCCGGCGCGGGCGAGCGCTCCGCCACGGGAGTGGCTGACTTCACCTTCGCCGACGGCCTCTGCTCCTCCATCCGCGCCACCTCCTTCATGCCGCGCGGGACGCACGTCCAGAAGAAGAAGCGGGTGGCGACGGAGATTTCCACACTGCTCGACGCCGTCAAGCCGGTCTGCGTCTTCCTGGAGGAGTACTTTCCCGTCGTGCGTGCGGGTAAACTGATCACGACCTACCAGCAGATGGAGTTGAACTACGCGCTTCGCTTTGCCGTCGTGGAGGCGTGCGAGGAGAGGGGCGTGCCGTGCTACATGGTGCACTACCCCCACTGGCCCACCGCCCCCCAACCCTCCGTCTCACTCTCGTCACAGTCACCCCACCCCTCCCCCCGCCAGGTGAACGCGTCGACGTGGCTTTCGCACATCGGCGTGAGCTACCCCAGTGGTGCTAAAGACGAGGAGAAGAAGAAGTTGGTACTTGTCGGCGCGGAGCCGAAGGGGGGAGGGGAGAGGGGGGGGCTGCTATCGGCGCTCGGCCTGTCGCACGACTCCATCTCGTTCGACATGAAGCGACACGATGCAGCCGACGCCGTCGCGATCGGGCTGGCCGGGCTGGCTGGCAAGCGAGACGGCTACAAGAAGGAGACGCACCTCGCCACGATCAAGCCCCGCCTGCCTGAGGGAAGCTCTGCGCCGCCGCGTCTCGGCTCCCCCTCACAACTCGAATTTGTCGAGCTCTCAAAGCTCTAGAGTGTGTCCGGTACCCCCCCCCCCCTATGACCATGTCGGTCGAACCCACCCCGGGCCGCGAATTTGGCAAGTGTATTGAAAACGACTTTTTGATGATGAAATACATACATGCAGTGTAGCATCTGCCGCTACTGTACGCGCGGCGCGCATCCCCCTCTCTCGCCCTCCACGCAACGCAAAATGCCTCCCCGTCGGCCGTCACGCGAGCAAGCGGGCGACTGTGGGCGACGGAGCCGCTGCGCCGTCGGGGCGACGGCGGCGGCGGCGATGGCGGCAGCGGGCCGGGCGGCTGCGGCGGCGGTGGCGGTGGTAAGGGCGGCGGCAGCGCGGGCGGGGCAGCGCGGGCGGCGGCGGCGGAGGCGGTGGGGGTGGCGGGTGACGGTGGAGGCGGCGAGGGAGGCGGCGGGCTCGGAGGCGGCGGCGAGGGTTGCGGCGGCAAGGGCGGCGGCGGCAAGGGCGGCGGCGGCGAGGGCGGCGGCGGCGGCGAGGGGGGAGGCGGCAGGCTCGGATGCGTGGCGAGGGCGACGGCGGCGAGGAGGCGGCGGTGACGCGGAGGCGGACTGGGCGGCGGCGGCGACGGCGGTGGTGGGCTTGGTGGGGGGCGGGCTGGGGAGGCAAAGCGACAGCGGGGGTGCGACGGCGGAGGAGGCGCCGGCAGAGGGGGCGGTGGCGGGCTCGGTGGCGGCCGGTGGTCGCCACGGCGGTGGCAAAAAAGAATGAGGCCGGCGCGGTGTGATGGCGCGGCCGTTGGGCGCGCCCCGGGTCCCTCTCCGAACAGCGACAGGCAGCGAATTCTGGGGGCTTGGTGACGCGTGCGCTGCGTGGCGATTACTCGGCGAGTTCTGGAGGGCGCGCTGGCGCGGCGCGCAGGCCACTCAGAGGCTGATGTTGAGGTCGGAAGGCTGGCGGGAGAGGCGGCGGGGAGAGTCTGGGGCGACCGGTAGTCGATGTGAGGGTGCGGTGGCAGTCTGGCGAGCGTTGGGAGGCAGGACTGCTCTGACCAGCCAGCGCGGCGACCTGGTGAGCCAAGATCGGTACACCCCCCTGTGCATGAAAATAATCACCCTCCCTGTGCGATCCTTGCTCATTGCAGCCTCAAGGCCGGGCGTGGGGCGGCGCATCACACATGCTCCAGGCCCAGCTCGCGCAGGCTCTGACTACCGGGCCACTTGGAAATGCTTCATCGCAGAGCTCGCCTGGCGGCGGCGCGCTCGGCCTCGAAGACAACCAGGGTGGCCGCCGCAGCACCTCCGCTCGACTCAGAGCTCATCTGTTCTGCTTGCCGCGCCTGTCCCAGCGCGTTGCCCACCTCTTGGTTGTTGTGGCCAACGCGCTGCAGCTCCTCCTCATGATTGCCTTCCTCTCGCTGCTCCTCGCGCGGCTGGACGGGCATTTGAGCTGCGGGTACTCGCTGATTTTCGTGCCCCTGTGGGTCTCCGACGCCATCACCTGTGTGACGGGGCTCTCCGAAACCGCGCGCGTGCTTCGCGCGCCCTCTGACTCGCCCAAGCGCAACGCGCTCATCAACCAAGTCAACCGGCTCAAGGGCTGCGTCTGCGTCGCCGCCTTCAAGGCGCTCGTCGCTTTGCGGCTCGACGGCACGTGGCCGAGCACGCCGGTGTACGTCCTCTGCTCGCCATACTACGCCGCGGCGGTGCTGCGCCTCGCCCTCCACTTCTGCAAGAGGCCGCTCGAGGCCGCGCCGCGAAGGACCGCCTGTGGCAAGCTGCTGCGGCCGCGCCCAGGCTGGCGCCTCCCTACCTCCTCTCCCTCCCAGCCCTCCCTGCCTCCTCCCTGCCTCCTCTCCCTGCCTCCTCCTCCCTGCCTCCTCCCTGCCTCCTCCCTGCCTCCTCCCTGCCCTCCCTGCCCTCCCAGTTCCTGCACGCGAGGGCGCGGTGTGCGCACGAGACGCGTGTGTCGTGAGTGTGTCTCGCCTCTGGCAAACCAGCCCCTCCAGCCTACCCGCGCCCCCGCCCGCACCCCCACCCCTAGGCCTACGAAGCCTAACCCGAACCCTGCGAACCCCACCCCCCCTACCCCCACCCCTCTGGGCAGGCACGCCCTTCAACCCGGTGCACGCGCTCGTCGTCCTGATCGCCCTCCGGATCGACGGCGTCTTCCGCCTCTCCTGGGCCCTCACCTTCCTCCCTCTCTGGGCCGTCTTTGGCGTCCTCGGCCTCGTCGCCGTCGGGGTGGCGCTGCCACGCGCTGCCACTCACACGCGCTGCCGCTCACACGCGCTGCCGCTCACACACGCTGCCGCTCCTCCTCCGAGAGTGTCACTCATTGATCGGCTGGAGCTCATTAGGTCGGGTGCCTCGCCCTCGGGGTGCTCCTCCTGCGAGAGTGTCACTCATTGATCGGCTGCAACTCATTAGGTCGGGTGCCTCGCCCTCGGGGTGCTCCTGCTGCGAGAGCCGTACGAGCGAGGCGAGCGAGAGATGCCGAGACCCAGCCGAGACCCAGCCGAGACCCAGCCCGGCCCTGCCCCTGCCCCCTCCAGGCCAGCGCGCCCTCTTCCTGCTCTGCTTCGTCATCCTCGTCACCATCACGACCTCGGGCTCGCTCTTCCTCGCCGCGCTCACCCGCCGGCTGGACTCGCCGACTTCGCGCGTCACCAACGCCGCCATCATCGTCCCTCTGATCTGCGGGCACAGCGAAGCCGCTCGGCCGCCCCCCCAGCGAGTGTCCACGCCATGTGCAGGGACCCGCCCGTGCCCGCTTGTGGTAGGTACGGCGTGTTGCTCGGCTGCTACCTCACCTTCACGCTGTTGCTGCCGCGGCTGCTGCTGCGCGACCTCGTCGCCGCCGCCGCCACGCAGCAGGAGGAGGAGGAGGAGGAGGAGGACGAGTCGGGCGTGCTCGACTTGGTGACGCAGCAGCTCGGCCCGCCCTTCCTCGTGCGCCACTCGTCCACCCTCTTCAAGCGGATGCACACCTCCGCCATGTTCGAGGCCCTCGTCGGCAAGGGGCTGCAGGGGCTGCACGAGGGCGTGCGGGGCGACGCGGGCGGCGGAGGCGCGGCGGACGCCGCCAAGCCTCCGCCGGGCGGGCCAGAGCAGGCCGGGGCAGAGCAGGCCAAGCCGCGTTTGGTGCGGCTCGACGAGGAGCGAGCGGCCGAGGGGGCGGCCGAGGGGGCGGCCGAGGGGGCGGCGGGGGCGGAGGGCGGCGCGCTGGCGGACCTCGAGGCGGGGGGAGGGGGGGGAGCGGCGGGCGGGAGGGGGAGGGCGGTGCGGCTGGCCGATGTCGAGGTGCAAGGGGTCGCAGCAGGGCGGGCCGAGCCGCGGGGGCTCGCGCGTTGTGCCGCCGCCCTCGGAGGCGGCTCCGGAGGGGGGGAGGGGGGAGGGGCGGAGCGAGCGGCGGGGAGCGACTCGCGCCCCGTCCTCGCCGCCTCCCTCCCCGCCTCCGCCTCCCTCCCCGCCTCGCTGGCCGAGCTCGTGCTCGCCGGCTCGGACGGAGAGGCGGACGTAAGCGACGGCGCAGAGGCGGCGGGGCGCGAGCCGCCCGCCGGCTTGTGGCTTCGCCGCGACGCGACCCTCGAGCGGCGGTGCGCCCCGACCCGCGCCGAGTACGAGCGGCTGCAGGCGGACATTGGGCAGTGGCTCTCGTCGCAGAGGGAGGGGCCGCCCCGAGGCCGCCCCTCCGCCGCCTCGCGCCGCCGCTCGCGCCGCGCCAGCCGCGCCGCGCCCGCAGAACGGCAGCACGCATCCGCCGCCGACACGAGCGACGTGCCGGCCGACATCCGCCGCAAGCTGCGCCGCCTCGCCGCCCTCAAGCAGGAGCTCAAGCAGGAGCTCGCCGCAGTGGCGTGCGCCCGCCCGCGCCACGCCGCTGCCGCCACCGCGCCGCCTCTGCGCCGCGCCGCCTCGGAGGGCGCCGCCGCCGGTACACCTTGCGCCGCCGCCGCCGCCGCCGCCGCGGCGACGAGCGCTCGCTCGGGCGTGTCCGAGCCGACTTGTGCCGGCGACGGCGCTGACGCGGTGACGCTTGCGGCGATGGCGGTGGGGGCGCAGCTCGCGGCGCACGGGCGCGCGGCGGTTGTGTCGCAGGCGAGCACGCGGTGCAGCTCACCCCCACGTTGGAGCACGCCCTCGAGGCAGCGGCGCGGCAACGGCAGCGACATCGGCAGTGGCGACCCAGACAGCGATTACGGCAGCAGCGGCAGCGGCGGCGGCGGCGACGGAAGCAGTTTCAGCCCGCCAGACAGCGCCGACGGCAGCGACACGCCCGACGCCGTGGAGGACCGCTGCTGGATCTGCTACGAGGGGCCGCGAGACGCCGTGCTGCTCGAGTGCGCCCAGCGAGACCCCGCCGCAGTTCCCTTCGCTCCCACCGCCCAATCGTCTCCCGGCTCGCCCCGCCCCGTCGATGCCGGCTGCGGCTCATGGCGCGTCTCTGAGGCGCGTGCCCGATCGGCCTGCGCAGGTGTGGCCATGGAGGCATCTGCGTCGCGTGCGCGCGCCGAGTCTTCAAGAAGAGGGGGCGGCTGTGCCCGATGTGCCGACAGCCGGTGTCGCAGATGGTGCAGCTCCAGCTGGGCGACGGCCACGGGAGTGAGCTCGAGATGCCGCGCGGGTCCATCGTCCCCGTGCGACCAGCTGAGCTGCCTGAGAATTGGCTGAACGGGTGAGCCGTCAAGGTCGTTCTGTATCCCCCCCCCCCCTTGCGCCTTGCGCCTTGGTAGGGCAGCCACATTTGCGACTTGGAGCATGTGCCGTACTGACTGTCGAGAGAACACAGAGGTTATTATTGGAGTGGGGGTGTGTGCGCCCCTGGCCCTGAGCTGCTGTCTCGAGCCGCGTGCGAGCCATCCACACCTTCGAGAGCACATGCACAGTGTATGCATGTATGTGATGTACGATATGATGGGCATGCACACACACACTCACACATACACGACACTCGCTCCCTCGAGATCTGGACACCGCCGCTGGAGGTGCGCGTCCCGGATGATCCGATCTCTCTCTCTCTCTCCGCTCCGCGGACCGAGACTCGAACTCCGCCCCCCCCCCCCCCCCCCAAGTATTTAAAACCTCCCCCCCGAGTCTCTCTCTCGGCACCCCCGCACGGACAACATGTTCTTGAGCCCCCCCCCTGGCCCCTCCACACGGACTCTCAAATAGATCGCGGCCTCTCCAAGCAGTTGCAGTGTTACCACACCGCTAGTCCAGTCTCTGGCGATGCGAATACGGCTCCCGGAGCTGTGCGCTCAGCCACAGCCACAGCCGACGCCGCTAGTCATAGCGGCGAAAGGAGGCGCCGGTGCGGCAGAGGGGGCAGGACGGCGCCTTGTCCTCGCCTCGGCTCTCGACTGCCCAGCGACTCCAGCAGGCAGAGTGCAGCGTCCCCCGGCAGGTGGGGCAGGTCCAGTGGAGCTGGCGTGCACCAAGCGGCTCGTAGCACACCGCGCACTCCTCGCGGGGGTCGGGCGCGCAGGGGCACGACGAGCGCCACTCACTCGGCGACGGGGACGGCAGGCCACCGCCACCCCTGCGCGCGACGCCCTGCGGCTCTGGCGGGGCGGGCGGTCCGTCCTTTGCTGCGGGCTGCGGCGCCGGCCAGCCCAACGCGGCCGCTCTCGCCCAGCCCGCCCACCTCGCCGCTGTCCTCGGCGTCCGGGTGGCCTCCTCGTCGGCGCTCTCCCACTGCAGGTCCTGCTCAATCCCGCTCACGAGAGAGTCGGCCTCTGGGCAGACGATCCGCGTGCGGTGGAGCGCAGCCCAAAGGCGGCAGCTGGAACAGGTGGCGTCGCAGATGGGAAGCCTTCGCGCGTCCGCGTCGTACTCGTCCTCCGCCTTGTTGCAGTTATACCGGTGCGCCTCGACCCGGCGGAGGGCGACTTTTGACTCTGTGCACAGAGGCACGGTGCAGCCTGCGTGGTCCGTGCAGTGGAACGCGTGCAGGAGGGCGGCGGCGTTGATGCGTGGAGGGCGTGTGGAGGCTTCCGGGAGATGAAGGCTGCACGCCGCATCGGCCATGCTCAAAAACCGGGTTGGTCGGCGGTCGGCTGCCCGCCAGCTTCTCGATGGTGTCACGCGGCGTGCAGTCGAATCTTCTTCTGGCGGGTTGTTATTTTTTATTCTTTGCCTCCTGTGTTGTTGTTGTTGTCGTTGTTGTTGTGTGTGTTGTGTGTCTCGCCAATTCTCGCATCGCAGCGACCTTCATGTCACCTTGGTTGTCGCGGCGGTCGTCCCACTCTCGGAGAGTCTTCTTCTTCACTCTCGCCATCCTCTCTCCTTCAGATTTATTACTTCTTTCTTTCTCCACACAAACAAAACGCGTCTCACGTCTCGCGCGCGCGTGAACAGGGCTCCAGGCCCCAAATGACGTGTGAGTGTTAGAGTTGTTTGTTTGGTATTGCTAAAAAATCTCTCTCTCTCTCAGGCCAGCGGCCTACCGCTCGCTAGCCCGACACTCGCTCTCATGGCTAGCCCTACACTCGCTCTCATGGTTGACGACAGAGCACATGATGAATCTAGCACCAAACCTGGCTGGCTGGCTCCTTCTTGGTACTCGATCGCCCAAGAATTCTTCAGGCTGGCCACCCACTTGAAACGCGATTCGGGCGGCCTACTGCTGCTGTGACAGCCGTGACAGCTCTGACAGCGCCTGCTGTGACAGCTCTGACAGCTCTGACAGCGCTCAAAGCTCAGCAGCTGCAATATGGCCGACAAAAACACGCAGCGCAAGGTGCAGCGGAGTGTGGCCGCGCTATGCGCCGGCATCGAAAGCCACGCCGCGCGCAGGGCGGTGCACGTCCTCCACGAGCTGTCTGCGGACCAGGCGGCTGCGGCGTGCATCAAGAGGGCCGGCGGGCAGGTGCGGCTCGAGCGGCTCCTCAAGGCGAGCGAGGTCAACGTGCGCGGTGAGGGTGGTGACCCGCTCTCCACCTTGAACACGGTGCGGCTTCGCGATGCGTGCATGGCGGTCCTCTCTCGCCTCAGCGGCGTGGGGTCCGAGCGGCGTCCCGCGGTCAAGTCGTCCGCATACGGGCGCCCCCCACCGAACGCCCGCCAGCGCGACCGCGCGGCGCAGAAGCCGCGAGGCGCGACGCTCGGCGACTACCTGGAGGTTGCGGTCCAACGGAGCAGCAGCGCGAGCTCCAGCTCCTCCGGCAAGGCCAAGCGTGACACTGGGCAAGACGCTCGGCCGCAGCCACTGGCCGTGATCGAGGCCAGTGCGGCGGAGCGGCCCGGCTCTCCCGCGTCGCGGCGGGCGTCGCGGCGGGCATCACTGGGCTCGCAGATCTCCCCCTCAGCAGAGGCCGCCGCCGCCCGCGCCGAGCAGTACACCTCACGCGTCCGGCGCGCGAGGGCCGAGAACATGTCGAGGCTCCGGGAAGGGATTAAGCGGAGCTCGGTCGGCGTCGCCGTCGCGCCCTGCTAGAGATGAGCTCCGGCAAGTGGGTGGGACCCGTGCGCCATGGCAGGGCCAGGGGCGGCGGGGTATAACCGACCAAGCGTCTCTCGCAGCGGAGACCGCTCAAGGGACAGACCGCTCAACCTCAAGACACAAGATTCAAGAGGGACACATATGAGGATATGAGAAAGTCAGAGATCAGAGTGAGCGACAGGGAGAGCTCGCTTTTCAGACACTCACACACATAACGTTTACACGGTTTCCAACAGCTACTTTACACACACGACACAGTAGATTACGGCTCGTGGTTGTGCGAGTGTATATGGGCCACGATGTCTCAAATACGGCTTTATGGAGGGGTGTGTTTTTTTACTTCTTTCCAGCTCCTGACGCTATCCCTGGCAGCTCTAATGACCAGGGTCGGTAGTGCTGTGGTAGAGGGTGCTCATACTAGCGCAAGAGCTGCCACGCTCGCCCAGACCGTCCCCTTCTGGGGCCGGTTCCGCAGCCCGGGAGAGCCGACAGCGGGGCCGTGCCGCGGGTGCCTACTGCCGAGTGCCACAAACACTGCGCCGTCCCGCCATCACCTACAGGCTGTCTTGTGTGATGGTTGGGATGTCCAAACGCCACCAGCTTGGCTCTTGCGACCTCAAACCCGCGAGCTGTATGGGTGGTCCTGACGTCGACAGACGCCCGAGGACCACGGTGAAGCTGAGCCGGAACGCGTCGACAAGTCTCGTCTGAGCCCGTGGCGGTCGCCGGCTGAGTCTCCGTGCATGGGCCGGTACCTCAGGCGTCACCTCCGCAGCCTCAGGTCTCAAACTCCATCACCTCCGACGGGACGCCTTCGGTGGCACGCTCGGCGGCGAGTTTGTGGCAGCTCCACAGCGAGCGCAGCATCGAGCCTACTCACTCCAGCTGGTTCGGCACACTCGGTGGGGTCCACCGAGTGTGCCGAACGCGCGAGCGGTGCGTCCCGGCAGCGCGCGCAGGCTGCGGAGCGGCAACAAACTCGAGACAGGCTTTTTGAGACATTTTCGACGCTTTTGTCCCACGCCGCACGCTATATTGTGCAACATCCAACAAGCCATACCGGTGTATATATCCTATTATCATTGAATGAGGTACGTACTTTTAGCTTAATGGGAGAAAAGGGAGAGGGGGTTGTGTTCTCTTATCTCTCAGGCCCCTAATGAGGTACGTTCTGTTTCGTGTTTCGAAATGTTCATGAAGATAAATTATCAGGACTCCACAGGGTCGGAGCGTAGTACCCGTACGCGGGTGCGGGGCGCCTGGCCCTGGGGCGAGAGCACAGAGCAGCGTCCGGCTCTGGCGTCTGGGCGGCCACCGGCACGCGCGAGGCAGCGGCACGCCGGGGGGAGGCTCAGGCCTGCAAAGCCCAGAGCCCGCAAGTGCAAGTGAGGAGAGAGAGAAAGAGAGAGTAGTAGTAGGAACTTAGCGGCTGCCTTCAGCGGGCAGGCGCCGCCGCCGCAATCAGCCGCTCGGAGGTCTGCTCTATGCCAAACTTGTCCTTGACGCGGCCAAAGAGGTCCTCGTCGGCGGTGAGCTCCTTCGGCACGGCCAGGGGGCGGGAGAGGTACGTCGTGTTGACCAGGTCCTGCCACGTGATGTTGTGCGAGATGGAGGTGCCTCCCCACGAGCCGCAGCCGAGCGAGAAGGTCTGCCGCAGGCCGTTCCACAGGTTGCCCGAGTTGGAGGCGGCCTGCGGCTGGTTGACGAGCACGCGGCTCGTCTTCGTCTCGAGCGCGAGCCTCAGGATGTGCTCGTCGTTGGTCGAGTAGATGCCGCACGAGTGGCCCTGCCCCTGGTACGCCTGGATGCCGTTGGTGAGGGCGATGGCGGCGTCCATGTCGGGCGCGTGGTAGAGCGCCATCGTCACCGTCATCTTCTCGCCGCTAAAGGGGTGCGCCGGCCCGTACCCGTCCTCGGGCACGATGAAGAAGCGCGCGCCGTCGGGCACCTCGAAGCCCGCGATGCGCGCGATGTTGTCGGCGCTCTGCGCAACCAGCTTCGAGTTGAGGTGGCCGTCCTTCCAGAGGGCGGCCTGCAGCTTGGCCTTCTCCGCGCCGCGCAGCACGACGCCGCCGCGCGCCTGCAGCTTCGCGATCATCGGCTCGTACGTGCTGCCCACCTGCGGGCGGCGCCGGGGACGGGGCCGGGATGAGAGGGTGAGGGGCGGCGGCGGCGGGCGGCGAGCCGGGCGGCCGCGGCGAGGCTGCGCGCCAGCACGACCGAGTTGTCCGACGAGCAGGAGGCGGCGAGGTCGAGCGTCTTGCTCAGCGCGATCTTGTCCGCCGCGTCGTCCAGGTCGGCGCTCTCGTCCACCGTCACCACCGCGTTGCCCGCCCCGACGCCCAGCGCGGGAGTGCCGCTCGAGTAGGCCGCCTTGACCATCGCGCCGCCGCCCGTCGCGAGCACCCGGTCCGCCTGCTGCATGAGGTCGTTGGTCTTGGCGACCGACGGGTTGTCGATGCCGATGACCAGGTCGGCCGGCGCTCCCATCCGCACCAGCGCGCCGCGCATCAGCTCCACGATGAGCGCGTTGGTCTTTTGCGCCCGCGGGTGCGGCGCGATGATGATGGAGTTGCGGCCCTTGACGGCGGCGATGGACTTGATGACCGGGGTGGCCTCCGGGTTGGTCGAGGGCGACAGCGCGCCGATCACTCCGACCGGCTTGGCGATCTTGACCACGCCGCGCTCGGGCAGCTCCTCGATCACGCCGACCGACTTGTCGTCGATGATGTCCATCAGCGCGGCGCGGGTCTTGCGAAAGATCTTGAGGTACTTTCCGTCGTAATTGCCGAGCTGCGTCTCGTCGACGGTGTGCTGCGCGATCCGCTTCGCAACGTCCTCCTGCGCGATGGACCACACCATCGCCGTGATGAGGTCGTCGACCTGCTGCTGGCTGTAGTCTGCGATCTGCGCCTGCGCCGCGCGCGAGCGCGCGACGAGCGCGGCGACCTCCTGCGCGTCCGCCGAGAGCGGCGGCGCAGCGGCGGCGGTGGCCAGCCACCTCGCGCTCGAGCGGGCGGCGAGCGAGCGGGCGGCGCGGGAAGGGAGGGAGAGCATTGGATGGATGTATGCAGAAGGACGCGGCCGCGAGGCCTTGCGGCTACCCTTCGCCGCCAGGGTACCCTCTGCGAGGACCAGAGGCCCCGCCCACCCAGGGTACCCTCTCCGAGGACCCATTGGGTATGGGTGTGAGTGACACACACACACACACACACACACACACACACACACACACACACACACACACACACACACACACACACACACACACACACACACACACACACACATTGGGTATGGGTCCATGGGTCGTCCCCCCGCGGGGCTCTGCTCCAAGAGACCTCGATAGCGCGTGCCTGCCTCTCGCCAGCTCCGCCCTCCGCGACTGTCTCGCCAGCTGAGCTGCGGATGGGCTGCTGCGGCTACATCTTCAACGCCATCGCCGTGGGGCTCATCGCCTACGCGGCGCACTACGGCTACAAGGAGGCGTCCAGTAAGCCCGACTACGGGCCGGCCTACGCGCTTCCCGACTGGTGGTGGAAGGCGCGGCTGCCCGACTCGGTCTCGCTCATCGACGCGAGCGACGCGGAGGGGCTGAAGAAGGTGCTCTTCGGCGGCGACCCGTGGCTGCTGCAGTGCTACTCCGGGCTGCCCTTTGCCGGGCAGCACCTCCCACGCCCGTACCGTGTGCACCCCGCCTTCAAGGACGCGCTCGGCTCGATGGGCGGCGGCGTGCGCGGCGGGCTCATCGACTGCGAGGCGAGGCTGCCCTCGAACAAGAGCGTGGTGCAGAAGCTCGGCCTCGTTCGCCGCACCCAGCCCCTCCTCGTCCTCGCCAACGGCGGCGCCGCCCCGAAGCAGCTCCCCTCGTCGGCGGCCGCCTCGGCGCAGGCCATCTCCGCGTGGGTGGCACCCAAGGCGGAGCCGCGCGTCCTCTCGATTGGGACGCAAAAGACCTTCGCGGCGACGTGCGGCGGGAAGCGGCCCTGCCTCCTCGCCCACCTCGACGCCGACTCGGGCGTCCTTGAGGCGCTCTCCCGCCGCTTCCGCACGCTCGAGGCGTCTTCTCCCCTGCCCGGCACCTCGGCTGCAGCAAGCCGGCCCTCAAGCGCCCCGGGGCGTGCGCGCGTAGGTTGTCTCGCTCGGAGAGGGCGCCGGCGCCGCATCGCTCGCGTGGGGCCGCGGAGAGGAGATTGGCGAGACGCTCGAGGAGGACGAGGCTCGCCACTTTGGCAAGCGCGTCTCGCCTCTCCTCGCCGACTCGACACGACGCGGGGAGCGGGCGCCTTACTCTCCCTTCTCGGAACGCGTCGCAGGCGCGTCTCGCTCCTCCTCCCGGACCCGGACGACCTCGCCGAGCGGGTGGCGGCCAAGAAGGCGGGCAACCAGAAGGCAGCGCGCCGCGCCGCCAACCCGCCCCGGCTGCTGCGCGGGTACGTGGGCGACGAGGACGTGCCGTCGCTGAGCGCCTTCGTGCAGGAGGCGCTGCGGGACGCCGGCTCGGCGGTGCGTCGGGACGGCACCGACGCTTTCATGCGGACTCCGCTGCCGACGCTCTCGCGCAAGAAGCGGGCCGGCGACGGGGCCGGCAAGGCCGGCAAGGGAGAGGGCAAGGCCGGCAAGGCCGGCAAGGCCGGCAAGGCCAACGACAACGCCGAGGTGCAGGCGCGGCGCGCAAAGGCGCGCAAGGAGAAGGCGGAGGCGGAGGCGGCGGCGGCGGCCGAGCGGGCGGCGGCGGAGGCGAGGGCGCGCGGCGAGTCCGAGGCGGAGATGCAGAAGCGGCGCGAGGCGGCGCGGCGCGAGCAGATGCAGCGCGAGCAGGAGAGGGCCGACAACCTGGTGGAGGAGGCGGACGACGAGGACGAGGACGAGGACGAGGACGAGGAGGAGGAGGACCTCGAGGTGGAGGACTTCGACGCATGAGCGGGCGGGCGCGGGGCCGCGGGGTCAGGCCACAGACACGCGCGTCTGAGGCCGACCTCAGCATAGACAGACCGACGCAACACCAGAACACCGGTGCGATGTCCATGTCGTGCAAAATTCGAAAATGGGTCACGCGATCGCAGAAGGTACCGTACCACAGATCTACAACAACACAACGCGGACACTTCAAGACACAAAAAAGCGCCGAGCGTGTGTTTCGTGTTCGTTTCTTTTTGGATCTCTGTGGGTCACCGGGGTCTCAGTGCGGGCGAGTGGGGGGGGCCGAGCCGCCTTCGGGGTGGCGGGCGGGCGGGCGTTTTGAAAAACAGAAAACAGAAAACAGAGGGGGGCCAGCGCCCCCACTACGATTAGACACACGCCGACACGCACCAGCGCCGTGAGGCATCCATGCCACAGCAAATAAAATATTCTTACCTTCAAGCCCCCCTCCGAGACTAGGGACAGTCACCACCCGTACACAGGAGAGATGGGAGTGCCCCCCGCCCCCACTTGCCCTGACTGCACAGGATAGCGTGCCCCGAAAACGGCGACACATAGTGGGGGACACTGCGCAAGGAGAGGGTGCGAAGCCAAGGTTGGGGTTCTAGGTGGTGGGACCAATGAGGGGGGGAGGGCGGGGTCCTGTGGGGGTGAAATGTTGCGCGGCGAATTCGAACCTACCCCCTCGCCGCGCCGATCCTCACGCGGAGGGTAAAACCCTGTGGGGCAAAACCCCTCCGCGGTCGGCAGTCTTCAGAGTGGACCCCCCCCTCCCCAGCCTCCCCTGTTCGTTTTTCGCACCCCCCCCCCCGCTCCCCATCGGTGACTCGCGAAGGACACGGACACTCGGGGTGGGGGGGGAGGGGTCCCCCAGAGAGGGGGCTTTGGGGCCTTGTTGAGTCAATCTCCCCCCCAGAGGGGCCTTCTCGGGTCGACCTCTGGTCGATCTCATGTCGATCTTGGGTCGATCTCGGGTCGATCTCGGGTCGATCTCGGGTCATATTCGTCCTGCTCGCCTCGCGTTATGGTATTGTTGGTTATTTTGGGCTGTCGCAAGGCTCCTCATGTCCGCGTCGGATACAGCCTTGAGGCTGGTCAGCGCTGCTGTGATCGCGTCTTTGAAAGTCTGGCATGAGCCCCGCGAGACCCCTGTGGTGTCGATTTCGATAATTTTCTCGAATTTTTTTCTGCTCTCCTCCGAGACCTCCGCTGTAAGGTCGGTGTATATCCGATGAGTGTGTTGTAGTCTGATTTTCCCCGCCTATCGCATCGCTGCCCTCCGAAAGGACGTGAGGGCTCTGTAGTATACCTTTTGCCATACAAAGATGTGGCCCTTCTCTACATTGGCAAAGTCATGGTAGAATATGTTAAATGCGTGTCGGATGAATGCGCATGCCGCTTCTGGTAGCATCTTGTCTTCTTTCTCCTGATTGAATATTATTGCCCGTTCTACTCGTCTGGTCATATCTGGGGCGTCCAGCGTGTCGCGGCAGAATAGTAGACATTTATTCCAGAGGGGTTTTGTATGGCGGCATTTGACTAGGTGCAGCATGCTCTCCTCTTCTCGGTTGCACAGTCGGCATTTGTGCTCTGTGAGCGCTGGGTTTCGGTTGCGGACGTTGAGGCATGCCACAGCAGCAGAGGCACCTCCCACCCATTGGGCGGGCAGACAGAAGGCCAGGGCAGCACTGGCAAGTGCAACGCGCCTCATGTCGGAGAGCGACCGTGCCTCGTTCGCGCTTATGATGTAGAGTTTGTTGTAGAGATTTCACGTTGTAGAGCGCCTCTACATCGCTCTACAACGCAGGCAGTTCGTCACGCGGCGGATGTAGAGCTCTACAGCTCTACAGCGCTCTACATCTCTACAGCTCTACAGCGCTCTACACTCTACATCCTCTACACCCTCCCTCAGACTTCTGAGTCTTCCTCGAAGAACAATCAGGGAAAGGTGACATATATGCTAAACCGTCGCAGACCGAGTGCAGCGTCGTAACCATGCCTTCCCTATCTGCAACAGCATCACCCTTTCCTCGTAAGCAATCTCCATCGTGGCGCACTCCGCCTGGTCGAGCGGACGGGACTAACTACTTTACTTACTTGCCATCAGGTTGTATGAGCACATAATTGAAGGCGCTGCTAGAGAGAATGACACAGGCTCAAGACCATACCCCCGCCTGCTGGCAGACCTGCCTTGGGGGTATGGTAGGGCTAGTCTTGGGCAGTCAGGGCCCACACTGACGGTCGGCCGTCAGAAAACACGCCTCCGTGGCTCGGGTTACACCAATCCTCGCTACCCAACGCGGCCAAAGGATATCCAATTAAAATGAACTCGGGGGCACGGGACGCGGCACAAACGGGGCACAAACGCCAGGCTACAAAGACGGGGAGGCACGTAGTCGAGAACCTCGAGAGCTTACGGTACCGCACCCCGGAAAAGTTGGAACCAACCGCGGTTCGTCTCGACACGCCTTCCCCCCACCCCCCCCCGGGTGGCCCTGCTTCCTCCGCCAGCTACCGCGTCGAACACACGCCATTGCGATTCCGAACTCCGACCGGTGCGCTCACTTCGCGCCTCTCCCACTTCGCGCCGTGTCGATTCTCGCCTACTCCGCCCTCCTCTGGCACGGCCTGCCTTGCCTCTCGTCGGGTGTTCTCCGGGAGACGCTCTGGCCGGAGGGTTCGCAAGGTCATGTGGCGCAGGACGTAGCCGCGCGAACTGTGCACACGTGGCTCGGTCTAAGCGCGGTCTACCTCTTCGAGTCCGCGGCTGCCGCCTGTGGGCCGTGGGTCACGCTGCACCGTTGGCGGCCGCGAGAAGTGCTGCAGCATCACCTCGCCGTTGTCGTTGGCGGCCTGCCCTGCTCCGCCGTCATTCTGGCGTCGCCGTCCGGCTTTGTCGATTTCACGAGGACTCACCCGCCCATCGCGGCGCTTGTCGGCGCGGGCGCTCTCACCTGCGCCAACGAGCTCTTCGCCGTCTCGCTCTCCTTTGGCGGCGGCGAGGAGCGGCTCGCCACGCGCGCGTCGGCCATCCTGACGCTGAGCGTCCTGTCGGTGGACCTGCCGATGAACGTCGTAGCCTCAGTTCGAGGCCTCTACCTCCTCCTCACGCAGCAGCACGCGCCGTTCGCCGCCTGGAAGCTTTTTGCGCTCAGCCTGCTCTACTGCTTCCTCATCGCATTCGCCCTGTCCGTCCAACTGCCGTACATACCGCCAAACGTCAGGCGCGCGGCTAGAAAGGCGGGCGGCGTAGATGAGAAAGACGCGGGGCGCTGGGCGGCTGGCAGGTACACAGATAGCTCGAAGAGGTTGTAACACAACTTCGCACACGCGCACGCGGCGCGCGCGGGCGGCAGAAGCCGTCGCCCGTCGGCGTACGTACGGCCGGCTCTATATGGAATATGCGTAGCGTCACGGTGCTATAGACAAAAATGGCACCTCCCCTCGTCCCCATCCTTTTCCAGTCCACGAGGCACGAGTCCGCGGGCTCGCTCAAGGCGGTTGTCAAGGCTCATCGCACTAGAGCCGTATCTCTCGTGTCTCGCGACTCTGTCCACACTGGCGCCGACATGTGTGGTGACATATCGGTCATAGCCGTGGGTGTGGCCCGCGGCCGCGCGTGGCGCGAGCCACAAGGGGTGCCACAGCGCGTGAAGTACATAGGTCATAGCGGTCAGCGCGCGCATACAAAGCCGTATGTGGCGGGGTGTCCCGCGGGGGAGAGCGCCTCCCCGCAAAAGAAAGCCCCCCGCAACTTCTCCTGGCGGGATCTCCGCTCGCGGTCTCCGCTCCCGCCCACCCCGTTCCCCTTCAGACCCCCACCCCATACGACGCACGAGGCCCGCGCCCCAAAGACACTGACTGTCAACTCGAGAGAGGGGACTCAGCGTGATCGACGTCACAACAGTACAGCGCACGTTGCTGCACGGCAGGGCTAGTGCCGTGGCGGTCGTGCGCTCACATGGCACATGGAGGAGTTCATGCAGTCCCAGTTCGAGCGATGCGTCCCCCCCCCCTGTTCTCTCTCACTTGACCGCGGCGGAGCGGGAGCGGCCGGACCTTGTCGGCCGCGCCTTCGCACTGGACTCGCTCGCAGCAGCCGCCTTGCCGCGCCCCTTCTCCTTCTTGACCGGCGCCACATTCTCCTCTCCCGCCTCCTCCTCCTCCTCCTCGTCCTCGTCCTCGTCCTCGTCCTCCACCTTGCGGCTGCGCCGCTGCCGCGAGGGCGCCTTCTTGCCCCGCGCCTCCTTGCCCCGCGCCTCCTTGCGCGGCCGCCCCGCCGCGGCCTCGCCGGCGCCAGCCTCGCCCCCGCCCTCGCCCGCGCCGTCCGCCGCCGGCGGGGCCGCCTCGCCGGCCTCGTCCACCGCCTCGCCGCGCGCGCGCGCCAGCTCCGCCTCGAACTCGTCGAGCGCTGTCCGAAACTCGGCGCGCGCACCCTTGCGCGCCTTTGCGACGATGGCGACGAAGGCGGCATGCACCTCGTCGTCCGTCAGCGTGCCCGCGTAGAGCTTGCTCAGCTCGGCGAGCTTGCGCACAGACCGCTCCGTGTGCTGCAGCGCGCCTGCGTGTCGTCGAGGACGTGTCGTGGACGTGTCGTTGACGTGTCGTTGACGTGTCGTGGACGTGTCGTTGACGTGTCGTGGCGTTCGGTGTGGGTGCGGCGCGCCGACGCAGAAGGCGACGTTGCGGTGATAGGCGACGGCATCGGAGGCTGCGAAGCGCGCGCACAGCTTCTCCACCATCGCCTCGCACTGGCGGTCCTTTTGGATGAAGCCGATGAGGAAGCCCATCACCTGCACCGGTCGCGGGCCACACGCTCTGAGCGTGTCCCTCCTCTCCGCTGCTTCCGCAGAGAGCCGCTCGCGCGGGAGGGGCGCGCTGCCCAACCTCGGCTGCATCTCGGCAGGGTCTCGGCAGGGTCTCGGCAGGGTCTCGGCAGGGTCTCGCCTCGCGGAAGGGCGCGCTGCCGAGCGACTCGTCGGAGGAGAGGGAGGACATGATGTCGGGCAGCAGGTTGTACACCGGCGACGAGCCCTTCTTTGCGAACTCGGAGAAGAAGAGGCGCGCGTGCGCGGCGACGCGCGGGTCCTCGTCGAGCAGGCAGCGCGCCATCTCGGAGACGCGCCCCTTGACCTTGACCATGTCGTTGAGGATGAGGTGCGTGAGCACCATCAGCATGTTCTTCCGCACGCGCACGTCGCTGTCGCGCAGCTGGCTGTATAGCCGGTCAGTCCACGGCTCGAGCCGGTTCGGGTGGCGCACGACCAGATCGCCCAGCGCGACGGCGATGGTCGCGCGGACGGCCTGCTCGGGCTCTCGGCCCATCAGCGTGAAGAGGAGTGGGAGCTGCTCCTCGCAAAACGCGCCCGACGTCGCCATCAGCTTGCACAGCGTGAGGACCGCCGCCGAGCGCGTGGGCGCCGGCAGCTCGAGGCACGAGCAGACGTGGCACACGAGCGGCGCCCACGCGCCAATCAGCCCGTCTGGCCGCACGAGCGCCTCGCCGAGCGCCATCAGCGCGTCCGAGTTCGCCTGCTCTCGGACCAGTCTAGAGTGACCCCGCGTCCTCTCGGGCATCCTCGGGGCGATCCCCGCGCGTCCGAGCTCGCCTCCGCCGCCGCCGCGTCGACGCCGAGCTCGGCGGCAAGGTGGTCGTCCCCCGCGTCGGCCGCGCCCTTCTGGCCGCCCTTCTTCTTCTTGGCGGCGGCGGGCGGCGCCTCCTGCTCGACGAGCTCGTTCCTCCTCCGCGCGAGCGCCTTCTCGCAGGCCTCGATGTGCTCGAGCATCTTGATGCACGCGTGGCCCACCGCAAAGAAGAGCCGCCCGAGCGCCCCCGAGCAGACGAGGCCCTCCGCCGCCTCCGCCGCCTCGGCCCCGTCCGGGAAGGCGGCGGCGGCGAGCTGGCGCAGCAGCGCGCCGCACCACTCCTCGGGCGCCGCGTGGAGCGCAAACGCCGCGTTGATCGCCGCCTCGGCGAAAGAGAACCACGCATCCGCGTCGGCGGGTGGGCGGGGTAGCAGCTCGTCGATAGAGCGCAGGAAGGAGACGGCCGTCGCCTCGACGACGGTGGCGCCGCCCGCCGTCGCGCAGCGCAGCATCGCGACGCACGCCTCGCGCGCGAGGGCCGGGTGCGGGGCGCGCGGGCCGCGCAGCAGCGAGAGGACGACGTGCAGCTTGCAGCGCAGGACGGACGCGTCGGCGACGGAGGCCATGTTGAGCAGCGCGAGCGCCGCCGACGGGGGCGCCCCTGCGGCGAGCTCGGGCGCCTCCCCCTTGACCGCCTCCCACAAGAGGGCGTGCAGCGAGGAGGGGAGCAGCTGTTGCGCCTGCCACTCCTTGACCACCTGCGGGGGCGGGCCGCGGGCGGGTCGAGGGCGGTCCTGGACGCGCCTCCTGCCTGCCCACTGCTGCGCTTTGCACCTCCTCGAGCGAGGCGAGCTGCGCCGCGTTTGCGCTCGAGACGAGCTCGAGCATCCCGAGCGCGACGCTGACCGTGTGCGCGGCCGCAGCCTTGGCGGAGGAGCCGCCGTGGACCGACGTGGGCCGCAGCCACACCTCTTGCGCCGCGTCGAGAACGGCGGCCTTGACGGTGGGCTCGCGCGACCAGACGAGCGTGAGCATCTCGGCGGGGGCCGCGCCGTCGAGCTCAAAGGCGTGCGCCTGTTCACAGGGTAGCGGTGTGAAGAGACGCTGCTCACAGGCAGAGCCCGGCTCGAGCAGCGAGGGGCGCGCGCCGCGACGACAGCGCGGAGCGCCTCGAGCACGTCCGAGTTGGTCTGCGAGCCGAGGCAGTTGGTCACGTCGCCCAGCCGCGAGGAGAGCTGCTCGTGCAAGCCGAGCGCCTGCGGAGGGGCCGGGCGCAAGGGCGGCGGTCGGTGGCGGCGTCTGCGCGGCCGAGCGGCTGCCCCCTCCCGTCCTCTCTCTCCCCAGCCCGCCTGGTCGAGCAGCATGAGCGCCATCTGCCGCTCGGCAACCTCGGGCGGCAGCGGGACGGAAGGCTCGTCCGAGGCGGGCTCGGTGTCCGGGGGAGTCTCCTTCGTCGCCGCCTCCTCGCCCGTCGCCTCCTCCGTCGTCGCCGCCTCGCCCTCCGCCGCCTCGCCCGTCGCCTTTGCCTCGTCGGGCACCTCCTCGCCCTCCTTGGCGGCCGGCTCGGCGGGCTCGGCGGGCCTGTGGCGTGGTGTCGCGCTGCGTCAGAGGGCTCCACCGCCACCTCTCGGCGCGCGGGGGGCTGTGCAGCTGCTGGCGGCCGATGTCTGGCGGGCGGCGGGGGCGGGGCAGCGCACGGCTCGTCGGAGGGCATCCGCCAGCCGGCGGGCATCTGCGCGCAGAGTGCCTCGCGCCGCTCGACGAGCGCCTCGCGGCGGAGCGTCGCGCAGAACGGGTTGAACTCGAGCAGCCTGGCGTACAGCTGCAGCGCCGCGCGCCGCACGTTCGCGTTCTTGTCGGCCAGCCGCGCGAGGCCGAGGCGCGCGACAGGGCCGAAGCGGTCCGTCGGCAGCGCGCGCGACTCGCAGAGATGCGAGAGCGTCGCAAGCGCCCTCGCGCGGACGAAGGACGACGTGTCGTGCAGCCGCTCCACCACCGAGGCGATGAGGCCGGAGGCTGCGTCCGCAACCTCCGGCGGGAGAGGCGTCGGCATCGCAGCGACTGCGATCTGGAGCTGGCCAAAGGCGGAGACGGCGCCGCAGCGCAGAGTGTACGCGTCCGAGGCGAGGACCTGCGGGGCGTGTCGTGGACGCGTCGCGTGCGTGTGCCGCGGCCTCACGGCGTGTGTGGCAGGGGCGACGCGCGTCGAGCAGCAGCTCCGCATTGGCGAGGAGCATGAGCGGCGCCCTAGCGGCGAGGGCGACCAGGAAGGCGGCCACGTTCTTGGGCGCGGCCGAGTCGACGCCCATGTCCTGCGGAGACGTGCCCGAGGTGTAGCCGAGATGCAGCCGAGATGCAGTCGGGATGCACGCGTGTCCCCCCAAAGAGGGCCATCCGTGCTGCGCCCCCCTGTCCCACCCCCGACTCGACCCGCTCGCCAGGGCCGACTCCCGGTCCCGGGTGTCTCCGCCGAGCCCCTCACCCCGCCCCGGGCCCCGGGAGGCTCTGCTGTGCGCGCCTGCGGCGAAAGCGCCGTCACCTCCTGCACGAGCGCCGCGACCAGCCTCGCCGCCTGGCGGGGCGCCGAGCAGGCGGTGAGGAGCAGGCGGTGAGGGCCCCACAGAGGTGAGGGCACCGCGGAGGAGGGCGCGGGCGCGGCGAGGAAGAGAGCCGCGAGGCGGGACGCTGCGAGGGGTGAGGTCCGAGACGCGAGGGGCGGGGGCGGCCGAGGGGCCGCGGGGTCGGGCGGGAGGAGGAGGGGATGGGCGCGAGTCGGAGGGGCAAGGCTTTGGCTCCTGGTGCTCGTCGAGCAGGTGGCGCATGAGCTCGGCGAGGTGATGCGGGAGGTGCTCGTAGCCGAGCACGAGCGAGACGACCGCGCCGACGAAGCCGACCTCGCCGCCGTACCGCACCGCCGCCAGCGAGAGGAGCCGCCACAGCGCCTCGCGCAGCGCCGCCGACGAGCCCTTGAGTGCCGCGGGCTGCTCGAGCACAGCGGTGGCGGCGGCGGTGTAAAGGTGGACGAGCGCCTCGTCGGGGGCGCGGTGCCCCCAGAGCGCGCACAGGTCCAGCTCCGCCGACTCGAGCAGCTGCACCACCACCGCCTCGCGCACCTCTGCCCAGTCCAGCTCGGCCACGCCCTTGGCCACCTTGGCGCTCTTCTTCGGCGGCTGCTTGCCGCGGCCGCGGGCCGTGGACGCCGCGCCGGCCTGGCCCGAAGCGGTGGCCTTCTCCGCCTCCTGTACCAGCCGCGAGGCGAGAAAGGCCGCCTTCTTGAGCGTCTCCCGCACCTCAGCCAGCTCAGCGTCCGAAGGGAACGCCGACAGGGCGCGCTTGCAGCCCTTCACTGCGCCCGCCAGGCCGGCAAGCACAACCTCCGCCGCCCGCGCGCGCTCCGCAGGGCCGGTCCTCCCAAAGTGGACCAGCGCGCCGTACGCGGGATCGAAGCACGAGTGCTCCGTGATTGCCGTGGGATCGTCCTCGACTCTCTCCGCCGCATCGGTGAGGGCGTCGAGAAGGCCGTTGCCGTCGGCGGTGAACTGGGGGGGCGCGAGGGAGGAGAGTGGGAGAGAGAGGAAGGGAGCGCGTCGGGGCGATGGGAGCGAGGAGCCTCGGTCTTCGGCATGTACATCGTCGGCCACCACCTCGACCACCAAGTTCCAGCCGTGAGAGCGGTTTGAGCAGCCTTCGAAGAGAGCGGGTGAGCAGAAAGAATTTCCGGGGCGTGGCGGGTCTGCCCGTCGGGTTGCTGCCCTAATCCCACCAGGGGTTGTCTGCTCTATTTATTTATTTATTGGCGCGCACTGGCACTAACAAAGCAAAGAATTTTACATGCGAGTGATTTCTCTTTTGTTCGTTCTTGGTTTTCATCTGCATCTCTCTCACACGCACCGACGCCCAAAGTGCGTGAACACAAAAACCAAGCCGACAGCTGCGCGCCCTCCACCTTGCCGCTCTCCTGCACGCTGGCCAGCACGGCGCGCGTGGGCCGCGTCGGTGAAGAAGCTGAGCATTGCCTCGCCCTCCTCGTTCCGAGAGCCGAGCAGCTGCCCGTTCGCGAACCTCTCTGCACGCGCGAACCGCCCCCCTCGATCGCGACCCCACACCCGTCGTCCTCGTCGCCGCGTCCCCTCGCGCATCCGCCATCACCCATACATCACGGCTGCACATCCCGCGCCTGGCTCCTGGTCGGCCGCGCCTCCTCCACTTCCTTGACACCAGCGCGCCGCCGCCGCGCGCCCCGGCCAGCGCTCTTGCGGGCGCACCGCCGCAGCTTCGCCGTCTTCTCTTTGCGAGCGGTGCCTCCGCGCCGCACTGTCGCCGAGGCGGCCGCTGCCACGCTCCCTCTTTGTGGCAGCTGCGTCCGGCCTCGTTTGCCTGTTGTCCCACTCCTCCTACTCGTAGATATCGGAGGAGCGCATGATGGCCGCAAACTCGACGAAAGAGATCTGGCCGTCGCCGTCGCCGTCGAACTCGTCAATCATCGCTTGCAGCTCCTCGTCGGCGAGCGGCTCGCCCAGCTCGCGGCAGATGCGGCGCATGTTGCGCAGCGAGATGCGGCCGGTCCGGTCCTCGTCAAAGAGCTCGAACGCCTTGAGCAGTTCGGCCTCAGGGTCGCGCTTACTCGTATACTCCGCGACGATCTCAAGAAACTCGTCCTCCGCCACCGCGCCCTGCGCACCGTGGCTCGCCACCAGCCGCAGCGCGTCCGCCTTACGCACGTCAAAGCCAAGCGCGCGAAGCGCCACCTTGAGTTCGTGGTAGCCGATGCGGCCGCGCTTCTCCAGGTCGAAGAGGTCGAACGCCTCGCGCGCCTCGCGCGCCTGCTCTTCAGCCAGCGTTGGCTGTCGCTTCATGCGCGGTTTGCAGTCCTTTGACGGTGGCCGCAAAAAAAAAGTGGATTGCGCGTTTTCTTTCTTTCTTTCTTTACCACCAACGGGTTCCGATTCCGCGCCCATTCCTCTCCCTGAGAGACCGTCCGGTAAGTCCCAGAGGCTGGAGAGGAGCCCGCACGCCGCGGGTGCGCACAGGGCTCAGCTCGCGCGCTTCTTCGCCTTGGGCTTGTCGCCCTTGGCCTTGCTCGCGGATCCGCTGCGGGAGGAGGCGGAGGAGCCAGAGGAGGAAGAGGAGGAGGAGGAGGAGGAGGAGGAGGAGCCCGAGGAGCCCGAGGAGCCCGAGGAGCCCGAGGAGGAGGAGGAGGAGCGGCTCGCCGAGCGGCTCCTCTTGCGCCGCCTGCTGCCACCCGCCTGCGGCAGCTTCTGCGCGAGAGCGCCGGCTGCGGGCGCCGCCTCTGCCTCCGCCACCGCCTCCGCCTCCCGGGGCGCCTCGCGCGGAGGCGGAGGAGGAGGAGGCCTCCGCTTGGGAGGCTCGGCGGGCGGCGGCGGCGGCGGCGGTGGCGGCGGCGGCGGCGGCGCCTTGCGCGCGCTGCGGTCGTCCCCCGCCTCTGGCGGCGGGGGCGGGGGCGGCGGCGGCTTCTTCTTCTTGGGCTCGTCGGCGTCGGATTTGGGCGGAGCAGCGCGGCCCTCATCCTCGATCTTCTTCTTCTTCTTCTTCGTCTTGGGCTTCGCCTTGGTGCTGTTGGACGAGGCCGAGGAGGAGGACGACGAGGAGGAGGAGGACGACGACGAGGACGACGACGAGGACGAGGACGACGACGAGGAGGAGTCGCTGTCACTGTCGCTGTCGCTCGAGCTCTCTGCCTCGCGCTTGGCCAGCTTGGCCGCGCGCTCCGCCTCGCGACGCGCGCGGATCTCGAGGGCTTTCCTCAGCAGCTCGTCGTTGCTCCGAGAACTGCTGCCGCCGCCGCCGCCGCCGCGCGAGAGGAAGTTGGTCGTCGGCCCCTCTGGCGGAGCCTCGGTGTTGAAGCCGCGCTTCTGCCCAAAGTAGAGCTCGCCCTTGGTCTTTTTCTGCGCGCCGCCGACCTTGGTGCTGGAGAGCCCCCATGCCGCGCCCTTCCAGTCGCTGCCCACGCGCGGCACGTAGGACGCCTGCGACGACACCTGCCGCCTCGACATGACCCCCTCCGTCTCCCTCTCGTTGGAGGTGGCGTACATCTGGGCCTTCATCTCCTTGCGCTGCTGGAAGCGCGACGTCGTCGGGGGTGCCGACATGGCGCTCGACGCCGGCAGCGCGTTGGCCTCCGCGCCCTGCAGGTGCGCGTGTTGGTGCGGCGTTCTTTTTCTTTTCTTTCTCCGAGCACTTCAACACCGGAGAGTCGATTCCGCATGGTACGGGACCCCTCCGATCGTCTCGCCCTCCCTCACTGGTGTGTTCATTGGGGGGGTCATAACAAACACGGGGTGTGACCGATCGAGCTACAAGAGGCGCTTGGTCTTTCTCCTTACATCTAACTGTTCTTCACCTTTCTACCTACCTACCTACATCTAACCTCTTCAGTATCTTTGACAACAAGAAATCTCGAACTTTCATTATCGCTGCGCGCGCAGGCCGCAGGGGGCCGGGGCGGCGGGACTGGACCTGTTAGACCTGGACTGGCGGCGACCCGGTGCCACCGGCACCGCTATCCCGCTGTCCCCGCCCATACAGCATACTACCCCCAGAAAACTCAAACTAACGCCTTTTTTGCCGACCGTTCGGTCACACACCACAAATAGGGAAATAGAGTAGGCACACTGAAAATCTCATCCACGGGCACACGGCGTCATACCCGACATGCGGCGGCCCCTCCCATGTCCCGTAGCTGTACCTCCCGCTCGTCCACCGCGTTGGAGCGGGCCTCTCCCGGGTCGAGGAGCGGCGCGGGCCTCTGCCGCTGCGGCTGCCCCTTCCCCGCCCCCGGCTCGGTGCGTGCAGGCGGCGGCGCGGCACGGCGAGGGGCGTGCCCGCTCGCCGACGCTTGCTCGAGGGGCGCGCTGCGCCTGCGCTCTGCGGCGGCGGTGCGCAGCACGACGAGCAGGTCGATGAGCGCGCCGGCGAGGAAGACGAGGGAGCCTACCGTGGGAAGGGTCCGAGGAGGGTTCGAGAGGGCTGCGGCCTGGAGAGCGGCGGCAGGAGAGCAAAGAGAGAGGCGCTCCGGCGACGAAGAGGAGGACGGCGCTCATGCGCACGGGCGGCCCGCCCGCCTCGAGGATGCGCGGGAAGAAGAGCACCGACCCGGCGATGAAGGCGAGGTTGCCTGCTCACGGCGGGAGGTGTGGCCACGGAGGTGTGACCCCTGGTCTCCGTCCGGGGGCGGGGCGAGGCGAGGCGGGGCGAGGCTGCCGACGACGTAGAAGCCGCACGAGAGGAGGGTGGCTTCCTCGTCGGACCAGCCGCTGCGGATGGCGGCGGTCTGCTGCATCTCGGCGGCGGTGAGCGCGCCGAGCAGTGCCGCGAGCAGCACGAGCACGCAGCCCGTGATGTACAGCCAGCCTCCGTGCATGATGAGCTCCTCCATGGCGGGGAAGAAGAGCGAGGAGCCGGCGACGAAGAAGGCGCCGCCCGCCATGAAGATGATCGAGTTGGCGCGCTGCAGCCGCAGAAGGTGCGCCTTATACAGCTGCTCATACAGCGCCGCGTGGAACGACATCCGCGCGTGCGCCGCAGAGGAGACCGCCTCTGGCATCACGAGCGGCCGGTCGACCAGGTTGTCGAGGTTGTGGGTGAGCTCCCAAAAGTCGAGGAAGGGTGCGGCCCAGTAGCAGAGCGAGCCGACCAGGAAGCAGGCCGCGCCCACCGTCGTGGCCGCCTCGCCCGAGCCGGGCCAGAAGCAGAAGGAGCCGAGCAGGAAGAGCACGCCGCCCGCGCATGGCAGCGCCACGACGACGTAGCGCACGGGCAGCACGGCCACGTACCGCACGAAGGTCGCCTTGCCCATGCGGTGCGTGCTGTGCCAGTGTGAGCGCCCTTTTGGCAAAAGAGAAATTGACGGTGTCGGCAATAGATCACGCCCATACCCGAAAGAAAGAGAAGGGAGCTCGCGGGAGAGGTGACGAGTGAACTACAGGTAGTGGGGAAGGCAGCCTCGATTGCCATACAGACATGGGTGCGAAACAACGACAAGACCAAGGCACGGGCAGAGGAACGAGAGAAGAATATAGGGTGGATAAAGCGCCTGTTCACGGCATGGAGGGTGAGCCACACCGAACGTACCGAGCGAAGGGCCGAGCGGAAGGAGGACGGGGAAGATGACTCAGAGGAGGACGAACCAGTGGAAATTCAGTTGTCAGATGTCACGATGCATCCGAAGGGGACCCCAGCGCCGGCATCATCCGTAGAGGCACGAGTGTTCGAAGAGAGAGTGGACCTGAGCAACAACATGACGTGTAGGCAAATGATCGGAGTGGGAGTCAAAAATGTGGTCCTTGCGCGAGGGGAGCTTGATAGACTCGAGGGGCCAGGATACGCCGCGAGGAGGACGGAGTTGCGCAAGGCGAAAGAAGCCGCGAGAACAAGGGACCGGCAGGCGGCGGCGTCGCAGGACGAGGCAGAAGAGAACGACGCGACAGAGGAGGAAGTGACAAGGGAGAGACCGACGAGAGTGGGACGGCCGCGAGGTGGCATGAAGGTTGCAGCGAGAAGCGGCGAGAGACTGCGAAAAGAGATACGAAGAGGCAGACTCCCCAGGGTGGGCGACGGCTAGCGCACCACACTCCTCTCCTTAAAATCCCTGTGTGGTGGCGGCGTGCCGTTCTCCCATCCCTCCCTTGGGTTGTGTGTTTTCTTTCTTTCTTTCTTTGCCCTGTGAGCAGGGCGGGGTGCGCACTGTACCTCTGTGTTCGTGCGTTGCCCATCTCTACGGGAGATGACTGCTCTATTTATTTATTCGATTAAGAGCTACATGTTTCCTTATTGGGGCGTACCATGAAATCCCCATCGTCCATCGAGCACCTTCGATTTCGCTATTGTCCACCGTAGCATGAGCGCAGGCGTGCGGAGAGAGAGAGAGAGCGAGTTTTTTCTTCTTTCTCTTGGCGTGCGGTGGGATGCGATGTGCTTCGAACCTTCGATCGACGGCGTGAACCGCGCGACGCCGACGGCGACGGCGGCTGCGCCTGCCGCTGCCGCTGCTTTCTGCCGCTGCTGCTGCCTCTGTTGCGGCTGCTGCCCGATAGCTGCAGCTGGCTGCGGCCGCACCACAAAAACACTCTCTCTCCGCACCACCCGGCGAGGCCATCCTCGCGCGCACGGACGCTACAGGCGCGGGCGCGGGGGTGGTGAGGGTGCGTATGAGGCGGAGATGATGGAGGCGCTCGCCGCGTGCAGCGATTGAGCGCCTCCCTCTCTCTCCGGCTGCGCGCCTGACCGGCGCGGCCTCCGAGTCGGCGTCTAGCGCGCGCGATTTAAGGTTTTTGCTCGCCTTCCCTGGGACCCCGTGTTGCATGTCTGACCTGTCACTGTGCGATTTCGGGCCCGGGGTTGTGCGTTTATGTGAACCAGCGCATAGCGCACGACGTATTTTCTTCTCATAACAAGGCTGTGAACAGGAAGCGATTTCGGGGCCCGGGGTTGTGCGTTTACGTGAACAGGAAGGTCTTGGGTCCGTGGTTGTGTTTTTGTGTGAACAGGTTTTTGCTCGCCTTCCCTGGGACCCCGTGTTAAAGGCACTGTCATCACTGTGCGATTTCGGGGCCCGGGGTTGTGCGTTTACGTGAACAGGATGGAGTGACGAGCTGGCTACGCGGATACGCGGATACGCGGCCACGGCCTAAAACTCTCCTCGCCTCCGCCGGTCTCACAACGATGGTGCTCATCCTCGAGTTCCTGCTCGCCGACGTGGCGCAGGACGACGCCGTCGCCGCCGCGCTCCCGGCCACGCTCCGCCTCTTGCGCCGCCGCCGCCCGGTCGAGGTGGCCAGCACGCCGGTGCGCTCCCGCTGGTGCGGCCGGCTGACGGAGCTGCTCCGGAGCGACTGTGCGAGCGCGAGGCACGCCGGCATCGCGCTCGTCGTCGAGACGGCGACGCAGCTCGACGAGGCGGCCTTCGCGGCGCACCGCGAGCCTTGGGCCGTCACGCTGCTCTCTCTGTCCACGCAGCGCTCCGGAGGCGATGCCATCCGCTCTGCGAGCGCCGCCGCCCTCACCGAGCTGCTGGCCGTCGCCTCCAGGTGGCCAGTGCAGCGCCGCGACGCCGCAGTGCACGCGCCGCGACTCCTCGGCGCGCTGCTCTCCATGGCGGAGCGGCCGAGCGCCTCTGCCACCGCCGACGCCGACGTCGGAGGCTGCTCGGTCGAGGCTGAGGTGGTGACGAGCACGCTGAAGCTTGCGCGCGTCGCCCCGCACTGCGTGCGCGCGCAGCGCTCCCGGCTGGCGAGCGCAGCCACGCAAATCCTCCTTCAGCCAACCGGCGGCGCCGGGGCTGCGGCAGAGGCGCGCGCGGCGGCGGCTGCGGCGGAGCTCCTCGGTGCGCTGCCCGCGGTGTGCGGCGGCGGCGCCGCCTTCGCGCAGGCGTGGGGCGAGACGGTCGCCTCCCTCAGCGGCACGCTGCACGCCCTCCTCCGCACCGCCCTCGGCTCCCTCACCGCGCAGCCTCTCTGCAGCACCCCGCCGCCCGCAGCCGCCCTCCCTTCTCCCGGGGCAGAGGCGGAGGCGCTGCTCGCCGCAGCCACGGGGTGCGTCCGCGCTTTGCACAGCTGCCTCTGCCCTCCCGGTGCCGCCGGTGCCGCGGCCGACGCGCCGCCGGCCGGAGACAAGGGGCCTTGCCCGGTGCAGCTTCCGCTCGGCAGCCTCTGCACGCTCGCGCTGTCGGTCCTCTCGCTCGACGGAGTGCTGCAACTCCCCGCCCCAGAGGCGGGGGCGCTCAAGCACGCCTCGGCCGTCGCCCTCCTCCCCGAGCTGCACGTCCTCGCGCTGCAGCTCCTCCACTCCCTCCTCCTCGCCGCACGCAGGCGCGCCACCGCCCCTCGCCCACGCCTCGCCCCGCTGCCGCAGCAGGCCCGCGCCCTCCCCCCCCGGCCCTCCGCCTGAGCCTCCTCCCCCCCCTGGAGCAGGCACGCCCTCGCCCACCTGCGGCCGCTCGTGGAGGCGCTGCAGCTCTGCTGGCGCCGCACCTCCCCCGCGGAGGGGCTCCCCCATCTCCGCTGCCCGCGGCTGCGCGCCGCCACGTACGAGCTCGCCGCCGCCCTGCTCACCACGCTCGGCGCGGCGGGCGCTGAGCCGCTCGGCGAGTACCTCGCAGAGGCGGCGCTCCTCGACCTCGCCTCGGGAGACGCCGCCGGGGGCGGCGCCGCCGCCGGGGGAGACGCCGCCGGGGGCGGCGCCGCGGCGGCGGGCCGGAAGCGGGGCCGGGACGGCGGCTCGGCGAGCTCGGTTGAGGGCGCCGCCGGGGCGGCGGGAGGGGCGTCGGGTGGCGTCGATGCGGCGGCGGCTTGCGTGCGCTCGTCCGCGGCCAAGGCGCTCTCCCTCCTCCTGTCGACCGGCTCGGGCTGGCTCTCCCCGCACTGTCGCCTCGCTGTCCAGGCCAGCCTCCTCGCCTCCCTCGAGCAGCCGCAAGACAACTCGCCGCACCGCGCCGCCGCCGCCGCCGCCGCCGCACGGCCGCACCTGCTCCGCGCGCTGCACGCCCACGTCATCAGTGGCGAGGCGCACCCGCAGACGCTGGCCCGCGCGCTCGTCGTCTTCAGCGCCTCGGCGCGCACGGCGCGCAGCACGGACGAGAGCGCTGTCGCCCACGCCGCCCTCCACTCGCTGGACGCGCTGCTGCACCCGTCTGCGCTCGCTCGTTCGACGAGGCCCCAGCCTCAGGGGCTGGCGCCGACCCAAGAGGCAAGCGCCGCCTCCCACGCCGCCGCCGCAGCCGCCTCGACCTCAGCCGATGGAGGCTTCGGCGCGGGGAGTGGCGACGCCGCCGCCGCCATCGCGGCGTGCTCTGCGGGGACCACCCTAGGGACCACCGCCGCACAGCGGGCTGTCGGGGACGACCGGCCGCCGCCACTCCAGCCACCGCCACTCGAGCCGCCACTCGAGCCGCCTCAGCCACCGCCATCACAACCGCCACAGCCGCCACAGGCGCAGGCGCAAGCTCCCGCATCAGCAACGGCGCCGGCGCCGGGGGCGGCTCTGGCTGCGCCGTCGCCCGCAGCGCCTCTGGCCGCCGCCTCGCCAGCCATGGCGAACGCAGCGCGGGACCCGTCGGCAGGCGAGGGCCCGGCGGCCGCCGCGTCGGGTAGTGCCGGCGTGCCCAAGGAGGGACCAGCGGGGGTGGCAAGGCCGGGGGCTGTGGCCACGCCTGCCGCCCCACCCCACGCCCCTCCGAGGGCAGCAGCTGTGGCCGAGGACGATGGCGATAGTTCAGACCCCGAGATCGTCACGGAAGGTCCGGACGACAGCTAAATGCATGAATAATGAGACGTAGTGGTCATCCAGGGATAATTTTGAATCTTCCTGAAACAGAGTGTCCTGGCACACACCAAGATCGTGCTTCGTGGTTCGTGCACGTCGGACTAGGTCCAGCCCTGGGTGGCCTCTGGGTGGCGCAGGTTGTGACATTTGGCGATTCCGCGACTTACTGGGCCCCTGAGCCGCTACCCGTGTGCGATTTTTTGTGGCCCGGACATGATACTGATAGTAAACGGGTCAGAACCGGCCAAACACAGGCTACAGCCCCACACACGCGCCCGCCATAGCTCCTGGAGAGCATGCGCGAGTGACGCGCTGCAAGCCGCGAGAGTGGCATCAGAGGCAGGAACGACGTGCTCTTGCTGCACCTCGCAGCTGCACCAAGTGTGCTCGCAGTGTATGCCACGGCCACTGCCTGCGACATTGCTCTCGTGCAGCTAGGCGACGCAGGTCCATCAGCAGGGCTCATCCAATGCGAGCGCACATTGTGCGTAGCCGCGGGCAGGTGGCAGTGCACAGCCGCACACCGGCTGTGGCGGCTCGAATGCCCCCGTCAGTGCTGCTAGTCATCAACTTGCGTATTAGGGCCGCAGCAGACTGCTGCTGTGGCAGCAGCAGCAGCCTGCTGCTGCCTGATTCAGTCAAGCCAGCGGTGCAGCGAGGCGTGCAGAATTCGCGCGGTTTGGTACCTCTCCCGAGGCTGAGCGCGTTCAGACTCGGTGACCGGAGTTGGATGGTCCGATGGAGCTCGGCGAGCTCCATCGGACCATCCATGGCCGGACGGCGGAGCGTGAGGTGGCGAGCGGAGAGATGTACCGCAAGACCAAAAAAACACGGAGCTGACGATTGTCAAACGTCAGATCTTGCGCCACCCAGGGCTGGGACCTAGTCGTCGCACAAGGCTCAAGGGGGGCTGGGGGCAACTCAATGGCCGGGCGCGCCACACTTGAGGCAAACTGCGGGTAAATATTTTTTGAAGGGATGAACGCGAGCTCGTGGGGTCCACGAAAGCACCGCTTTGCGGTGTCAGAACCGCCCTCTTTCCCTGGGGGGCCGAATCTGCGCCCTCTGGGCCCCAGGCAGCGGTCCCCGAGAGGGCCGGCACGCGGGCTCCGCCGACGCTCTCGCAACGCGGGTCGCGCCGCGCGCCTCCCGGACGAAGCGTGTTGGTGCGCGACGGCGATCCTCGCCTGCGGGGAGCGGAGCACACGCGTCGGGATAGCGAGGGCAGCACAAATATTGCACTCATGTCCCAGTATGGCAGCAGCCGGACGGGTTGGGTGTCATGAGGGCAGGGTGGTGAGGATGATTCCACAGATCTCGCTGAAAATGGCCGTGTCCCTCCCGGGGGAGGCAGGCGAGCACGCACCTCGCGTCCGAGCGCGAGTCGACGAGTGGTCGCCGAGAGATCGCCGAACCACGTTTCGAGTGCGCGCGCACACAGCACAGCTGCGGGTTGTAACTCGACTGCCGATCGCGCGTGCGGGATGTAAATGCAGCTCGCTGGCGCCAGTGCACGGTGGCAGGGACTGGAGGCTCGGCCGAAGGGGAAGAGCAGTCCTCAATCGTCACGTAGAGGTCGCTGGGCTGGATCCATCGAACTGCCTCACACCTGGAGCGGAGGCACATCAGGTCTTGCGGCACACTCTCCGACAGATGCATGCCTTTTGAGCAAACCCACGCGCCTCCACCGTCGCGTAGTATGCCAGCGGCACGCCGGTACGCCTACGAGTCGTGCGCGCTCGGCAGTAATCGGCGTTGAGACTGCCTAGCGCGCACATCGAGAGCGCCGAGTTGTGTTGCCGCGAGGAATCCTGCTCGAAGATGGGGTCCGAGCGGCGCCTGATCGCATGGGATGGATCAGTGGGGCTATCACGTGGGTACTAGGCCTGGCGAGTGTGTGGGAGATTCACGCCCGTCGCTCAACGTCTGTTGAAAAACTGTTCGCTGAGCAAGCTCACGGTCGAGCGGGCTTGATGCGCGCTTCAGGATAGCAAGAGGCGTGCCCACTCCCCTGAGGAGCGTGCGGGCACGCCTGGGAATCGTGTGGAGCGACCATGGATGGGATGACAGCCGGCGAAGCGCTGCGCCAAATCCATGGCTCCGAAAACCGCCCTCGACGTGCTGGACGCTTCATTCACGGCGGAGGCTGTGAAGTCGCGGCATCGAGTTCAACCTCAGCGCACGCACGCACCGTGCTGGGGAGGAGTTGGCCTGCGAGCGGCGAGCGCTCCCGAGCGCGCGGCGCCCCGTTCTGGCCATCTTTCGCTTTCCCACCACAAAATCGCCTCTATTTTGTGCGCTTCCCCGGTGGCACAGGTCTAGCAAAACTTCTCGCCCACCGCCATTCTCAAGCTGCGCCGCCTCGCGCGCAAAGTCGCGCGCGGCAGCGTTCACCGCACGGCCTACTCGCCCAAGTACTCGCTCTCTTTTATGTCCCACCATTGCAGAGAGAGCGCATCTCTCTCTCTGTTGTGCGAGGCGTGAACCGCGCCATTCGCTCTCACCTGGCAACCCGCCCAAAGCAAAACTTGTGTCAGAGGGGCCAGATTGGCCGATTTATAACGACGAGACCGCGTCTGAAGGCTATTTTGCCGCGACACCGATACACCCGGTTGAGGGCCCGCGGTTGTGGCTAGTGGAGGGTGCTGTACAATCCGAGGGCGTTCCCATGGCCTCACGGGCCCGGGCGACGATCGCGGCTAGAAAAATAAAAAAGTACCATCCGTGGGGGCGAGATTTTACTTGTGTAGCTCGATTTTGACCCAGAACTACACAGAACGGCCCCAAATCGGCCCGGAACCGACCCGTGGGCCCGTCTGCCGCACCCAGCTCCGCCGGGAGGGGCGCGCGCCGTTCCCCGCGGCTCGGGCGGGCCACGCAGACGCGGCGGGAGAGCTTCCCGTGCCCTGTGTGAGTGCCGTCACACCGCCTCAAATAGGTCCCAAAGTGGGGTTTGCCTCAAGTGGCGCCATTTTTTGGCGCGCGGACGGTGTGGACCCCGGCCCTGCGTGTCACTGTCAGACTCACAGCCGGGGCGCGCGGGGGGCCACTCGCTTGCTTTTTTTTCGCTCCAGCCCTGTTAGTAGAACGGAGGGCAGGCGAAGCCTTCACACTCCAAGGGGCTGGCGGGGGGGGGGGCGGAGGCCGCCGTGTCGTCTGCCCGCGCTCACATCACAGCCATGGCAGCAAGCACGGACGAGGCAATGGCCCAGCCGAGGGGGCCGGCCTTGGGCGCGGCGAGTGCGTCGGCCTCCGTGAGCGCCCATTTGAGCGCGAACAAGGCGTTGGCGGTAAAGGCCCCGGCGAAGGCTTGCGCGGCGGAGTACCCTGCGGCGAGCACGCCGAGGTACGTGCCGAGCATCAGCATGGTCCCGCCCTGGAGGCCGAGCATGGAGTACGCCAGCGGCGACAGCGGGCCGGGCACCTTGTACATGTCCATCTACAGTGTCCGCGGACCGGACGTTAGAGTATGCGGCGCGCAGGGCGCGCGTTGCTTCGAGGACAGGTGTCGTTGCGGCGTTCCGTTGACTTGGGCGCAAAGTGGAACTGGGCGCCGTTGCCACCCCAGAGGGCGACTGCCACCCACGGCGAGATGAGGCCGCCAAACGAAAAATATCCGAGGAGGCCCGTGAGGCACATCCACGCAAGGGCGGGCGCCTTTGGGGCGCCCAGAGTCTCATTCATGGGCATGCCGACGAAGATGGTCGCGGCGGCCGCCAGGTGGGAGATGGAGTTGACGTCGGAGGGGTCGCAGACCAGCAGCGCGCCCAGGGCAATCTGAAACATTCCGACCTGCCGCATGACCGCGAGCGCCTTGGAGTCGAGCTGCTTCTCGTCCATGCCGTAGCTCTTGAAGTTCTCGGCCGGCGCAATGTAGGCAAAGGCGCCAGAGGCGGCGAGGATGCCCGCGCCGACCTTGGCGACGGTGGAGATGTAGGCGTCGTATCCCTGCACGTCGGGTGAATGGCCTGTCAACTAGGCACAGACAGCCAGACTAGCTCACCAAGACAGCGCACCATTTGATTTTTCGGCGGCGAACGCCGAGATGGGACGCTGCACCCCTGTGTGAATCATAGCCGTAGCGCTGACTCGTCTGACTGTCGTTGCTGTCTCTCTTTCTCGACTGTCTGATTTTGTGTTTTGGGTCCGGGGTTGTGTTTTTCTGTAAATCATAAACAGCGCGCAGCGCGGCCCACGTATTTTCTTCTCAAACAAGGTGCCGAAGCCTGAGTCGGAACCGTAAAACGAGGAAGTCATCGAGGGTGTCGAAAATGTCATTCGCTTCGCTAGTAGAGTCGGAGCCGCGAGCCGCTCTCTTCTTCAAGGTCTGTGAACATGCCGCCAACCAACAGAATCATCGTTCCACAACTTCGCCAAAGAGTTCGGCAGCCCGAGCGCCGTCGACCGCACAGCCTCCGGCAGCGCCCGGGGCTTCGTCCAGCACCACTCGCAACAGCTCTCGCGCGCCGCCGTCCTGTGGCGACGCGCAGAACATAAACAACGCTGCTCGCAACATGCGTGTCGCGCACTCATTCATGACCGGTCTCAATCGAATGTCCCACGCTCCCACCCCCCTGCGCGCGGGCCTTCTAGGCCTGCGGGTAGTCTGCCCCTAGCGGCCTAGGTCTCCCCCCTTCCCCAGGGCCTCCAGGGCTCACATCTCAACCTCTCATAGACCAGCGCGCAGCGCCATAGGCTATTCTAGGAGGTATTTCCTTCTCAACACAAGGTCTGTGAACACAAAACAGTAACAGATCGGCTAGTCAGATATGCGAGAGTCCCACGCGACACCGCCTCTAACCTCCAACCAACGCGCTGGGGCCAGTTCACGGACGCTGTTCCCTCCCTCCCGTGAACACAAAACAGAAGCGGCGCGAGATGATGCACAGACTACACGGTGTGATGTGTAACGAGGACGAGCTGTGTTGGCGTGAGCACTTGGAGCACTTGGAGCACTTGGAGTGCAGTGGTGTCGGCAACCTCACATCCAGGGCCATGAGCTTCCTGCATGGGCTGGTCGTCACCTCCTCTTGGTCGTCACGCACATGCAGACTCAGTCAATCGTCCTCCTCCTCACAGCCTTGGCGGCCGTAGGCGGGCTCTCCGTCCGAGCCGCCGGCAAGCGAGGTGGCAGGACACCGGCGCGGTCCCGCACGCCTGCTCGTGATCGCAGCATCGACAAACCGGATGGCACCAGAAGCACGGCAGCGACTGCTCGCATGCCCCTCGCAGCACCGTGGATGACGCCGTTGAAGAAAGCACTGAGTCACGGCGGCACGCAGCGAAAGGCGCGCGACCGATCCGCGGCCAAGCGAAAGCACGTGCAGATTGCCACAGTCGATCCGCTGAGCGGGAGGCCCACCGTGCGCACCGTCGTCTCGCGCGGCTTCTTGCCACAGCGCTTCGTGGACGGAAATTACGGTGCGTCAACCAGCAAGGAGGAGAGCTGCTGCCTGACCTTCATCACGGACGACCGATCCGCCAAGTTTAGCCACCTGGGGCGCGGCGAAACGCAGGGCTGCCCGATCGAGTGCTGCTGGTGGCTTGACGAGGCGAGTGTGCAGTTTCGGATCGCGGGCCGCGTGCTCGTAGCGACGGCGCGGACGACGGATCCTGTTCTGCGTGCGGCAGTCGATGACGTGTGGGGCCGCCTGGGAGACTCAACCCGGAGGCAAATGTTCTGGGCCAGCCCAGGCGCGCCCAGCGGCGAGGGCGATGCCGAGGTGCCGCGTGCGGATGACGAGATCTCGCTCGAGGCCTCCCACTTCGTGCTGCTGATCGTCGTCCCGGATGGGGTGGACGAGCTTCACTTGGGCGGCGGCCAAAAGAGGATCGTGTATCGTCGCGAGGACCGGGCTCTCGCTTCATCCCCTACGTGTACCTTGAACAACCTCCGGGGAGCCGTGTGGTCGGAGGAGAGCGTGAACCCGTGAAGTAGAACCGGGTGTGGCTTTGTGCATAAATATACGGTTTTCGACGGTAGAGTCACAACACAGTGACACACACCTTATAAGGCCGGTGCTTTTGGCAAAAGGTGCGCACACACAACCCAGGGTCTCACATACAAGATACATCGCACAAACGCGGACACGGACAGGCGACACACCACCGACGACCGATGGCGATACAGGAAAGAACATGCAGACTCACAATTTGTCCGGCGGCCCCGCCGCCTGCTTGTTGACCGTGAGGCTCCTCCTCGCCGCCGCCCTCTCGAGCTGCTCCTGCGTGGGCAGCCTCAGGTCCCACACGACCCCGAGCAGCTCGAGCGCGCGCAGGATTGCGTATGAGAGGTCCGGCTCGCGCCAGGTCAGCCCGTGCCGCGCCGACCACGGGAAGGCGTGGTGGTTATTGTGGTTCCCCTCCCCAAAGGCGGCGAGGGCGACCCACACGTTGTTGCGGCTGTTGTCGGTCGTGGCGAAGCGGCGCGAGCCCCAGCGGTGGCAGGCGCTGTTGACGGCAAAAGTGGCGTGCCACACGCCCACCGTCGGCACGATGAAGCCCCAGAGCAGGCCCGGCAAGCCGTCCGCCGCGTAGGCGAGTGCGCCCAGCGCGATGCCAGGCCCGTGGTGGAAGCGGTCCAGGGCGACCAGCTCGGGGTACTGGCGGAAGCGCGCGACGCGGCCGCGGCCCGCCTGGAAGGCTGCGGGGTGGGCGTCGTACTCCATGCACGCCCAGAACCAGCCCATGTGCGCCCAGAGCAGCGAGCCGCAGACGGGGCTGTGCGGGTCGCCCGCCGAGTCAGAGTGCAGGTGGTGCTCGGCGTGGTGCGATGCCCACCAAAGCGGACCCTTCTGCCACGCGCTCGCGCCGAGCACCGCCAGCGCGAACTGGAACGGCCGCGAGGTGCGGTAGGACCCGTGGGCAAAGTACCGATGGTAGCCCGCCGTGATGCCGAACATGCGCAGCCCGAAGGAGCCGACACACATCGCGAGCTCGAGGCTGCCGGGCGGCGGCGCACCCGCGCCGAGCAGGGCCCACGCGGTGGCGCTGTGCATGATGACAGAGGTTGTCACCAGGAGCGGAGGGCCATCACCGAGCGGCGCGCCGTTCGCCTCGCGCTGGCACTGGGCGGCCGCGAACCGCAGCGGCCCCATCGACCGATCCTGAGGCGCCGGATGGTCGCGCGTGCCGATGGGGCGCAGCAAGCCCGCCGACGTGGACGCGACCCCGCTGCTGCATCGCGTCGGACGCAGGAAACGGCTGGGCCGCAGCGCTCGAGTCGCAAGACCGCCGTAGCAAGCGCGTCCTCGCATGGCGCATTCGCGCTGCTGCCTGGCTGCTTCGTGCGGCTCGCGATGGTTCGGTGGTTCTTTTTTGTGTCCCTGCCGACTGTTCTTCACGTAAACGCACAACCCCGGACCCGAAATCGCACAGAGTCACTGTTCTTCACCTTCCTTCCTACATACATACATACGTGTGTCTTGTGAGCTTGTTTGTGTCTGTGTGTCGCTCGTGCGTCTCGTTGTAGGTATATTGTTGGCAAATCAAGACACAGAGCTCACACAGAATCACAGCGGGAGGAAAGCGGCGAGTCGCAATTCCAGGGGTCGTTGTGGCGGGCCACCCTGTCCAGAGAGGCATGGATGCCAATCTGGGGTCTCTCGACCGAGTCTATGAGCCCTGGCCGCCTCCCGATCTTGGTGGTAAGGCCGCAGCCGAACAGGGCGACGGAGATGGCGCGGGAGAGTACGGGTGTTCCAGGGGATCACGACACGCACCGACCCTTCACGAGCCGAAAGGCCGTGCCCGGCGTGCAAGGGGCACGGTAATCCGGCACGTGTTGGGCGCCCCATTCCGTTTTTTTCTCGTCATCATCTGTCTGTCTCGCGTCCATCCACCCATACTCGAGTACCGCCTACCGCGTTGGTGTCCAGTCCGAGCCTGGCTGTTCTTCACCTTCCTAACTAACTAACTGTGGCAAGGTACCTTCAGAACTGATCGTGTTGCGCAGCAGCCGTCCCTCTGCCGTCCTTCGGCCGACGGCAGTGCGCTGCGCTGTCGCTCTGTGAGAGAGAGAGAGATTTTTAGCTCTGTGTGGGCACGCACGCTCTCGAGCGAGAGATAGAGATTTTAGAAAACCAACCAGAAATCAGGACTCTCTTCGCTCTCGTGCTTCGTTCGTTGTGACCCACCCTGTCCCACCCGTGTGTGATCAGTGTCTACTCCCTTAATGTGGGTAAACCATAGTAGCGTGCACGCTACTATGAACAGAGACCTCCCGACGGGCGCCGCCTTTTTGGGCGGCGTATAATGGTGGCCCTGCTCGTCCTGCTGCCATGGAGCTTGGTGCCACGGCCGGTCCTCGACTCCGCTGCCAGTCGATCGGGCTCATGCGACTTGCTCGGGGTCAATCGCAGCGCGGACATGAACCGTCCTCCCCATGCTGTGGCACAGGTGAAATTCTGCGCCTTTCAGCGAGAACCAATCGCCCTCACTTCATCCTGCCCAAGGGTCGCGCTACGCGTGGGCTGCTGGTCGGCGGTCACGATCCCACACGATGGTGGCCTCAGCAGCGGCCTCGCGCGGCAACTTCCTGGACCTCCTCGCTGCGATGGAATGACCAGTCTGCACGACTTCAGCGAGGCTTGGGGATTGCTTCCGGTGCAGGGCATTGGGATCGCGACCCCCACGGGACTTGGCCGCCACTCCGTGAGTGCCTCGGGTGGCCTCGAACCGGCAGCACTGCACCGAACCGGCGGACGGCGCGACCACGTGGTCTCGTTGGCTCATGAAGCTGCACAGCGAGAGGTGGGGCGTTTCGAATATCAATCCTTCGGGGTGGGGGAGCTTGCACCTGGGCATCAGTGCTGCTGGCAGGTCCCTCCCTTCTCTGCGGCCACGCTCCTCCACGACGGGGGCCTCAGCTGCGATCGCGCGTGGCACCCCTCCGGTCGTCCTCTTGGCGACGCCCCTGTCTATCTTTGCGTCGCTGGCGAGGATTGGAGCTTGCTTCCGGTGCGGGACTTTGGGATCACGACCCCCACGGGACATGGCCGCCACCCCGTGGGTGCCTCAGTTGGCCTCGAACCAGCGGCAACGCGCCGAACCGACGGACGACGCGACCACGTGATCTTGTCGGCTCATGAAGCTATACAGCGAGAGGTGGGACGACTCGAATATCAATCCTTCGGGGTGGGAGAGCTTGTACCTGGGCATCAGTGCTGCTGTCAGGGCCCACCCTTCTCTGCGGCCACGATCCCCCACGATGGTGGCCTCAGCTGCGATCGCGCGTGGCACTCCTCCGGTCGTCTTCCCAGCGATGCCCCCGTCTATCTTTGCGTTGCTGGCGAGGACTGCTACCCGACTCGAGTGCCCGGCGAGGCGGCTGGGACCTCACCGACGCGCGACGACCGGGCGCTGACTACCTACAAGAAGGTCGAATCGACGTCTGCGCGTCGATCCGAACTGCAACGGGTACACACGTGCCCGTCACCTGATACAGCCTTGCTGCAAAGTGAGACTCAACGGCTGTATGGATCCAACGGGGTGGAGAGGCTCGGACTCGCATGTCAGGGCCACAGTCGATTCCTCCCTCCCCACGACGCGTGGAGACCCGACGACTGGGCAGTACGAGACGAGGCGGATCCTGATAGGAAGGCACAGCTCTCAATGAGAACGATGGGCTTGCCCATCCCGGAGTGGTTCGATCCCACATGAATCCGAGACGGTGACGGGTGCGTCTCGGTGATCTCAGGCCCAGTGAGGTAGTGCATCAGACTATCCCGGATCCTGCTGACCAAGCTCCTCTTGTAGCTCGATCGGTCACACCGCCATCGCCGTCGGGGAGAGGGGGGACGACACTGCTTCGGCAGCGTGCACCTCGATCCTGTACCGTGTTTGTTATGACCCCCCCCAATGAACATACCAGTGAGGGAGGGCGAGACGATCGAGGGGTCCCGTACCACGCGGAATCGGCCCTATCCAGTGCTCAAGTGCTCAAGTGAACAGAGAAGCCCATAAAAGTCGCCGCTGCAGTCCACGACGAGCCAGCCTGCTGCCGGCTCGCACGGCAGCCTCTTCCTCTCGACCAGCCTCAACTTCCGTACAGTCAACATTTTGTCGCTGCGTGCTCGTGGCGAGCTGTGGCGGCGGTCGAAGTTGGCCCAGATTCGTCGACGAGCGCCGGACGATAGTAGTGTCTCTGTTCGCCCTGTGCATGTCAGGCCAGGCTGCAGCAGGGCACTACCACCGTGCTGCCCTGTTGCAGCCTGACTTTGCCCACTGTGCACAGCCGCCAGAGCACCACCACCGCCCGGCATCGTGTCACGGCGAGCTCCTTCTGCGCCCGCTCGCGAGGCTCTCGCGCTAGCACACTTTGGACATCTTCTGCTCGCGTTCGGCGAGCTCTTCTCCGCACTCCTGCCACGGCGCCGTCACCAGACACCTTCTGGCCGGCCTGAGCCGCGCGGGGTCGCCGGCGGGGGCAACGCGTCGACCTCTCTCTCTGGTGCACCACGGGCCGCGACGGCCTGCGAGCAGCTGGCGCGAGGAGGCAGTGTGCCGGCACAGTCGAGCCGGAGCATCGGGTTCTTGATGCTTGTGGGGTCAAGTTTGACCTTATTTGGTATAATATGCAACAATAATGCTATGCTATCTCCCGGCTTTTTGAGATATGATCCCTCAAAGTCGAATTATGGTTTACTGGTGACCATAGTAGTGTCTGGCGTGTTTGCGTTTCTTCAAACGAATCCTTTAAAGTCTCGACAATCACCAAGCTGCTTATGTGGCACCGCAGAGGCTCCCTTGGGGATGCCTGAGGCCACCCCAACCACTCACCAAGCCTTACGTGGACGAATTCAAACCTACTTTTATGGTTTACCCACACTAAGCGAGTATTAGAGTTGTTTGGTATTGCTAAATCTCTCTCTCAGACGGGAAGGGAGATCTTTGGCTCACGCCAGGGCGCTCGTTGCTCCTCCGTCTTTTTTGTATCTTTCATACTGCGGTTTCAGAAGACTGCGGGCTCTTTTCGTTGTATATGGCTCTTACGTTTTTTGGTGTACCTGTGTTTGTTAGTTCGAGTTAGTGCCAGTGAAAGAAAGAAAGAAAGAAAGAAAACGGACAAGCCGAGGATGCACCAACTTTCTTCTTTTCACCGACACTGACGGCGCCCGCGTCAGACCTATGCCCCTCCCACCGCTTTTATGGCGGGTGGGCCAGTCAACAGGGTTTCCCCCTTGAAAATAATAAATACGCACGAGCGGGAGGCGCAGCAGCGGCGCCACCACGCGACACTGAACGGCGCCCTCGTCAGACCAGCATATGCCCCTCCCACCGCTTCCGCTGCTGCTGCTGCTCGGTGTCGGCTTCAGCGCCGCGTTCGCTCCTCCGCGCGGCGCTCCCGGCCGCAGGCGAAGCCGCTGCCGCTGCCGCCCAGCGAGCCTGGCGGTGCCGCTGGATGCAGTGGAGGGCCTCTCGTGCCGGGTCGACGAGCGCTGCATCTTTTTCGTCACGGGCAACGCGCGGAAGGAGGTCGAGGTCAACGCAATCCTCCGCGAAGCAAATATAGCGCCCTTCCGTGTTGTGCACGTCGATATTGACCTGCCAGAGCTTCAGGGCCCTCTGGGTGACCGCGGCGCGCTGGACATTGCGCGCGCAAAGTGCCTGGAGGCGAGCGAGCGGGTCGGAGCCGCCGTGTTGGTCGAGGACACCAGCCTAAGCTTCCCTGCGCTCGGTGGCTTGCCTGGGCCGTACATCAAGTGGTTCATCGATGCGATCGGAAACGATGGGCTGTGGCGCCTGCTCGAGACCAGCGACGACCGCTCGGCCTTTTGCCAGTGCACCCTATGCTACTCGTCGGGCCCCGGAGCGGAGCCGCTCCTCTTCGTCGGCAGGACCGACGGCGCGATCGTCCCGCCCCACGCTTCGAGTGGCGGCGGCGGCTTCGGCTGGGACGCGATCTTTGTGCCTGACGGGCATGAGGTTCCCTTCGCAGCGCTGTCGCTCAAGGAGAAGAATGCTATATCGCACAGGGCGAGAGCGCTGGAGAAGTTCGTCGCCCACTGCAAGCGACCGCTCGGGCTCTCCGAGCCTCCAGGACGTGCAGAAGACGCATAAGTTTTCACTGTCGGGCGACGCAGGCGCGTTGGGTTGTATCTCGTGGCACGTGTATTATCTTCTGGTGCATGCTATCTCCCGGAATTGTCGGTACTAGGTGTGCACGTATCACGGACTCGGGCAGCCGCGGTGTTGCGCACGGGGGGGGGGGATGTCAGATGTCACACCACGAGACTCTCTCTCACTCTCTCTATATAGCTACGCGCGCGGGCGCGCGCGGATAATTTCCATATACCTATTTTTAACTGTGGTGTTGCCGTTGGGTAGTAGGCTACGTGGCTGGGTTCACAGCGTAAGTAGGAAAAGGACGAAAACACTTCTCGCAAACGAAGGGAACACTCCGCCTCCGCCTCACTATTGTAGCCCTGGCCGGTGCGCGTGCTCAGTTGAAGTTCCGGAGTAAAAAATCGAACGCGTTCTCTCACGGTGACCAAAAAATGTCCACCTCAGAGGCACCTCCGGAGGCAGGCCGCCGCACGCCGGCGACACAGCTCCAGCTGTCGAACTGACCCGCAGCTCCTCTCAGAGCGGGAACTGTGACGAAAGTTGACTGAGGCGGTTGTCAGGAATCATCATACGGATCACATGGTGGCTCTCTCATGACGTGAGAGGGGAGACCGCCCGACCACTCCTGGGTGGCACTGCCACCGGTGTCGCTCGACGTCCTGTCGACAGCGTGCCGACAGCGACACAGACCATGTGAGACGCGTCGAGTATCGACCTCTACTGCTTACCCAGCCTTCGAGTGTATCCTGGCTGTGGTCCCACACCCACTGGTGTCCATCTCAGAGACCGCAGGAGGTCTCTCATGAGGGTCGATGGGAGTGCCAAAACCCCACAATGCCTAAAAACACCCAGCCCAGTAAGTTCTGAGCCTCCGAGGCTTAACGGGTCTAAGTGTGACGCGTCACGCTGGGGTGCTTACGCGGTCTAAGATCGGCGGGAGCCTCTTATGCGAGCTAAGTTACGCTAAGTCGGCCGTGACGTCCGGAACCGCATCGTTAGGGGGTTGCCTCAAATTTTTCTCTCTGTTTCCTTCCCCTGCGGCGCGGCTAGGGTGCCCACAGGACCCAAAAAAGAAAAGAAAAAAGAAATGGGCCATCCCCGATCGCAGCACTTCGTGTTGGAGAGTCGAGATATTGAGAGTGTGACTAGGAGGGAGGGACGCTGGGGATTCTCAAAGGTATACCCTTGGAATGGCCGGATCCAGCCTTAAAAGTACGAGATCGCGCGCGCTTCACGCACAGCACCGCCTGTTCTCCGCGGCTGTGTGACGACGCGTGCCGTGTACCAGCAGAGTTGGGCGCGCGCGGCGCGACGGCGCCCGCGAGGGAAGGCGCGGGTGCAGCGGCCGCCGGCGGCCGTACCGCCCGCCAGCCGGCGCAGCAGCGGCCAGCGCAGCGGCCGCCGGCGCAGCAGCCAGAGCAGCCGGTGCGCGCCTTGCGAGGCGAGTACTGCCGCCCGGCAGCCTTGAGGCGGCCGGGCGGCAGTACTCGTTCGAACTTTGCGAGCCGTGCGCGCGCCGAGGCGCCCTGCGCCGCTGAGTGCTGCGCGCATCTCTACCTCGGCATCGCCTTCGACGCAGCCACGCTCAAGCGGCTCAACGCTTCGGGGCTCCAGGCCGCGTTGAGAGAACAAGACCCGCGATGCATCTTTCTTCTGTTAGCAAAGGGGGAAGAGACGCAAGTTTTCGGAGTCGGTGGAGCCGGGAAAAGCTGGCGAAGATGAAGGGCGGCAGCGAAGGAAGCGACACCAACAACGAGGGAAACGGCCACACCGGCCGTCGCATGACGCTCGTGAGACGAGCAAGAGAGCGAATCAAGGGGGGTCGGAACCCTGGGAGGACGGAGGGTGAGCCCTCATGCGGGGGGTCTACTCAAGTGCCTGCGCGAGTGAGTGTGGAGTGGTGGTGTGAGGCGTGCAGTGTGGTGTTCATTAGCTCCGAGTAGAGGGGGCGTCCTGCAGTTAAGGGGAAACCCGGTACGCGGGGCCAACCCTCGGAGACCCGTGTTTACTTTACGGCCCGTTCCCTGCGAATGCGCACCCCCCCTAGCTAGGGGTCAGGGCTCTCTAGCCCGTAGCCCGATGCCGATCATCCGGCTCGCTGGGTGCGCTTCTTAGCTCCCCGGCCCTGGATGTGAGGTTGCCGACTGCACTCCAAGTGCCTCCAAGTTTTCTAAATAAAACGGACACGCCAAACGAGGGATGGGAGAAGGACAGGGTCCCCACCTGCACGAGCAGGATCTTGGAAGGACGATCAGGGACACAGGGGAACGGGAGTGGGGAGCGGCATCGCGACACGGAGGGGGCTGGCTGGGCAGGGTTCACCCACACGACAGGGTCCCAGGGATTCCCCTCTCGTATTCCTATAGGACAAAGTTGCACCCGGCGGCATGGGGGCAGGCGCGGGCCTCCTACTTACTGGTTGCGCTCTCCTACCTAGTTCTCCTGCTCACAAAAGGGATCTTAAGAAAGAAAGAAAGAAAACAGACATGCAAGGAAGGGAGGGATGGGAGGACGGCACGCAAAAGGATCTTGTAAGGACGAGAAAGTTGGGGCAGAATTTTTTCTTCGAGCACCATGCGGCAGTGCGGATGACACCAGGTGCGCGAATTTAAGAGCCATTTTCGATTCCGTGATTTTGGCACTGTCTGTCTACCACCTTTGGCACAAATCGACTTGGTCTGGGCACAGCTGAGCCGGCCTGCACTGCGTTTGCCTTCATTCTGAAAGTGTAGAAGGGAAGGCGGCATGTCGGAGCGTGACGTTCTCGGGCAGAAAAAAAAATTTCTTCGCCGTTGCCCAACAGCGCCGTCCACCGCAGCAAACCATGCTTCTCTCGGCTCGCCGAGTCGCGCGGCTCGCGCCGGCTGTGCGTTCGCGCGCCCTGTCCAAGGTTGTGGCGACCATCACCGGCCCGTGCAACAAGGAGGCGCTCTCCACCTTTACTCGTGCCATCGATGGCATCGGTGGCTGCAAGCTTGGCGGTTCGCGGTCCATGGAGGTGTCGTGTCGCCCGGCCCGCGCGCACTGCCTGTCATCAAGCAGCGGCGCGACCGGTCGCAGAAAGCGGCTCCTCAGCCACTGGCGCTCCTAGCCGAGGGACACGGCGCCGACCGCGGAGAGCTGACGCTGATTCCCCGATGCGCAGTTGAGCGGCACGGTGTCAATCAGCTCGGTGGTGTTCGTCCCGGAGGGCCTCGACAACCACGAGGCCGCAGCCCCGCCCCGCGTCGTGTCGTCCGCTCTCTCGCTGGCCCACCGCCTTCCCCTCTCTGGGCCCGGACACGGCCAAGCAAACGCACCTCCAAGCTGCCACATACCACCAAGCCGCCAGACCACTGACCAAGCCGCGGTATTGACAGCCTCCCCTCCCCCCTCCCCGTGCGCAGCTCTCCCACGCTCTCCAGTGCGCCCTGCCGCCTCGCTACGTCGTCAGCGTCCAGGAGAGTGGCGAAGGCAACGCGCCACAAGCGTTTGCCAGGTGCGCTCCCTCCCGCGGCCCTCGCCGCCCTCCCCTCCCGCGGATCGTGGCGGAGTGTCCGCTCTTCCGCGCTGACCCACTCTCACTCTCGCCCTCCCGCGAGCCGGCCGCGTGCAGCCCCGCCACGCACAGCGCCCCTCACCTCGCCTGCACGGCCCGCCCTCCCGCCTCCCCGCCTCCCCGCCTCCCCCCGCCTCCCCGCTCCCCCGCCTCCCCGCCTCCCCCCGCCTCCCCGCCTCTCAGCCTCGCCTCTCCCCCGCCTCCGCCTCTCCCCTCCGCCTCTCTGCCCTCCGCCTCTCTCCCCTCTTCCTTTCGCAGGGTGACCGTGACCGGCGCCGAGCGGATGGGTGTCTGCTCCTCGCCCCGCCTCCAAGCTCGCACCGCTCGCCTCTTTTCACGCTGTGGCTGTGAACAGGCATCCCTTGCGGGAGACTCGGCGAGGTCTATGAACAGCGTCTCTTCACATGCTCGGAGCGTGAACAGGCATCCTCGCCGAGCTCGCCGACTACGCCGAGAGCCGCTCGCTGCAGGCGCGAGGCTAGCAGTGTGCTGGCGGGGGCGGGTGCTGCTCGCAAGCAGCGGCATCGAGCCGTGCTCACGGCGGGTACAGGGGGGAGCTGTGCCGCCGTCCGCCTCCACACACCCTCCCCTCTCCCGGCCCCGCCACTGCAGGTCTCCACCATGCTCGCCACGACGGACGCATCCCGCTACGGCGCCGACGGCATCGAAGGCGAGAGACAGCCGAGATGGTAGCCGAGATGCAGCCGAGGCGCTGGGGGCGGAGGCACGACCCTCGCCTTCTCCCTTCTTTTTCGCGGCTGCAGGCACCGATGACGACGAGGACCCAATCTACACCGCCACCTGCACCCTCGCCTCGCACTCGCCTGAAGAGGCGCGGGGCCACAGCCCTCGCGTGCTCCTCCCGCCCCTCCCGCCCCGCCGCCCGAGTCCAACTGACGCGGCGAGGCCCGCCCGCCTGCAGGACGCGCCGTGGGTGCGAAACGAGATCTACGAGTTCGGGGAGAAGGAGCCCCACGCAGCCCCCCCCCCCCCCCCCTCCAGCCGCCCTCGCCTGCGCATCTCTCACTTGCGAGCCGCCGAGCGCAGGCGGAACTGACCGTGACCTTCGAGGACCTCACGGCGCAGGCCTAGGCGAGGCGGCGGGAGGGGTGGGGTGTGCCGAGCTTGGTGAGCACGCGCTGCCCTCTGCTGTGAGCCTGTGCCGAGGTGCTGCGCCTGGCGACTCGATGGGAGAGGACGGGGTGTGCAGCACATTGCGAGCAAGGCCGATGGTTCGTGGTTAGCTTGGGGGAGAGAGGTGGAGGTGCTGGTGGCGACGAAGGGCGAGAGGAGGAGCTCGGCTGAGGCTGCGCACCATTCCAACACGACAACTCGACTAGATGAGAGAGTGTGTGGCACGATAGAGAGCTACGGCTTCGTGTTTGTCGATTGCTACAACATGTCGGTACGAGGCTGCAGCCTCGTCATCGGATTCGGAGACCTATCTCGAGAGAAAAGTCTCAAGACTCAAAAAAGAACACACACACCACACACGCAGGCGCGAGAGTATAAATACGCCCGTGTCCGCGGTCCCGGGCCCGCGGGATACCCAGATGCAGATCACGCATCAGTGTTGTGCCGCGATCTACGGTGGTGCTCCTCTCCACCTCACACCTCACAGGCTCACTTCTTGCCGCCAGGACAAAACTTGAGCTCGTGGGGCGGCTCGCAGTCCCTGGGGTCGAAGAAGGTGCGACCCGCCCCGAGCTCAGGCGGTAGGTAGCCCCCCGGGCAGCCTCGCTGGTAGCCAGAGCCCGGGTTGTACTGGTAGCCCTTCCCGCATCCAACCTCCCTCATCAGTTTAGTAGGCGCGTTGCGAATGTGCATCGGCACTGGGCATCGCGGCTCGTCCGCCGCCGACTTCATCGCCGCGTTGTACGCGCGGTACACTGCGACGGACTTGGGCGCGAGCGCGAGGTAGACGGCGCACTGAGCGATGCACACGCCGCACTCGGGCATACCGATCGCGTGCACGGCGGCATCGGCGGCGACCGCCTGCTGCAGCGCGAGCGGGTCTGAGAGGCCGACGTCCTCCGACGCGAAGCGGATCAGCCGGCGAGTGAGGTAGCGCGGCTCCTCGCCTCCCTCGAGCATGCGGCAGCAGTAGTAGAGCGCGCCGTCGGCGTCCCCTCCCCGCAGAGACTTGTGCAGCGCGCTGATCAAGTCGTAGTGGAAGTCGCCATTGCGGTCGTAGTAGGTTGCTCGTCGCTGCACGGCGGCCAGCACAGCATCCTCGTGCACCGCCCAAGCAGTGCCATCTCCGTCGCCAGCGCCGCCCGCGCCAGCTCCGCCCGCGCCGGCTCCGCCACGGGATGCGGCGGCGGCGAGCTCGAGCGTGTTGAGCAGAACTCTCGCGTCGCCGTCGGCGGCGGCGACTAGCGCACGCCGCGCCGCGGGGCTGAGGGCGGCGCCTTGGAGCGCGGCGTCGGCGGCGATTGCCCGGTCGAGGACGGCGGAGAGTGCGTCGTCGTCGACCTTGCGGAAGAGGACGAGGCGGCAGCGGCTGAGGATGGCGTTGTTGACGGAGAAGGAGGGATTCTCGGTGGTGGCACCTATTTTCCAGGGGTACGTTTGGCCATAGTCCTAGCTTAAGGTGGGAAGGGTAGGTGATGGGGATCCACCGACCAGAGTGACGGTGCCCTTCTCCACGTCCATGAGGAGAGCGTCTTGCTGCGCCTTGCTCCAGCGGTGAATCTCGTCCACAAAGAGGATCGTGCCCACACCGCGCAGGCGCAACGCATTGGCAGCGCGGCTGAGCTCCTCCCTCAGCTCGCTCACGCCACACTTGGCGGCCGAGAGGCTGCGGAAGAGACGCTGCGTCGAGGCGGCAACGCAGGCGGCGAACGAGGTCTTGCCGCAACCAGGCGGGCCCCAGAGCAGCAGCGAGGGGAGCCGGTCCTCGCAGAGCGACTGCCGCAGCACCGCGTCAAGCGCCTCGCCCTGCCCGAGCAGGTCGTCGAGGCGCGATGGACGCATGCGCTCGGCGAGTGGCTTGGCTGACCCGGCGGGCTTTGCGCCGCTGCTGCTGGTGTCGAGGCGGCGCTCCTTGCTAGGCGTGGCAGCCGCCGCGCTGGAAGGTCTTTTGCCGGTGGTAGACGCTGCTGCTGCCGGCGCAGCACTAGCCTCAAAGAACCGGTTCGCCGCTGCCTCGACAGTCCCGTCGCGAAGCAGCAGCTTTAGCGCAGAGTCTGAGGGCTCGTCGCCGACGATTGCGCGTAGCGTTGCGAGGTCCGCCATCCAACCTGTCCGGGCGATCTCGACGAATTCAGCGCGCAAGCTGTCGCGGCGTCGGAGCGCTGCTCAGTGTACCGGGTACTGGCTCATTATCGATCAACACTTTCGATAGACCGAAAGTAAGATCGTTCGGTGCAGAAACGCCGGCCACATGCCCATGTAACGCACTTGTGCTCGCTTTTTTTGATTTTTTGGTCGAGAAGTGTCTCCAAGTCTTCTGGACCCATCGATGGCCGTCGCCTCGACGCCGCTCGTCGCGGCACCATCGTGCCCGGCCTGGGCGAAGCGTCGTCGCGGGTTCCCGCCGCAGTTCGACGGCAAGCCGTGCGAGCCTGCCGAGGAGGAGGACATGTGGCTGTGCAGAGCCGACGGCCGCGCGCGCAGCACCGCCGACCTGAAGCGCCTGGCGACCGCCGCTCGGGTGCGAGCGAAACGAGCAGGAGATGCAGCCGCCGCGAACACGCGCGATCGGCAGGCGCGCGACCAGCGCCGCCGGCAGCGTGAGCAGCACGACCGGCGCGCAGCGCCGGCGGTCGCCAAGACCGTGCGCCCACAACGCGGCCAGTGCGGCTGCCCAGCGCACGCGGTGTGCGGCATGTGCGTCGACCAGGGCAAGCTCGCCGCGGCCGAGCAGGCGGCCATCGACCTGGAGACGCGCTTCCACGCCTCGACGAACGTCGTCATGGACCTGGAGCGGCCCGAGGACGAGACGGCGGCGCTGCTGCAGCGCTGCGTGCACGTCTCCGACGAGACGAAGCGGCGGCTGCTGGGCGAGTGGAGCGACGAGCGCATGGCGCACGCGCTGCCGCTGCACGCATGCGCCTCGTGCGGCGTGCGCGACCCGTCGCTGACGTACACGCGGGTTGACGTGTCGGCGCTGCCGCGTACTGTGTCTGTGCGCGTAGCCGGCGGCTAGAAAAGGAGTTGCGGTGTTGATCGCCGCGGGAGCCCTCTTATACATGTAGAGAGACGCATCTCCATCGCTTCGGTGAAGGGGGTGAACCGTGCCATCCTCGATCGCCGTGCAAAGCTCGCTTCCGAGCTCTCACGCCGCGCGTAGGGCCCTTAGGGGCCTAGAGAACACAACCCCCTCTCTCTTTTCTCCCAGTAAGCTAAAAGTACGTACATGTAAGCTGTGGTCCGCTGTTTTCACGGTGCTCAGCACGCCCCTCGTGCCCCTCGGGTAAGCTGCGGTGCAAAACTCTGTTTACCACCTTCAAGCACACACCCAAGACTCCCCAAAACCGCCCAGGATGAGCTCCTGAGGTGCCAGTCCGCCCGAGATATGACCGGTTGAAGTTGGGGTTCCACATGGCGGAGGCAGCCTCCAGGAGTGGCTCTCAGTTCGACACCTCGGTCTCGACCACGCCCAGACTGGGAGGAGCGGACCACAGCTTATAGCTCCGAGTAGAGGGGGCGTCCCCCTGCAGTTTAGGGGAAACCCGGTACGCGGGTCCAACCCTCGGAGAACCGTGTTTACTTTAAAGCCGTACGGCCCTTTCCCTGCGAACGCGCACCCCCCAGGACTAGGGCTCTCTTGCCCGCAACCCGATGCCAATCATCTGGCCCGCTGGGTGTGCTTCTTAGCCCCCTGGCCCTGGAGGTGCGGTTACTGACTGCACTCCAAGTGCTCCAAGTGCTGTCCTTCTCCAACCCACATCCTCGTAGCTGCTAGTTCGTTGTCCACTCCTCCGATGGGCATGTTGTGCGAGTATATGGGACAAAAGCGTCGAAAATGTCCCAAAAAGCGTGTCTCGAGTTTGTTGCAGCTCCGCAGCCTGCGCGCGCTGCCGGGACGCACCACTTGCTGGATCTGTGCACTCCCTGGGTCCCAGGGAGTGCACAGATCCAACAGGAGTGAGTAGGCTCGACGCCGTACTCGAGATGGAGCTGCAGAAAGTACGCCGCCGAGCGTGCCACCGACGGCGTCCCGGCGGCGGTGATGGAGTGTGAGACCTGAGGCTGCGGAGGTGACGCCTGAGGTACCGGCCCGTGCACAGCGACTCAGCCGGCGACCGCCACGGGCTCAGACGAGACTTGTCGACTCGTTCCGGCTCAGCTTCACCGTGGTCATCGGGCGTCTGTCGACGTCAGGACCACCCATACAGCTCGCGGGTTTGAGGTCGCAAGAGCCAAGATGGTGGCGTTTGGACATCCCAACCATCACACAAGACAGCCTGTAGGTGATGGCGGGACGGCGCAGTGTTTGTGGCACTCAGCAGTAGGCACCCGCGGCACGGCCCCGCTGTCGGCTCTCGCGGGCTGCGGAACCGGCCCCAGAGGGAGCCGGTCCGGGCGAGTGTGGCAGCTCCTGCGCTAGTATGGGCACCCTCTATCATAGCACTACTGATCCTGGTCATTAGAGCTGCCAGGGATAGCGTCAGGAGCCGGTAGGAGTCAAAACCTCTCATATTTGAGACATCGTGTCCCATATACTCGCACAACGAGCCGATGACTCATTGCTCGTTTGGTTTGTCTGTGTTCTTTCTTTCTTCTTTCCCACCCCCCACCCCTCCGTTTGGTCCGTTTTTATGGTATTTGTGTATGGCTCACAATAAATAATAACTCGATGCATTGAAAACTGTTCTCACACCGACCATTTCCCCGACTCATGGGTGTCAGCCAGTCATCCGCGGGTACGCGGGTACCACCGAATTCATTCGTTCGCTCGTGGGTCGTGCTCTCCCGCCAGCGAGCGGTGAGCGAGGGCCAGCTTGCGAGGTTGGTGCGCGCGGCGAGAGCTGGGGCCAAAGATACCCCACGCTCGATCGAGAGCGACGCTCCGGCCACCGAGCACCGACAGGCCACGCACCGCTCTCTACACCCAATAGGCCATGAAGCGGTCGAGGAGCGAGGTGGACGTCTCGCTCAGCGTCGCGCTCGCGTCGGCCACCGCCGACTTGGCCGCCTTGGAGAGGCCCGCCTGCAGGTGCTCCGAAGCGGAGACCGCGTGCTGCCGGATGCCCGCCGCGACGAAGGGCCACATCGTCTCGAGCTGCTCGACGGGCGGCATGGGGTAGAGGGGCACGCCTGTAGAGGGCGCGACGCTGCTTGCCGGACGAGCCAAGGCTACTACGTGCTGTTCGTGTGTGCGGCGAGCACGCCCGCGGCCTCGCAGAGGCGCGGCCAGACCTACGGGCGCGAGAGGCACGCGGGTCCTTCGCGCTCCCCTCTCCGCCTCGGAGCACCCCCACCCCCCCCTACCCTCGCGCCGTCTCCATCTCCTGCAGCGTCTCCCGCTTGGCGAGGAGGCCGAGCTCGTCCACGTGCTCCCTCAGGTCCGCCACCATCGCCTTGAGGCACTGGGCGCGCCTCCGGAGCAGCGAGTAGGAGAGCGCGTGCGCCAGCGAGCCCGTCTTCACCGGCACATCCTTGATAAGGTGGTCCTCGATAAGCGTCTTGAGCGAGTCGGCCTCGTATTTGTGCGCCCACCGCACGAGAGCAGAGTACCGCGCCTAAGGCACGAGAGGCGCGGTACTCTTTTTTCGCCGGCCTACTTCGTTTTTCGTACGAGAGCCGAGTATCGCGCCTCGTCCTGCAGCGCGGATTGGCGGAGGCCCGCCGGCCGCAGCGCGATGGAGAAGTCGCGAAACTCGTCCGCCGACGCCCCGGCCAGGTGCAGATCGGTGCGCAGCGCGCCGCTCGGCGTGGTGAGGAGGGCGCTGAAGACTGGCGACGCGAGCGCGAGGATGACGCTGTGTGACTCGACGCTCGAGCCGTCGTCGAAGGTGACGGTGAGGTCACCGCGGGGCACCCGCGTGCCGCCCGGTGTCTGCGGCGTGGCTGGCGTAGGTGTCTCAGGCGGAGACGCTCTCTCCGGCATCTTCGCGCTCTCTGTCTCAGGCGGTCCCTCTGTTCAAACCTAGATCTACGTTTAGCTCACCCAAGGCGCTGTGTATCATGTAAAAGAGAAAAAACAAAAACACGTGGAAGACGCAGGCATCCCCCATGGTGGCCGAGAAGAGCCCAGGCGCTGTAAAAATGAAAGCGGGACGTGAAGAACAGCCAGGCTTGGACCCCGACCGGAATAAAACGTTAGAATTATCTCTCTTCCGACCGGCGCCTGCCTGCCTGGAAAGCTGGAATATGGGGTCAAGGATTTATAAATAAGCCGCACAGCAGTGAGAAGAGATTCTAACGGTAAAACTCTGTTTTTTTTTCAATTTTATGGCCTAATCGGCGAAATACAGGAATGGGGTAATATCGGGAGAGATTTTAGCTGTCGCTTCCGCCGCTTCGCCTTCGTCTCCTTGCTGCGCAGCAGGGTGTAGTTCGGGCCCACCTCCGCCATGCTGTCCAGCACGTGGACGGCGCTCGCCATCTCGACCGCGTCGTCCTCCGGCGGAAGCTCCGCGTCGCTCGCGGCCGCTTCCCGAGCGCGCGCTCGTCGCGCATCCGCTCGTGGTGGGCCTGCCGACGCGCCACGCCGGCGCCCGTGTGCCTCGCCGCCGCGTCCGGCGACGGCATCGATGCTGTCCGCACGAGCGTGACTCGCCACTCCACGACCTCCACGACCTCCACGACCCTGACTGTCAATCGCACAACAGCGTGACTCCAGACGACCGCCGAAAAGTCGAGCGCCCTCCCCAAATCTCGAACACATCTCGAACCGTCGCACATTGTACATACATAATATCGGCGAATAGGCGAAGGTAATCGGCTATTTGGTTGCAAAATTCTGTTGCAAGCTACTCGCTCCCAAAAAGGCCGTGCTAGCCCCAATCGAACACCTTCGCAGGGCCCCCACATACGCTGTCCCCTGGGTAAGTGGTGTTCATCCGTCGTTCGTGCACAGCTCACCATGATTGACCGCAGCACGAAAGCAGCACCACTTTGGAGCGAGCTGCTTTCTGTCTTGTGTGGTGGTTGGGATGTCCAAACGCCACCATCTTGGCTCTTGCGACCTCAAACCCGCGAGCTGTAGTATGCTCCAAGTATGGGTGGTCCTGACGTCGACAGACGCCCAAGGACCACGGTGAAGCTGAGCCGGAACGCGTCGACAAGTCTCGTCTGAGCCCGTGGCGGTCGCCGGCTGAGTCGCTGTGCACGGGCCGGTACCTCAGGCGTCACCTCCGCAGCCTCAGTCAGGTCTCACACTCCATCCATCTCTCTCTCTCTCTCTCCATCACTCTCTCTCTCTCTCCGCCGGGACGCCGTCGGTGGCACGCAACCAACCCAAATCTCTAATCGCAGTCGAGCGTCGCATGCGTTTCATCGCCGTCGCCGCGCTCCTCGACAAAAAAAGAAATTCACACCCGGCGCGTGTGCGTCTCATGAGTCTGATGAGACTCGACCGACATGTCTCACTCTTGCTGGCTCTAGCGGCGGCGCTCGCGGCTGCCGACTCGACCGCGCCCACGCTGCGCGGCGCACGTGTGCGGGACCGCGTCTGGGTGCGCCGTCCGGGCGGCGGCCGCCACATCGAGCTCGTCCCGTCGCTCGAGGAGCTCTGCGAGCGCGAGCAGCTCGATCTCGGCGCGATGCGCGAGGTGGCGGCGGGCAGCATGGAGGAGCACGAAGGATGGAGCTGCGGCACTGCCAGCGAGTGCGAGAGCGAGGCGGCGGAGGCCGCCTCCGGAGCAGCGGTCGCCGATGGCGAGCTGACACCACCGTCACCGCCGGCTGGCCGCGCGGCGTCATCGCGGCGGAAGCCCAAGGCCGCCGCGTCTGAGCGGACCGCTGTGCTGAGCAAGGCTCGCGGCAAAACAGCGGCTCCGGCGGAGGCGGCCGAGGCGGCGGCAGCGGGTGCAGCCGTCCCGGCCGGCGGCGGCGGCGGCACGATGTCGAAGATGCTCGTGCAGGTCGAGCACGCTCTAGTCCACCGCCGCAGCGCGCACCGCCGCCCCTCCCCCCTCAGCCCTCCCGGACCTGACGCTACCAGACGAGGGCGCCGCGCCGGTGCCGTCCTGACGGCAGCCCGCGGCGCTGCGCCCTCACCGGGGCACGCCTCCTCTGCTGCCGGCGGGCGGCCACCTCCTCTTGGGCGGAGGCCGCCCGTGGGGAGAGAGGGGACCGTGACCCCGAGGTCCAAGAGCAAGCCCCGTTGCGGTCTCAGAACGCCTCCCCAAGAGCCCACGGCTGTGCGCTCATAACGCAACTCACATGGCGCAGCGCCGCACCCCTCACCGCCGCCACCGCCGCCACCGCCGCCGCCCTCACCGCCGCCGCCCTCACCGCGCAGCTCGTCGCCTCCACCACCGCCTCAAAGGCTGTCAAGCGGCTCGACAAGGCCCGTCCCCTCCCCCGCCACACGGCCCGCACCTCCCGGCCAAGCAGCGTCACCCCACTCCCTCCCGCCGCCAGGCGGCGCCAGACTTTGTGCAAAAGGCTCAAGCTGGCCCCGGCCTCGGCCGCGCCGCCCGTAGCCACGTGCAACGTCGCAGCCTGCATCACGGCCCTGTAGGTGCGGATGGCGTTCTACGTCCTCGCCGGCGTGCCCCCGCCCGCCGCCCGCCACTCGCCACCCGCCACTCGCCCTCCCTCCCGTGGAGCGATGCCCTTCCCCCCCCCCCCCCCACCCCCACCACCACCACCTCACACGCGCGCGCTCGTGGGGCGCCTGGCCCCGCCTCCGCGCGGGCACCCTCACGACAACTCCCCTCCTTCCCTCCCTCCTCCCAGGCGTCCGCCTGCTGCTCGAGGCCCTCGTGAGCTGGAGGATCGACGCGGCTGCGGACGACACACTCCTCGAGAACCCGCCCGCCGCAGACCCGATGGCGGCCATGCTCGCTGCGGTGGGGCTTGGCGGCGGCGGCGGCGGTACGGGCACTCTTGTCGAGCACGAGCGCGAGCCGAGCGGTCCGTGGAGCGTGTCGGCACCGCCCTGTAGGCGACCAGACTGTCGTCGAGTACGACCGTTCGCAGCTGAACCGCGCGGCGAGCGGCGGCGACGAGGCAAAACGCCGTCCTGCGGAGACGGTGTCCCCACGCCTCTCTGTGCGTGCGAGCAGGCGAACAGCTATAAGGCGAACGCCATCCTGATGTTTGTCTTGCACGCGCTGCTCGGCTGGAGCTCGAGCCGTCGTCTCCTCGGCGACGGTCCGCGACACGTCCACGACGCGTCCATGCCTCGTTCCCGTAGGCACTCGACCCTCATCTACTCGGCCACCTCCTCCGTCGTCGACTTCCTCTACCACCCGCTCTTCGCCATCCACGTGCTCGGCCGCTCTCCCATCGGCCACCTCGCGCGCCCCTTCAAGGCCCCGGGTGGTTTGCCCTTCAAGCCGCCGGAGATGCCCGCGCCGGCGGAGGCGGCCGAGGAGGCGGGGGCCGAGGCGGCGGCGGCGGATGAGGCGCAAGCGGATGAGGCGGACGGGTCTTGAGAGAGTGTTGAGAGGAGACCGCGCCGTAGCCTGCCCCTGGGGTTTGCGCAGCATACGTGCATATAAAAATGCAACTGGCGTCCTCTCTCGGGGCGCGCAACGAAGCCGCAACAACTCGAGACACTGTTTGCGCCGCCCCTCGAAGACGATCTACACGCGAAGATTGCCCGAAACGCCCCGCGGCGAATACAGTGAACAGCCGGGTGGGCCGCCGACCCACTGGAGTCGACCAGCAGAGAAACGAAGCGTGTCACGATCAGGCAGCGACGGTTCTCGGTATCAGCGCACACGACCGTCCGACGTGGCACGTGCAGGCTGCACGGCGAGTCCTCTCCTCTGGCGATTCTTAGCCCTCAATACATGAGCATCGTCCACGACCCCCCCGAAGAAACGAGCACTGGGATCGGCAAAACAGTTGTTCTGTTGCATTTTCATCTGTGACTGTCCAGTCTGAACGTACACAAAGTAAACGGCATGGGTTCTTGGGTTTTGTCTGTCTGACTGTCTCGGTGCGTCAGAGGGAATTACATTAGGCCTCACCTGCGTTCGTGCCTCGCCTGCGTCGTGTAACGGAGCTGACACATGACTGGAAGAACCTAGTTCTAGACGTGGCTGGTCAGACCATGGCAAAATCCACCACCCTCTGAATGAGGAACCTCTCGTCCGGCGCAGTCGCCTACGCGGCAGGTGACCACGGTCTCGCCATCGCCGCCGACGGCGTCACCGAGGTGACATCCGTCTCTGGCTCCGGCTCCAGCGCGCGCTCAGCGGCCTTGTGTGGCGAGAGGTAGTTCATCAGATTCGCCATGAAGGACGGCTCCGGCTCTTGCTCCGGCTCAGCCGCCTTGGCCGGCGCGCCCATGGCCTCGTCAATCATCATCTCGGACGACCAAATCTTGGTGCGCCAGATCGGCTCTGGCTCCACCTCAGCCGCCGCCTCGGGCTCCCCGGGTATAGGACCCTTCTGGATTGAGGTGTTCTCGGTCTCGGGCGGCGCGTCCGCGGTGGCCAGCGCGGCGTCGGACGCATCCACCTCGGCACTCGCTTGGAATTGCTCCTCGGGCGAGAGCAGCTTGGCCCGAGAAGAGACAACGTAATCGGCCATCTTCTGGAGGAAGCTCCTCTCGTCAGCCGGTGCGCCGCTGTCACTCTCGGCCAGTGCCTTTCCAGCCGACGAGGTGACGGCGAATGGCAAACTGTCGCCGACTTTCTCAATGCCGATGTCCTGTTCGTGCTCCGCCTCCGGCTCGACGGCTTGCCACCCGTCGCTGGGCGCCTCGGGAAAGGGCGTGTGGGCTTTCGAGGTCACGTGGCAGGCTCCCATGGCCGCACCTTGTCGTTTGGACGTGGCGGCCGAGCTGTTTCGGCTCATCGTTTCGCTTAACGAGATAACTCGTCACGCACATCAACAAATTACGTGTGAGTGTTAGAGTTGTTTGGTATTGGCGTCAGCAGCCACGATCATGGCCGTGACACCCTCGCCTGCCATGCCGAATCTCGGCCGATTGACGCGCGTCCCAAAAGTCGCCAAAAGTGGCGGCGCGTCGCAATCACCCGCCCGCCGTCCCGGCGGTCCCGCAGCTCGCGCACATCTCCCTCTTAACCCACCTGTAACATCACATTAAGGTATTGCTAAAAATCTCTCTCGCACATCCCCCGACAGTTGAAACGAAATTAGATATTCTTACCTTCTTGCCCCCCTCCGAGACTGGAGACACCCACACCCCAGTATCAGACCAGGGGGACTGCCCCCCGCCCCCGCTTGCCCTGACTGCACAGGATAGCGTGCCCCAATTGGCGACACATAGCGGGGGACACTGCGCAAGGAGGGGCTGCGTCGCCTTTCTTTGTCCTCTCGAGGGAATGTTCTCTCGACGCCCATCCTTTTCTGAGATTTCGTACTAATGACGTCCTTCTTGGCACTTCGGGCGTCGGTTGTGCGTATCTGAGAGAGAGATTTTTAGCAATACCAAACAACTCTAACACTCACACGTAATTTGGGGCCTGGAGCCCTGTTCACGCGCGCGCTTTGTCGTATCTGTGGTGTCTATTCCCTCGGTAATGTGTTACGGGTATCGGTCGCTGAGTGGACGCTATCTCTAACCATTTGATCTACGTTTGCCGACTTCGGCCGTCGGCCTCTCGATGGTCGAGTGGCTTCCGGATCGAATCGGCGACTATGACCCCTATAATTTTTTTCACACCTGAAGCGGGCCCAATTTTGCTCAGATGCACCTCCGAATTCGAAATCGCGTCCTCACGCTTAGCGCTTGGTGTGTACTTGTTAGAGGGAGCGGACCGTGAGTTGAGGAAATCGAGGGACGCGACCCACTTCGCCACAGACGGTCCCGCGCCTCGCCGCTATGACGGGCACACGCCCCGCACCGTCCGCTGTGTGCCCGTCTTTGTCCGGAGTGAATACTCCAACGCGCTCGTCGGTGGCGGCTTCCCTCAACCTGCGCCGCGCTCGGCGAACCTCGACAGCGCTTTCGGTGGCATGCAGCTCTTTGCGACAGAAGCCTGGAGAGCAGCTCCTCTGCTGCTCACACACTCTGCACAGTTGACACAGCCTACTGTGCGGCTGCCACAGCTGTGACAGCGATGGGCTCGCCCTCACTGGCCCTCAGTCACTTGTGCCGGCTTGTGTGAGCGACACTGCTCGGCGACTGCCGGCACACTGTGAGACCATGGGTGTGAGGTTAAACCACGCTACCAGCGCTTGGTCACATCGGCCCCGAGGTCAGATCCTTCTACTCTGTTGATGACAACACTTGTCTACTCGCTGGAGCCGAGCAGGAGGGCCCGGCGCACAACCCCTGGTCAACTCAGGGTCCACACCCCGTACGTGAAAACCCGCTGGGACCCGGACGCCAGCACACACGGCTAGATTTCATGGCGGGCCGCCTAGGTTGCGTCCGTTTTTCGTCACGGGTGAACCGACAGTTGGAACGAACCAGCGTGGGTATATTAGGAATTAATCGCCACCCGACAGTTGGAACGAACCAGCGTGGGTATATTAGGAATTAATCGCCACAGCTCCAGTGCTACGAGCGTCATCACCTTGCATGAATGGTCCCATCACATACTGGCTGCGAAGCTGCACCCGGACCCGCCAGCATCTGCCACCGAGCGAGGCCAACGAACGAGCGAGCGTCGAGCTTGTGGAGCTATGGCCATCGCTTTCGTCGGCCGACCCGCAGCCCCAGCCGCAGCCGCAGCCACAGCCACAGTCGCAGCTGTGCAGCCGCAGCCACGCCGGCCTTCCCGCGGAGGCGGAGTCTCACGCCTCCCGGAGCTTCTGCTGCAGCTCCTCACCAGCGCGCGCGGAGACGGCGGTGTTGCCGGCCGCGTAGAAGGGCGACATGGTGTCGAGCGCGCCGCCCGCGAGGGAGAGGCCGAGGCCGAGAGCGAGGCCTGTGAGGGAGCAAAAGAAAGGAAAGGAGAACTAAGCGAGCGATGGAGAGACAAGGGGCGGAGCAGGGGAGGATTCCATCTTGGAGTTTAAGGGTGTGGGGCGCGCCAATCTCGCGGATCGCCACCGGGAGGAGCTGGAAGAAGAAGTCGTCGTCAAGCGTGCCGTCGGCGCGCTGCGGGTGGGGGAGGTTGGCCAGCTCCCAGCGCTCCGCCTCGTCAAAGGCGATGTGCACCAGAGGGGAAGAGCCTTCCGAGGCCGCCTGTGGGCGGGCGGGACGGGCATGGGAGAGGCGCAAGTGGGGAGGCGGCGAGAGGCGGCGGGAGGGAGGCGCAGTAGTGGAGCTTTGGGCCAGTCGAGAGAGTGAGCGAGTGGCGTGTCCTGCTCTATCTAGCGGAGGTGGACGCGTGCGATCCGCGCGCACCGTCGTCTGCGCGAGCTTGCCTCCCGGCCCGTCGCGCGCCTCGTGGGCGGTGGCGAGCTTGGCGAAGGAGAGGAGGATGTGCGCGTCGGCCTCCTCCGCGGTGTACTCGAAGGAGATGGTCGGGAGGGACTCCAGGGCGAGCGAGGACGGGCGGCAGGCCTTGCTCCACGCACCAAAGGCGCGCTCGAGCTCGACCTGCGCGGCGTCCATCCACTCGTCCAGCCCCTCGCCCGGCTCGTCGTCGCGCCGCAGGGTCCACCTGACGGGCTGCGCCTTGGCGGCAACGAGGAGCCGCCGGACCACCTCCTTGTAGCGCTCGTCCGCCTGCGGCGCCGCCGAGAGGGCGGCGCGCGCCAGCAGCAGCGCCGCCTTGGTCTTTGGCCCGGCGACGCCGTCCTCCGGGAGCGCCGCGGCAGCCTGCGCCGCCTTGATAGCGTCCGCCGTCGCCTTGCCAACGACACCGTCGACCTTGAGGCTGGTCGTGAAGACGGCGTTGAGGAGCATTTGCAGCGCCACCACCTCCTCCTTGTCCTCGCTGCCCTCCGAGACGTCCACCTGAGAGGCGAGGCGCGGCGAGGCGAGGCGAGGTAAGGCGTCTCTGCACGCTGGTGAGGGGGAGGGGGGGGCTGTCCTTGACTCCACGTCCCCAAAGAGCGGAGCCCGGTGCAAGAGGGAGAGAGCGGCGAGCGAGAGTGCGAATGACTCCGAGTGTCGCGCCGCTACGTCCCACACCTCGAAGGAGAGCGTCGGCGAGCTCAGCTCGGGCGGCGGCACGCCCGCCTGCTCGAGCGTCATGGCGGTCTGCGTGGCGATGTCGAAGGCGAGCGCGTGCAGCACCGCGCGCGCGCGAGGGATGCCCGCCTCCTTGAGCGCCTCCGTCACGTCCACCTCCGCCGAGCAGGTTGGCGAGTTGAGCACGCAGTTGTCGCAGCGGACGGTGCCCTCCGTCGGGAGGACAAAGAGCGACGTGATGCCTGCACACAGGACGCGCCGTGGCCTCAGGTGGCGCGGCCCAGCGGCCGTCGGGGGGGGGGGGGGGGGGAGGGGGGGCGGCGCCGGCGAAGCCCGGCAGCGCCTTGAGGTCGGCAGGCGTCGCCGACTCGAGGTCGGGGGGCGGCTGCCACGACGGCTGCTCCTTCTTCGGGCTCCCGACGAAGGGGAGGAAACCGAGGAGGCCGCCCCCGTCGTCGCCGTCGCCGGCGTCGGAGACGTACACGTACAGCGCCTTGGAGCCGTCCACGTTGACCTTCGGCACGTCGTTGAACTGGGCGAGCACCGGCAGGTCGCGCCGCCGCCGGCCCCCGCCGACCTGGGCGAGGGACGCGTAGGTGTAGCCCATTGCCTCCGTGTTGAAGGTGTCGTCGCCGGTCCACTTGCCGCGCATGACCTCGCGCGAGTGGGCGTGGGAGTAGAACGGCTCGTACCTGTGTAGAGCCGGGGACGGGGTGAGGCGAGGGGGCGGCCGTGCGCTAGGGGGGGCGATGGCGAGCTGTGGTGCGGGTGGGCTCTCACCCGAGTGTCTGCCCCTTGGGGAAGCCGGCGGCGGTGCCCGCGCGGCGCGCGTTGCGGCGGAACTCCTTTTGCATCCTCGCGTGCCTGAGTTTGCATCAGGCGTGGATGAGTACGCACTCACGCGCCGGCGCGGGCGTGCCTCCGTGTGTGCCCGCGGACGGCGAGGAAGGACTCGTACACGCGGTCGACGTTGCAGTGGTGCAGCCAGAAGGTCACGTGGAAGGCGGCCGTCGGCACCGAGCCGACCATCTCTGTGCCCGGCTTCCTGCGGCCGAGGCTCCCCAGAGCCACGTGCGCCGACCCGTGCGGGGCCGCATCGAGGGCGAGGCTTGAGCCCCTAAGGAGTGATGCGCCGTCCTTGAATCCCTCTGGTCAGGCGAGGGGCGTCGAGGGCGAGAGGCTGGCGCTCTCCTGTGCTGGTGCTGAAGGAGGTACTTCCTCTGCGAGCCGGCAATGTCGTAGCCCCGGTGGCCGAGGTTCCACTCGAGCTCGCGGTCGAGCTCGTGGGTCCAGACCTGCGCAGTGGAGCGAGGCGAGACTGGAGGGGCGAAGTTAGGGGAGGGGGGGGGGGGGCGGCGCGCCATGGTTTTGTAGAACGGAGTGCCGTCGGGCTCGATCGCCTTGATCGGGTGGCCCCCGCGGGTGAGCGGGAGGAAGTCGTCCGGGAAGAGGCCCTGAGGGGAGGCGAGGGAGAGGTCGGCCCTCTCCACACGACGTGTGCTCCCACCCATGTGACAGACCTGCCCTTGCGAGCCAATCGTCTGTGCCATCAGCTTTTGCGCCAGCATGGGCAGCATCGTCTTGCCCTCCGGCTTGATCGACCAGTCCCAGTAGGGCAGGCCGATGTTGCCGTCTCCGCCGAGGTCGATGTCGGCGCAGCGCAGCGTCTGCTCAAAGTCGAGCATGTACACGCGGTGCCAGTTCGGGAAGCACTCGCCGCCATGGACGCAAAACGAGGGCTTTGGGTCGACCATCTTGGAGAGATAGGTCCATTCCCCCTCGGAGCCGCCGTGGATGAGCGCGAGCCGAAAGTATTGCGAGCTACCCGGCACGCCGTCCTCGCTCTCCATCATGCGCAGCCACGCCTTGACGATGCGGTCCTCCTCGGCTGAAGTCAGATCGTGAGCGCTCTTGCGCACCACCGCCCCGCTCAGCTCGCGCTCGTACCACTTTTTGGCGTGCTTCGTTGGGAAGGACCGCGACTTGGGGGGGGACGCTGGCGCGGGTGCAGCATTGGAGTCCGCATCCGGCACGGGCGCAACTTTGGAGTCCGGATCCGGGGGCTCAGGTTTAGAGCCGCAGCTTCCCATGGGGCTAAAGGGCGCGCCGCCGCCGCCGCGGAACAGCGCCTCCTTTGAAAAGGAAATCGCCGGCCGCCCTCCACAGACCCGATCCGTGGAAACGATAAGGAGACGATTCTTCACCTCCTCACTAGCTGGAGAGAGGAGAGTCGCCGAAAAGAAACACTCTGTGCCAAGACGCAACAAACAGGCTCCCGGCCCCAAATGATGTGTGTAGATATATTGGAGTTGTTTGGTATTGCTAAAAATCTCTCTCTCTCTAGACGCCCTCGAAAACACGCCTGCGTGGATCGCGTCACACCAATCCTCGCTACCCAACGCGGCCAAAGGATGTCCACCTCGAGAACCTCGAGAGAGACGCCCTCGCGCCGTTACTCCAAGCTGCATGGCTCTTTTCAAATGGAGCGCCAGAGGTTGAGGGGCAATTAGCTCATGACCACAGCGCCCCGCAGGCGCCTGTTGGATGGGTCCAGATGATAGCCCTGCTGCCCTGGGTGGGCAATGCATACGCCTAGTTAGGCCTCAGATCGCCCGACCGCGTCCCGGTGCTCTCGGTCGGATTTGTGTGACGCCGCCGCTCTCCGCCGCAGCCGGGGGCCCGCCGGAGGCCGAGGCGAATGGACGGACCGGGACGTAAGCGTCAATGTTGTAGAGAACGACCAGGTGCACAACATATCTCAATCTAGCTAAACCTGGGGCTATCCGTGGTAGGCGATGTCTGAGGCGATTCCAGGGACGTACATAGAACATACAGCAGCTTTTGACGCATGACGGTGTGCTTCGCCGGCATGCGTCCCCGGAGCGCGGCGGAGCCGGGCCACGCCACACGCCCACGGCGCCACGCACGTCGCACCACGGGCCACGACCCAGGACCCACACGCGTGGAGGTGGACACGTGCGCAACGCTGCGGCGCGATCGTCTCGAACTCGATCGTACGGCGTTGGTAGTACGGGGCGGCTACGCCTACGGCCTACCGGCGTTACGGGAGCTTCGTCCTTCGACCATCGACGTTCGAGAGCATCAACGATCGAGGATATCGTGAACCCTCACGAAAATCGTGTCCGCCCCTCTCAGTCAGAATGACACAGATCACAGTCTCCCACACTTCGAGACACAACCTTGCTCCTTGGTAACTTTTGGCTGGTGAAAAGTGGCTACGCAGCGCCATGATCGGTCCCGGAGCCACCCTCGTCTGCGCACGGACCGCCGGTCGCCGCGTTTGTCTCGACCATCGCCTCCACGTCCGGCGGCGGAGGCTCGGCCGCCGGCGCGGCGCCCGCGGCGTCGGTGCCGCGCGCCTCGTAGAAGCGCGCCGACCACGTGGGCGCCTCCTGCTGCAGCCCGTCCAGCCCGTGCGAGAGCCGGCCCTTGAGCGTGGAGAGCGAGGTGAGCGCAGAGACGGAAGTCGCGGCGTCATCGTCCTCCTCCTCCGATTCGGAAGACGACTCGCGGCCGCGCAGCGCCTGAGAGGGGAGATCTCCCGAGATCACCCGAGGTGGCCCGCGAGAGCGCTGGCGGTCGGACGAGAGTCTCGCGCAGCCTTGAGCTCCGGCGCGTGCGAGGCATGGTGCGAGGCATGGTGCGAGGCATGGTGCGAGGTCGCCTGCAGCAGCCCTCTGTCTGGTGAGCATGCCCGTGGGAGACTCGGGTGGCGGGGGGGCGGCGGGGGGGTGTCGAGGGGGGGGGGGGGGAGGGCAGAGGGCGGCGGCGATGGCCGCGTCGCTCGTTCACCGTGCGGCTCGAGAAGGTCGAGGCGGCGGGCGCGAGCTCGGAGCGGTCCTGCGGGAGGCGCGAGGGGGCACGCGAGGGCGTGCGACCGGAGCCGGAGCCGGGAGAGGCGGGCGGCGAAGAGAGATGGGCGGGAAGAGAAGAGATGGCCCGGGGAGAGAGGTCGGGAGAGATGGGGGAGAGAGCGAGAGAGATGGGCGGGAGAGAGATGGGCGAGAGGGAGATGGGCGAGAGTGTGGCGTTCGCCTGACTGTCGTCCGACATGTCCGAGCGTGTCTCCTCCCCCTGCAGCGCTCCGTCCACGGAGCCGCCCCTGCTCCCCCTGTGTGCGCAGTCCGAGGAGGCGAGCCGTCGTGATGCAAAGCCGTGAGGCCGTGAGCGCAGGTGAGTGGGTGGGACGCGGCTGGGAGAGGCAGCAGAGGGAGGCGAGGCAGCAGGACGAAGAGAGGCACGGCGGTGTGTCTGAGGAAGAAAGGCAGGGCGGCGTGGAGAGACGCAGCGGCCAGTCTACGAGGGAGAGAGAGAGAGAGAGAGAGGGAGAGAGCGAGGGAGAGCGAGGGAGAGAGAGGGAGAGAGAGAGGGAGAGCGAGGGAGAGGGAGAGGGGGAGAGAGAGGAAGAGAGAGGGAGAGGGGGAGAGAGAGAGAGGTGGAGGAAGAGGGAGAGGGAGAGGGAGAGGGAGAGGGAGAGGGAGAGGGAGAGGGAGAGGGAGAGGGAGAGGGAGAGAGAGAGGTGGAGGTGGAGGGAGAGGGAGAGGGAGAGGGAGAGGGAGGGGGAGGGGGGGAGAGTCGCACCACGAGCCAGAGGAGAGCTTCTCGTCGGCCTCGCGGGCCCAGCTGCTCCACGGCAAGCTCCTCCTCCTCGACGAGCCTCGCCGGAGGCTGCGCGACGGCACCCCTCCTCCTCTCAGCCGGTCGCAGAGCCGCCTGGCGGGGGAGAGAGCCTCGCGTCGCGCCAAACCCAGGACCCACCAGAGACACCCCCCACCACGCAGCCCCGCGGGGGCGGGCACACTAGGTGCATCGCTACGTGGCCAGTCAGTGGCGAGGCGTGGCACACGCAGCTCCTCTCCCCGCCTCTCCCCCCTCGTCTCTCGCCTCAGCTGCGTCAGGAGGGGAGGTGCGTCGCCGGACGTCCGCCGGGACACACCCGGAAGCAGCACCATCCGCCCCACCGCCCTGCCGCCCGCCTGCAAGCGTGAGAGGAGCAAGGCGGCGGCGGCGGCCACCCCAAGGCCTAGGGCGAGGAGGCTAGCGCCACCAACGGCGGCAGCGCCGTCGCCGCTGGGCGCGCCGTGGCCACCGCTCGCGCCTGTGTGGTCGCCAGGCGAGGGCTGCGTGTCGAGGCTGCGTGTGAGAGCGAGAGGGCTAACGGGCGCGAGTGGAGCTGTGTGGCGGAGGAGGGCAGGTGCAGGCACGAGAGAGGCGGCGGCCGGGGGGGGGGGGGGGGGGCAGTAGGCGGCAGGGGGCGAAGGGGAGGGCGGCAGTGCTAGCCATCACCAGGGACCGAGCAGGGAGGAGTGAGGGCAGCGGCAAGGGGAGCGGTGAGGGGAGGGGCAGCAGGGGAGAGGCCTCACCGCCGGCGTCCGTGCGAGCCGCCGAGAGCTCTACCGCGTGTGAGACGCTCCCAGGGTCGTTCCAGGGAGGAGGCTGGGGGCGGCCGCCGATCCACACCCGCTCGAGCCAGGGGAGGCCCGCCGCAGTCCGGTGCTCGATGTAGCGGACGGTGCTCGGCGTGGGCGGCGGCGGGGAAGGGGGTGGCGGTGGAGGTGAGGGTGGCGGAGGCGGCAGGCGTTGCGGCGGCGGCGGCGGCGGCTGTGGCGGTGGCTGTGGGGGCGGCGGCGGCGGATCCGGAGGCGCGCCGTCGAGGATCTGCCACGGGTGCAGCTGCCAGCCTGTCGATCCCAGCGGGGCGACACCAGGGGAGAGCCGCGGTGGCGGTGGCGCCTGAGACGCCTGAGCGCGCAGCGCCGCCTCGCGCGCGATTTCCTCTCTCTCGGTTTGCAAGCGGGCCGATAGCTCGTCCTGCGCGTCAGCCAGTGCAGCGGCCATAAATCTGACGCCGACGAAAAAAAGACCTTAGTCAGCGTGTGTGTGTGTGTGTGTGTGTGTGTGTGTGTGTGTGTGTGTGTGTGTGCCGTTCATGGAGGCAACCGATGCGAGTCGACTGGTGTGTGTCGTCGTGGTTTCGTATCAAGAATACTCACTCACACACACGGTAGGGAGCGGCATGGGGACCCCACCCAGCTGACCCCACCGGAGCCGGGGCAGGGAGACCGGGCGGAGGGGTCTTGATTGGTGACGCCGTCGCCAAGGGGGAGTATTTGTCGTCGCGTGTCCTTATCTGGTGTTTACTAGCTCCGAGTAGAGGGGGCGTTCTGCTGCTAGGGGAAACCTGGAGCGCGGTACTAACCCTCGGAGAACCGTGTTTACTTTACGGCCCTTTCCCTGCGAACGCGCACCCCCCAGGGCTAGGGCTTTCTTGCCCGCAACCCGATCCCGATCATCCGGCCCGCTGGGTGCGCTTCTTAGCTCCCCGGCCCTGGATGTGAGGCTACCGACCGCACTCCAAGTGCTCCAAGTGCTCCGTGGAACGCTGCAGTCCCCGCGAAAAACGACAAGACCAAGGCACGGGCAGAGGAGCGAGAGAAGAATACAGGGTTAAAGAGCCTGTTCACGGCATGGAGGGTGAGCCACGCTGAACGTACTGAACGTAGAGCCGAACGGGAGGAAGCCGAGGAAGACGAACCAGAGGAGGACGAAACACCTGTGGTAATCCCGTCGTCAGCTGTCACGATACACCTGAAGAGGGGACCCCAACGCCAACATCATCTGTGGAAGTACAAGTGCTGGAAGAGAGAGTAGACCTGAGCAACGATATGACTTGGCGGCAAATGATCGGAGTGGGCGTCAGAAGAGTCGTCCTTGCGCGAGGAGAGCTCGATAAACTCGAGGGGCCAGGATACGCCGCGAGGAGGGCAGAGTTACGCCGAGAGGCGAGAGCAAGGGTAAAAAGGAACAGGTCCCCGCCCTTGCGAATCCATCTCTCCTGGAGATGCCTGCTCTATTTATTAGATGTAGAGACGAACCGAAAAGTAGACCCAGGAAGTTCGCATACCTTCATGCATACCTTGTCATAAGTAAGAAGACTATCTCTCGCTCGCACAACAAACCCAGCAGCGCGCGCTTCACATCACACATCAGGGCGAGAAAAAGAGAAGCTCTCACATACACACTCAATCTGCCCCCTCGGACGCGTATTTAACGTGCACCTACAGATCTACTGCGCTCTACACTATCCTCTACACCCTCCCTCAGGCTACTCCACTCGCACTGGTGGGGCGTGACGATCTAAACTCCTGCGGCCTGGCAGCACACTCCAGGGTCCAGCAAGCAGCACACACACAGTAGGCGGAGGCGGAGCGGGGCCGGGCGCGCGGCGGCGGCGGCGGCGCTCGTTCTTTTGGCTTTCTCCCTTTTGAGAAAGCACTCCACACTCGCTCGTCTCGTGTGTCATGTTTGCAATGTTTTCCTCAACACGTCGTCACATCGTCACATGAGACTGACTCGGGTGGTGTCGTGACAATGCCGCCACCTCGACATCACACAGCTCACACGCTGGGTTAGACGTTGTCGAAGTAACGCATAAGGCTAAAGGCGGCATTGACGCAGACCGCGAGCGAGAGCGACGCCACGGCGACAGTCGTCCCGAACCGGTCTTCGAAGGAGGCTAGCGAGTCCTGCGCGGGGCGTGGGCGGCGGAGCAATGGTCGAGAACATGTGCTACAATCGCGCTCAAGGGCCCTGCGTGGCTCAGCCGTCCCTTGGCGGATGGAGGAGCGCACGCGTGCTCTCGGGCGGCGGCGGCCCTCTCTCCCCTCCCCTTCCTCCAACTCTCTCCCCTGATGGTGGCGCGCGGGTGACACGCCTTGGAGAGGGCCTCGATGTTGTTCGTGCGGCGGCGGTACTGCAGCCCTCCCCAGAGGGCGCAAAAGATGGAGGGGATGAGGAGGAGAGTGCCGGCCATCTTGATCTCCGGCTCGTACTGCCCCGCCGACAGCAGCCCGATGGAGAGGCCTCCCGACTTGATGCCCAGCATGACCCACTGGTTTGTCGTCCGCTCCGCCGAAAACTGAGTGGGGAGGTGAGAGAGTTGGGCGGGGCGGCGGGCAGGGCCGGGCGCGAAACGTCCGCGGGGCGGCCGTGGCGCGGTCGCTGCTCGCCTGCTTCTTGTAGTCGCCCTTGATTGCGACTGTGTCCGCCTCGTCATCGTCGTATGGGTCCGGGCCGACGTCCTCCGCCTCGAGAGGGCCCTCGTCCTCCTCGATCTGGTTCACGGCCATTGCGCGGCCGGCTCTCTAGCGGCTCTGCTCACACGCAACAACTGCTGCAGCGGGCCGACACGCTGGCGTCGCTAGCTGGCGTCGCTCTTGGGCCGTCGGCCTGGGTTCCAACTTTTTGCGGGGTATGGTATGGAACGGAGGGTAGGGGGGTGTATGGTCCTGACCGCCCAAGACTAGCCCTCGACAGGGGGAGGGGGGGTATGGTCCCTCGGCCTCTACTGCCGCCGCCGAGCCCGCAGCGCCATGAGGTAGGAGCACGCGCCCGTGTCGCGGAGCTGCTGCAGCTGCTCCATCCACACTCCACTCGCCGACACCCTTCTGGTTGCGGAGCGCCTCAATGTCGCGCGAATCAACATAGCCGTCGCTCAGAATGCTCGGCAAGATCTCGAACGCCAGCCGTCCAAGTTGGTTGACCTTGGTACTACAAGTCCCCCGAGATTGCGCGGCCGCTGGCGCAGCCGGCCAACCCGCTCGAGGCGACCACCGGCGAGGCGACCACCGGAGCGGGGGCACCCACCGGAGGGGCACCCGCCGGCACGGCGATGCCAATGGAGGACCTCGCCGGTGCGGTGGCCCGCGGGGCGGCCGGCGCGGCGGCCACCGGAGCCGCCCGCGCGGGGACGGCCAGCGCGGCGCCTGCTGGTGCAGGTGCGGGCCGGCGACCGGCGCGGATGCCGCGCCCGCCGCTCGCCAGGCGATTGCCAACTTCGCCGCCGCGCTCTTCTAGACGAGCACCGGCCGGTGCTGGCGTGGAAGACGGCGGCCATCCGCGCGTATCTAGTGTGCGTGTCGGTGTCTGCAGAATCCTGGAGCCTAGCAGTAAGGCGGCCGGCGGTGACAGGCCGCGGCGCATCGCTGGATTCACAGTGGATTCCGGAGTGTCTTCTTCTGGGGCGAGGGGGTGGGGTGGGGGGGGGGGGGTATGGCCCCGTCGGCGGGAGGCTGGGTCTGTCAGCAGGCGGGGGGTATGGTCTCGAGGTGGGGTTGCGCGATCGTACCATGCTCCATACCATACCCCGCAAAAAGTCCGAACCCTGGGCCGCGAATTTCCCCCCCCAGCATCACATGGGGCATTTTTGCACCCTCATGGTGGCCTGATTAGCACTCATCCTGGCCTCCAGCCAAGCCCTAATCGGGTCCTTTTATATCAGATCTGGGCCGAGTGAAGCCTGAGTGAGTGAGAGTAGGCACAACGATTACGCGCCAACCGCACCCGCTGGCTATCACCCTCTTGTTCAGCATGGACGACGTCTTTTGCACATCAAACGAGTATAGCCCCCACACGTCGAGATCTCAACCCAGCCGTTGCGCGCGCCTGCGGCTTCCAACCTGACGCTACATGCCCAAGAAGGGGGTGGAAGCGACGGTCATCCTCGCGGCCATCGACTGTGCGCTCGCCGAGACGCAGAAGACCAGCCCTTGGGTCCGGCTCACTCAAGCCCTGTGCTGTGACCTTCCAACGGGCGAGCGCAACTACGCGGTGGGAATGTGGGCAAAGCACCGGCGGCCGAACTCAACGGACGCCGATGTGCTGAGGCGGCGCGCGTTGCTCACCGCCACCCAGCGCGCCAGGGATTTCCATTTTGCCATTTTCACGAGCTCCGGACGGTGTAAGACGGCGGCTGATCGCACCCCGGAAAAAGTCCGAAGCGGGTGAAAACAATTTTGCCACGGGCGGCGTGGGGGCGGCGGGTGTGTGCGGGGTGGGTGTCTGTGTGTGTGTGTGTGGGGAGCCCTTGTTTGTTTGTGTTTGTTTCAGTCAGAAAACTAATAACCCCGAGGATATCCTTCGGAGTCGCACAGCGCTCGCAAACCCCGTCCGCCAGCAATCACCAAACCATTAAGCTAGGGGTAAAACGAAAAAGACGACACGACGAATTTGGGCCGTTCATCATCATCAACGTGCGTCCTCGTGCGACCCGCGTGGTCGACGGAGAGGAAATGGCTTCTCGCGTGTCCAAGGTGCTCATCGTACATACACACCCAGTGGTGACCCGCTACCCGTCCTTCACACGCGCCATGGCCGGTTCGATGGCTACCGGGCTCCGCAAGGCCGGCGTTGACGTTCGGCGAGTGGACCTGGATGAGGCAAGCAAATGGACCAGCCCTGCAATGACTCAGCGAGTCTGGCTGCCAAAACCGCACATTTTACGGTTTTCAGGCACGCTTCTCTCCGCTTCTAACGGAGGAGGAACGCCTGACGTACTTTAACGAGAACGAGCAGCCTCAGCTGACAGGTGTGCCCGTGCTCCCCAATCGCCCGACTTAGCTCTGTTGTGCGGAGTGCGTACCAAAATCCCAGGCGATCCTGTCGTCAAAGAGCTCGTGGATGGGCTGCGCTGGTGCGAAGGGCTCGCCCTCGCCTATCCGACATGGTGGTTTAACCTGCCAGCACGCATGAAGGGGTTCTTCGACCGATGCTTTGTGCCGGGCGTGGGGTTCAAGTACGACAAGGAGCTGGGAAGGAGGACTACCGGACTGCAAAACATCTCGCGCCTCGGGGTGGCGACGACGTATGGCTTCGACGAGCCCACTGTCAGCAAGGCGGGTGATGCGGGGCGGCTGATGCTCGAGGGTGGCATGACGATGCTGATGCACCCACAGGTGGTGACGCAATGGGACCCACTCTACTCTATGCAGGCCGAGGGTGGGGACGAGGCACGGGCTAAATTCCTTGTGGACCTCGAGGCCGCGTACGCAAAGTGGTAGAGGATGTGTCGATGTCACAGATCTCACCGGGCGAGAAGTGTTGAGCGCGACGCGAGGGAATGGGGGGGGGTGTCGGCCATCTCCACAAGGTGGCGCTGGCGGCTGGTTGAGGGTGTCTCGCACTTGTTCATCGATTTGCGAAAGCTCATCATCTGTCAGTGCCATCGGTGTCGGCGTCACCTCGCTTGCAGACCGGCGATGCGCATGCGCCCCCCCGCCTGGGCTGGGGAGGCCGAGTATCACGCTCGCAACCAGTGTGAGCAACATTATGTACGCCACGGTGAAGAGGAGTGCACGAGCATGCAGCCGGCCGCACAGCAACGAGGAGCTGAGCAGCCCAAAGTTGCCCAATTTCCCACAGCTAAAACACGGCGGCCGGCGGCGCTCACTTTTCGTAATAGGTTCGCAAGGAGGCCGCAATGAAGCGACATTATTAGCCCCCCGTGAAAGCTGATTCCACGACTTCTACATTAAGCGAGCGAGTCTCTCTCTCTCCGGGACGCATCGCGCGACCCGCCCGGCGACCCATCCATCGAGGGGACAGACAGCGCAGTCGGCCAGCGCCGGTTCTCAGCAAAGGGGATGAACGATGAACGGAAAGCTAGCGGGAATAGAAAAAAGCTTTCAAGTGCTTTTGGGCGATGGAGACAAAGAAACGTGGAAAGAGAAACTGCGTAAAATCGTTCATGGTCAAACCGCGCGGTCCTTGGCACGCGGATACCCCGGTGCCGCCGCGCCGCGGGCCCGCACCCAACCCAATGGACCTCCCACCAAAGCCCGGTGCGCGGCCACCCTCCCAGCGCTACGTCAAGGCGCGCCGCGACCAGGAGAAGGCGGTCAACCTGATCTCAGAAGCGGCCGCCAATGGCGCGTCAAGCTCGAGGGCCCGCGGTGACGCCGCTCGTGATCCGGGCCCGTGCGCTTCGCTTAAGGCGTGTTTTGGGAATCGCTGCTGTCTGAAGACATCGCCCTCCCCGCCGCCACAACCCAGCCCGGCACCAGCGCCCAGCCTGGCTCCACCCAGTCCAGCGCCCGAGCCACCCGAGCCAGCGCCCGCGCCTCAGCCGGCCCCAGCAAAGCCGCCAAAGAAGCTTCCGAAGCCCTCCACTTTGATCTCGGGCAAGTGGAAGGCGAACAAAAAGTGGTACGAGCGCGAGCTGAGCGGGGCGGTGGTGCGCAAGAGCGCTCACGATCTGACCCCAGCCGAGGAGGACCGCATCGTCAAGGCGTGGCTGCGCATGATGGAGAGCGAGGACGGCGTGCCGGGTAGCTCGCAATACTTTCGGCTCGCGCTCATCCACGGCGGCTCCGAGTGGGAATGGACCTATCTCTCCAAGATGGTCGACCCAAAGCCCTCGTTTTGCGTCCATGGCGACGAGTGCTTCCCGAACTGGCACCGCGTGTACATGCTCGACTTTGAGCAGACGCTGCGCTGCGCCGACATCGACCTCGGCGGAGACGGCAACATCGGCCTGCCCTACTGGGACTGGTCGATCAAGCCGGAGGGCAAGACGATGCTGCCCATGCTGGCGCAAAAGCTGATGGCACAGACGATTGGCTCGCAAGGGCAGGGCCTTTTCCCCGACGCCTTCCTGCCGCTGGACCGGCAAGGGGGGCAGCTACTGCCACGCGAGGCCGACGGCACTCCGTTCTACAAAACCACGCCTTGGTCCGACACCCTCGATGCGGAGCTGAGGCAGGCGCTGCATAGCGACTACCGGGTCGGCCACAAGCAAGACGACGTCCTTGATCTGGACGACCACCGACGTGCCGCCCTCGCCCTCGATGCGGCCCCGCATGGGTCGGTGCACGTCGCTCTGGGGAGCCTCGGCCACAGGAAGCCGGGCACAGAGATGGTCGGCTCGGTGCCGACGGCCGCCTTCCACCCGACCTTCTGGCTGCACCACTGCAACGTCGACCGCGTGTACGAGTCCTTCCTTGTGGAGCACGGGCACGACGCGATGAAGAGCCAGTTCGAGGCCAACGCCACCCGCCACCAGCAGATCGCGGCGGGCTTCCCGCGCGGCGAGTGGAACGAGTACGAGCCATTTTGGAGCGTCGAGGGCCACCGGAGAGTGATGCACAAGCGGTACTCCGGCAGCGACACCTTTGACTCCTCCAAGCTCGGGTACGTGTACTCAGCGATCTGCAAGCCCGGCGAGGGCCGCGGAGGGCCACGCCCGCGCGACCTTCCGATGCTGGCGACGTTTGTGGACGTGCCGAAGGTCAACGTGGACGGCTCCAAGGCGCTGTACGTGTACGTCTCCGACGCCGGCGACGGCGACGACGGGGGCGGCCTCCTCGGTTTCCTCCCCTTCGTCGGGAGCCCGAAGAAGGAGCAGCCGTCGTGGCAGCCGCCCCCCGACCTCGAGTCGGCGACGCCTGCCGACCTCAAGGCGCTGCCGGGCTTCGCCGGCGCCGCCCCCCCTCCCCCCCCCCCCCCCCCCCCGACGGCCGTTGGGCCGCGCCACCTGAGGCCACGGCGCGTCCTGTGTGCAGGCATCACGTCGCTCTTTGTCCTCCCGACGGAGGGCACCGTCCGCTGCGACAACTGCGTGCTCAACTCGCCAACCTGCTCGGCGGAGGTGGACGTGACGGAGGCGCTCAAGGAGGCGGGCATCCCTCGCGCGCGCGCGGTGCTGCACGCGCTCGCCTTCGACATCGCCACGCAGACCGCCATGACGCTCGAGCAGGCGGGCGTGCCGCCGCCCGAGCTGAGCTCGCCGACCCCGGTCTTCTCGTTCCAGGGCGGCCCTGGCTCCGAGCTTGCATGCGAGAGCGTTGGGGTGCTCGACTATTGGGGCCTAGCTTTTCTTTTCAACTAAGGAGGAACAGATTGGAACAGATTAAACATTAAAGCGTGCGGTGTGGGTGTGTCTCTCTCGGGGGGCGATATCTCTCTCCCGCGCGGGCGGCAAAAACGGAAAGAGCTAAGAGGCGCCCCCCGATCCGAGCGAGCGGAGCACTTGGAGCACTTCCACTCTTGCGTGTGGGATGACGCTGACGCCGACCGTAGTACCATTGCAGCTACTGGAGACGCACCGGGGGCGTAGGGGGTAGCGTAGGCGCTATGCCTGCAGGTGTGCAGTGGGGTAGGGGGTAACGAGTAGCGCTACCCGGGTACCCGCCACCACAGGTACGGGGGAGGTACCCACCAAAAAAGTCCCAACCTGGGTTCCGGCTGTTTGCGGGGTGGGGTAGGGTGGGGTCGGGGGATCTGTGCAGACCCCTTACCCCCCTACCCCACGGCACACATGCAGGCATAGCGCCTACCCCCCTACCCCCCTACTCACAGGTCTCCAGATTGCTGTAACGCGGTAGTTTCGTCGGACAGCGTCAGCCGTCACCTCACGCCCCGCCGCCCCTCCGCGCGCCCGCGCACCCCCTACCCCCAGGTGCCTCCAGAAGCCGTAACGTCACCTCACGCTGCCCCTCCGCGCGCCCGCCGCCCGCGTCTCATGCAGCGGACAGGTCTCCGCCGTCGGTCGTTGTGGATTCGGGCCGAGAACCAGCTCAGAGAGGCGGGAATGGCTGGGGCGTGGGGGGGCCACCCCCTACCCCCCTACCCCTGCGGCGGCAGAGCCGCCGGCCGCCCACGCCCCTACCCTCCGCTCTACCCCAAATCCGTTCACCCTACCCTACCCCGCAAACTGCCGGAACCCTGTATGGTTGCGCTGAGTGTGCTCACCATGGCAGCTCCCACGGTGATGGGTATGAAACTCGGGCCCGCGCCGTCGCCCGACCTGCGCTACGTCTCGCCGCCAGCCTCGGACGCTGCCAACGCAATCGCTCGCCCCGCGATTTATCCGGTGCCAGTCCCGCAAATTTTCACCCACGCCTCTCCTTCGCATGCACCCACAAAGAGAACTAATGACGTACATAGGTGACTCTCTTCCCCGAGATTGCGCCGCACAAGGAGGGCATGCTCGACGTCGGCGACGGCCACAAGCTTTACTATGACGTGTCTGGCAACCCGGACGGCGTTCCAGCCATTTTTCTGCACGGTGGCCCGGGCGCTGGCTGCTCTCCGCGCTGCCGCCGCTTTTTCGACCCGCAGCATTACCGGATCGTCATTCTCGACCAGCGAGGCTCGGGCAAATCGACTCCCAACGCGGCTGACGACCTCGAGGTTGGCTGAACGGCTGACCCTACCTCGCCACCAGCCCCTCGCCCCTCACAAGCCTCGTCAGACGCCCTTGGCCTGCTCGGCCTCCAGGGCTCGCTGGTGGAGAACAACACGCCGGCGCTGGTGAGCGACATCGAGGCGCTGCGATCGCACCTCGGAATTGAGAAGTGAGATCTCGCCGAGATCTCCCATCTCCCGGGATCTCGCCGCGATCTCGCTCGCGCCTCGGGATCAAGAGATGAGGTCGGCCGAGCCACACACACGCATCGCCCACCGGTGAGGGGGGAGCCCCGTAGGTGGGGCCTCGTTCTCGGAGGGTCGTGGGGGTCGACCCTCGCCCTCGCGTACGCCCAGGCAGATCTAGCGGAGAGAGAGAGAGATCCAGCGGAGAGAGAGAGAGAGAGAGAGAGAGAGAGAGAGAAAGAGAGAGAGAGAGAGAGAGAGAGAGAGAGAGAGAGAGAGAGAGAGAGAGAGAGAGAGAGAGAGAGAGAGAGAGAGAGAGAGAGAGAGAGAGAGAGAGAGAGAGAGAGAGAGAGAGAGAGAGAGAGAGAGAGAGAGAGAGAGAGAGAGAGAGAGAGAGAGAGAGAGAGAGAGAGAGCCGGGCTGACGTCGCCGACCGCGCTGCCCTCACCGCCCCTCCCCTCCACCGCCCTCCCCTCCGCCACCCTCCCCGCTCAGGCGCACCCGGACCGCTGCGAGGCGCTGCTGCTGCGCGGCGCCTCTCTGGCTGGCCCCGCCGCTGCCTAGTACGAGCGGGGGTGAGGTCAGCGGTCCTCGCGTGCTGACTAGGCGTCTTCCTGTTCGGCCCCGACGAGGTGCAGTACCTGTTCACCGAGGGAGGCACCTACGGGCAGAACCCGCAGGAGAGTACCAGAGGGAGAGGGGGGGGGGGGAGGGGGGTTGCCTCGCAGAGAGGGGGAGGGAGGGAGACGGCCCCTGTATGGGGAGGCGGGAGGGGCGCCAAGAAGCGTCGCGGCGGGCCGTTGCCCCAAGCCCTCTTTGCCCAAGCCCTCTCCGTCTCCCGCCCAGCGTCCCGATGCCCTGCCGCTCCCTCTGGCTGCGCGCAGGCGTGGGAGGAGTACAGGCGCTTCATCAGCGAGACGTCCGACGACTGGGCGCGCGAGTCGACCAACCTGCTCGGTGCGGTGCCCGTAGATGCGGAGGCCGCACCCCCTCGCCTCAGAGCAGCCACACGGCAGCGGCACCCCCCGTGAGCTCGCTAACACGCGTCGAGGCTTGCAGCCGCCGTGAGGCGCGCCGCCACCGCCTCCGCCGCTCCCGCAGGAGCCTACTGGCAGCGACTCACTGGCGAAGACCTTGAGATGCGCAAGGCGGCGGCCGCCGCCTTCGTGGGGTGCGGCCGAGATGTGGCCGAGATGCAGCCGAGATGCAGCCGAGATGTAGCCTCTCTCCTCCCTGCCGCCACATTCGGCTCTGCCGCGGCTCTCAACGGCGGCTGCCACATGCAGTACCGGCACGGCAGTCCGAGGGGGGGCTGGGCGAGCCTTGATCACGATCTCACCGCGATCTCGCGCCCAGGTACGAGCTCTCCATCAGCAAGACGTTCATCGACCCGGCCGTGCTGGCAGAGTACCTGGGCACGCCCTCCATCCTCATCCCCTTCGCGGTGATGGAGGCGCGCCACGGCTGCCCGAGATCCACACGGAGACTGCCCGACGGCAGCAGAGAAGACCAACCGAGGTGATTCGAGACTGGCAAGCGACACGTCCGCGACACGTCCACGACACGTCCCTCAGGTGCACTATATGCTGCACGGCGGCTTCCTCCGCCGCGGGCAGCTCCTCGACGGCGTCGGAGTCATGGCGGCGCACGGCCACCGCGTCGCCATCGCCCACGGGCGCGGCGACTACGTGTGCCAGCCGCAGGCGGCCTGGAGGCTGAGCGAGGCGCTGCGCGCGGCGGGCTGCGCGGACGTCGAGCTCGAGTTCGTCGCCGGCGCTGGACACAGCGACTCGGAGCCGGGCTTAGTCGACGCGATGGTGCGCGCGACGGAGCGCTTCAAGGCGGTGCTGCAGGCCTGACCTTCGCTATCTCTAGTGCGTGCCGCTCGCTGCGCCTCCACGCCGGTCTCTAGCTTCTACAGTGTACACCTCGCCCTTGGGCCAGGTACCAATTTTGTCGAATTTATTTCAAAATCTGCAGGCGCGGAGCGCCTGCGAAAATTTTGAAAAGAATTGCAGTCGGGCCTGATTTTCATCAAGATCTCTCAAATTTGCGGTGTGGAGAGTTGGGGGGTGGGTTAGGTTAGGGTTATTAGGGTTAGAGGGTTAGGGTTAGGGTTAGGGTTAGGGTTAGGGTCAGGCTCAGGGTTAGTCTTGTTGTGATCAAGTTGTGTCTGTATATGCCAGCGTTGCAGGGTTGCGCTGGGATCTGGCCCCAGCGCCGACGAGTAAGACTCAGCTCCGCACGCTGACCCCACCAAATGCCGCCTCAGGGCGCCAGGCCGCCAGGCCTCTGAGAGCCCTGGTCTGGGACATCCTATATTTCGAAGAATGCCATCCGGAATATAGGGTCTAGGTCTGAGACCGAGACGATCTTGAGAGAGAGATTTTTGAAGACCAACAAGAAATCACGACTCTCACAGTGATTTGGGCTCGGCAGCTTGTTAGCCCTCAGCCGAAGCTGGGGCCGGTCCCGTAGCCGAGAGAGCCCGCGCCGATGAGTTCGACGCGGTCGGGGGGCCTTGCGGAGAGGCCAGCGAGGTGGCGATCGCTGTACTTCATGGGGGTCATCAAGTGACCGCGACTGACAAGCCAGAGGTCGATACTCTGGACGACCCATAGGATGCCACGAATGCCTGAAGGAGAGGGAGGCGAGGCCAGAGGCAGGCTCAGCTGCTCTCGGGTGATCTCGCTTTGGTGGCTGAAGGACCCGATGGCCCTGTCACATTCGCGTTCCGAGTCGTGGGGGTAGAAGAATTCGAGGTAGAATCGAGTCAGCACTTCCTTGTAGTACAGCGGACCGCCAGGCTCGCCGGCAGCATCCGCAGGGAGGCAGCATATGAGGCACCAGTCTTCTGGAGAGCTCAACAGCTGCGGCCGCGATGGCGGAGTCGGCCGCGGTTCGAGCGAGCAGCTTTTTGGCTGCGGGATCGAATCGCGGAAGGCTCATGCCCTCGCGGAGCGACGCGGGTCGCGCGGCGCGCGCGTGTGCGAAATGCGACAACAGACGACAGAGGACTGAGCCGTGAGCGCTGTACGACTGCACTTTTGTCGCCGCAATCGCCACCGCCGCCATCTTGACGAGCAGCGCGAGCGCGCTCGTCGGCGGCCAGCCGTCGCGGGCCGGGCCGAGCCCGGCCTCAACCGGCCGCGCCGCCGCAGCAGGCCCGGAGGCCCACATGGCGGCCGACCAGCTGATAAGGATCTTGATGAGGCCGTTGGCCGGCACGATGCCGACCTTCACTATCGTCTCTTTCTCTGGCATGATGATGATCGAATTTTCTCGCACCACACTCGGACGAAAGACCCCAGATTGGCATGCCTTTCTTTCACTTTCTGGACAGGGTGGCCCGCCACAACGACCCCTGGAATTGCGACTCGGTGCAAGCGATCTCGGGTAACCTGGGCAATCTCCCTCGCTCGGCTGATTACTGCGACAGCTGTTTCCCCTTGTGCGCGTGTGCGTCGTTGATACATTGTGTGCGCGGAGCCGATCAGCCCTCACGCCCATGCCTGTCTCACGTGCGGGCAGGGGGAGGGACCGGGAGATGGGCGGAGAGATGGGCCCAGGTAGGAGGCTCCACGCCACCTGACTCGCGTCGTGCCACCTGACTCTCGCCTGGAGAGGCCTCTTAGCCGAGGCACACGTGGCAATCGCCACGTGCGCCAACAGGGATTTCGGCCATTTTAGAGCCTTTTGCACAAAAATGCAGGTGGCTTTAGCCACTTGCTCCATGAGCAAAACAGTGCAAAAAGCACCTGGAGCAGATGGCTTACGCCGCCTGTGGACATGGGCAAAACAGTGCAAAAAGCACCTGGAGCAGATGGCTTACGCCGCCTGTGGACATGGGCAAAACAGTGCAAAAAGCACCTGGAGCAGACGGCTTACGCCGCCTGTGGCCATGGGCAAAACAGTGCAAAAAGCACCTGGAGTAGATTCCAAACGCCGCCTGTGGCCATGTGATGCGCTCGGGTGGCGCCAAGGGCTTCGGCCCCCTCCAAGCCACCTGCCCCGCCCCCCTCGCCACACGTGGAGGGCTGGAGCACGTGCGCCACCTGGGCCTGGGCAGGTGGCTCCAGGTGGCTTCAGCCCCCTCCAAGCCACCTGCCCCCCCTCCCTCGCCACACGAGGAGGGCTGGAGCACGTGCGCCACCTGGGCCTGGGCAGGTGGCTCCAGGTGGCTTCGGCCCCTCCAAGCCACCTGCCCCGCCCCCCTCGCCACACGTGGAGGGCTGGAGCACGTGCGCCACCTGGGCCCGATGGGTGGGCAGGTGGCGCCAGGTGGCTTCGGCCCCTCCAAGCCACCTGCATGCCCCCCCTCGCCACACCTGGAGGGCCGGAGCACGTGCGCCACCTGGCGCAAGTTTGAATTCGGAAACGGAAAATCCGAGCCACGGAAGGGCTGGCCTGCCAAACGCGAGCCTCCCCGCTCCTCCCCGCGCTGCAAACTGGGACTGTGGGGTGTGTGAAAGAGGGCCTGCGGCGGTCATCGGCGGCTACAATCAATGTCCGGCGTCGACATAAGCCTGGGGCTTCAACCCGGCCCGCGCGGGCGTTTGGTGTGGCTGCAAACGCCGCAGGAGCCGGTGGCTGCGCTGCTCACGCGCCGTTGCTGCCGACGCTGAGCAGTCTGACTCGCCAATGAGAAGACTGCCCGATAATACGCCATCACTCGATCCCCGATAAACCAGGCCATGCAGAGCTTTGTCGGCCTCGCCGACCGTCGTGTGCTGGCTGCGCGGTAGAGTTGCGAGAGTGGATTGTGGAGGCGCGGCGGGGGCAGCTCGTGGTGCCGAGGCGGTGTATAGTACATTCCTATTCAAAAGAACACGCACGATGAAATTCCCGAAGTGACGCCCAGGTGGCGCACGTGCTCCAGCCCTCCAGGTGTGGCGAGGGGGGGCATGCAGGTGGCTTAGAGGGGCCGAAGCCACCTGGAGCCACCTGCCCGGGCCCAGGTGGCGCACGTGCTCCAGCCCTCCAGGCAGGTGTGGCGAGGGGTGCAGGTGGCTTGGAGGGGGGCGAAGCCACCTGGCGCCACCCGAGCGGTCACATGGCCACAGGCGGCGTTTGGAATCTACTCCAGGTGCTTTTTGCACTGTTTGCCCATGGCCACAGGCGGCGTAAGCCATCTGCTCCAGGTGCTTTTTGCACTGTTTTGCCCATGTCCACAGGCGGCGTAAGCCATCTGCTCCAGGTGCTTTTTGCACTGTTTTGTCCATGTCCACAGGCGGCGTAAGCCATCTGCTCCAGGTGCTTTTTGGACTGTTTTGCTCATGGAGCAAGTGGCTAAAGCCACCTGCATTTTGTGCAAAAAGCTGCAAAGGACTCGTGGAGGCACGTGGCGCTTTCCGCGTGTGTCTCGTGCAAAATCCGGCATTTTGTGGCTTTCAGGTGGCACGACGCGATTCAGGTGGCGTGGAGCCTCCTACCTGGGCCCATCTATGGATGGGCGGGCCGCGTGTGATATTGCGCAGTGGAGAGAAGTCAGCGGAAGTGTCAGCGGCAGCCGTGCGGTACGCGAGATAGCGGGGCTCTTCCGCGGGGGGCGCTCCTCGTCCACCTTTGTGTGTCCGTGGAGACGTTTTACCTTTACCTTTTACCTGAGCTTGTCCTTCGTCCTCTCGCACACACACACACACACACACACACACACACACACACACACACACACACACACACACACACACACACACACACACACACACACACACACACACACACACATGCACAGACACACAGCCCCTTCCCCTCCCCCCTCAAGGGCGAGGACACGCACAGGCCGCACCTCTAGTGAGGCCCGCATAGTATGTGGGAGACTCGTGCCGCCGCCCCTGCCACCCCTGTGTCAGTGTGCCTGTGGTAGGAGAGACTGCCAGCGACAAGCTGGAGGCAGGTCGCTAGACTGAGATGAGACCGCCAGTGGATGTGGGAGTCCACCGCGCACCGCGCTGCGAGCCTGTCGTGTCCCTTGTCAGGAGCAGGAGAGCCCCACCTGTCCCCCTGATCGTCCTTCCAAAATCCTGCTCGTGCAGGTGGGGACCCTGTCCTCGTCCCATCCCTCGTTTTTGGCGTGTATGTTTTCTTTCTTTTTTTTGTCCTCTCGCAAAGTCTCGACGTAAGTTCGCGGCGGTTTTCTTCTTTCTGGCCAGATGAGCGGCGCCCTCCTCCCAACCCGCCTCGCCGACCTGGCTCGGGGCGACCTGGCCTGGCTGCGCGCCTTCCTCTCCGGGCAGGGAACGCACGGCACGTCGCTCGCGGCCCAGCTCGACGCGCGGCACGACACCGAGAAGCAGGACACGCTGCTCACCTGGGCCGCTCGGCACGGGCAGGCCGAGGCGGCGCGGCTGCTGCTCGAGGGCGGCGCGAGCGTCGGGGCGACGACTGTTGACGGCGCTTCCGCGCTGTATATTGCGTGCCAGGAGGGGCAGATTGAGTGCGCCCGGCTGCTCCTCGAGGCTGGCGCGGCGGTCAACCAAGCGGATTCTGAAGGCCGCACGCCGCTGTACGTCGCGAGCGAGGATGGCCACCTCGAGTGCGCCCGCCTGCTCCTCGAGGCTGGCGCGGCGGTGGCTCATGCAGACGCTGAGGGCTGCACGCCGCTGAACGTCGCGTGCCAGAACGGCCACCTCGAGATCGCCCGGCTGCTGCGCGACGCTGACGCGGCGGTCAACCAAGCGACGAACTGCGGTACCACGCCGCTGTTCATGGCGTGCCAGGAGGGCCACCCCGAGTGCGTCCGGCTGCTTCTCGAGGCTGGCGCGGCGGTGGCTAATGCAGACGCTAAAGGCCGCACGCCGCTGATTGTCGCGTGCTACAAGGCCCACCTCGAGATCGTCCGGCTGCTCCTCGAGGCTGGCGCGGCGGTCAACCAAACTGCTGACGGAGGCTTCTCGCCGCTGCTCATCGCGAGCCAGGAGGGCCAACCCGAGTGCGTTCGGCTGCTCCTCGAGGCTGGCGCGGCGATCGACCAGGCCGATGAGCAAGGCGCCACGCCGCTGTTCGCGGCGTGCGAGGACGGCCACCTCGAGATCGCCCGGCTGCTGCGCGACGCTGGCGCTGGCATCAACCAAGCGATGAACTGCGGTACCACGCCGCTGTTCATAGCGAGCCAGGAGGGCCACGTCGAGTGCGCGCAGCTGCTCCTCGAGGCTGGCGCGGCGATCAACCAAGCCAAGCAGGGCGGCGCCACGCCGCTGTTCATCGCGTGCCAGGACGGCCAAGTCGAGTGCGTCCAGCTGTTGCGCGACGCTGGCGCGGCGGTCAACCAAGCCGATGAGGCGGGTACCACGCCGCTGCTCATGGCGTGCATGAATGGCCACCCTGAGTGCGCCCGGCTGCTCCTCGAGGCTGGCGCGGCGATTGAGCAGGCCATGGACGACGGCTGCACGCCGCTGTTCGCCGCGTGCCATAACAACCACCGCGAAATCGCCCGGCTGCTCCTCGAGGCTGGCGCTGTGGTCAACCAAGCCCGCAACGACGGTTCCACGCCGCTGTTCGCTGCGTGCCAGAACGGCCACTTCGAGATCGCCCAGCTGCTGCGCGACGCTGGCGCTGACATCAACCAAGCGATGAACGGCGGCGCCACGCCGCTGCTCGTTGCGTGCCAGAACGGCCACTTCGAGATCGCCCAGCTGCTGCGCGACGCTGGCGCTGACATCAACCAAGCGATGAACGGCGGCGGCACGCCGCTGCTCGCTGCGTGCCAGAACGGCCACTTCGAGATCGCCCAGCTGCTGCGCGACGCTGGCGCTGACATCAACCAAGCGATGAACGGCGGCGCCACGCCGCTGCTCGTTGCGTGCCAGAACGGCCACTTCGAGATCGCCCAGCTGCTGCGCGACGCTGGCGCTGACATCAACCAAGCGATGAACGGCGGCGGCACGCCGCTGCTCGCTGCGTGCCAGAACGGCCAGCTCGAATGCGTTCGGCTACTCCTCGACGCTGGCGCGGCGATCGACCAGGCCGATGAGGCTGGCACCACGCCGCTGTTCGCGGCGTGCCAGAACGGCCACTTCGAGGTCGCCAAGCTCCTCTCCTCCTACGGCGCCTCCCGCGCCGCTACGCCCTTCGGCACGCCCGAGGAGGTTGCAAACCGCCAAGGCCATGCCGACCTCGCCGCCTGGCTGGTCGCCAGCCGCGGCTGGACGCCGCTCGCGCACCTTGAGACCCTCACTGCCGCCCGCGCCACCTCCCTCCTGCGCAGCGGCGCAAGCTTGCACGAGGGCGAGCCGACGCCGCTGCGGCGCGCCGCGGGCGGCGCGGGCGAGGCGGCGGCGCTGATCCGGCGGGCGGCGGCGCCGTGGTCGCCGGCAAGCCACTCGCTCTTCCCCGCGCCGGCGCGCGCGCGGGCGGCGCTCCTCGTCCTCTCGATCTACGAGATCCACGAGCGGTACCACCTCGACTCGGCAGGAGCCACGAACGGCATCGCGGCGCTCGACTTTGGCCACTGCGTCTTGGGCTTCGCCATCACGCGCGAGACGCAGTAGGGGAGTTGCGTGGCTTCGCGCCCTTACGCTCGCGGCCGACGGCGCTGTCTTTGAGGTTGCGCGCACCGTGCTGCTACACGCGGTGGCGAGCGAGGTAGAGCGTAGAGTGCGAGGACGCACGACGGGACACATACTACCGCGCGGCTCCGTCGAGCTCGTCCCTCGGCAAGCTCGAGCTGCTGGCGCTGCAATGTTGGTGCTGGCTGCGTCGCATCCCCCTCGACAGCGTTGGCGGGCGGCGGGACGTGTGTCGGTGTGCGACCAGTTCCATCGTCCCTAGAAAAAAAAACCGGACCACACCACCACACGCGGAAATAAAAGGATCCGGCGCCGGCCTCAAGCCGAGCAGCTGTGAGAGGACTCTTTGGAGTGGCACTTGCCACTTGGAGCACTTGGAGTGCAGTCGCGCCAGCCACCTCTTACACGCGGCCGGCGCCCTCTCGCGGCAAAAGGGTCGAGCGAGCGGGCAGAGTCGCGATGTCCCTGCGCACCTGGGTGTATTCGAACCTGGTTTGTGGAGCTCCCACAGTGCACAGATGTTCTGACAGAGACCTGGCCGTTCTGACAGCGTTCTGACAGCGTTCTGACAGTGTTCTGACAGCCGTTCTGACAGCTTTCCGACGGTAATTTACAGTTAAGACTCACCATCTGGTCTGAGTAAAGGAGAGCGATATCACAGTGTCGGTTACAGCAGAAAGATTCCTAATTCTCTCCACTACAAAAAAGTCTGGTGGGGAACCGACAAGCGACATCATGGCCCCGAATGCCGTGCTCTCTAGGTAATCTGTGGGAGCTCCACAAACCAGGTTTTCGCCGCCTATATGCTCTATCCTGTGCCAAGACGGACACGTTTTGACAATCAAAATCTACCTCAAAATTTGCGGCCGCCCCTCGAAATTTGCTGATCAAAATTTGCGGTGGCCCGGATCGAAACCTGTACTTTGGTCAACCTCGCCCCGGCTACTGCATGCTGGAGAGCACATATGCCTTGTGCGAGAACGCGACGGTTGCATACATCTTACATGCCTTCTAGGGGAGATAGGGGCAGTGGTGCGGTGGCGGTAGCGGGGAAGCGCGGCGGCGGGGCCTGCAAACACCAAACCCTTTAACTTATCAAGTTTTCATGTTAAATTTGTTAGCACACATGACAGCCGTTGACACACGATTCACATAGACAATCTCATACACAATACACAGTCTTGGGACAAATGTGAAATGACGCAATAATCATTATTCAATACGAAAAGGTCAAATCTCAAAAAAAAAGAACACTGAACACCGGTGCACAAAGATCGCGCACGGGCGGGGACCTGTTCCTCTTTACCCATCTCCTAGTAGAGGTGAGCGTCTTATTTATTTATTTACATATTCATACAGTCTGCGCGGAGACACCGGAGAGCCGTACGATTTTCACACACCCGTGCTGACCCCGATCCCCGCGTGCTGACCCCCGTTAGCCGTTTGACCCCCCGGAACCCGCGACCGCGCCGTGCGCTATGACAATTCATCTTATTGTGCGCGAGACAGCACGGACTTCTTGCGTCCTGCCGCGCCAAAGAGCCCGGTGGCGCGGCGACGGCTCGGCGTCGCACCGGCGGCGTCCTCGCGCGGCGTCTTGGCTTTGGCCGCGGTGAGCTCCTCGACCTGCGCCTGCAGTTCTCGAATCTTCGCGCCCTGCCGCATCAGCTCGGCGCGCAGCGCCTGTGGGCAACGCGTCACGCTGTGGACATGGCGCGGGCATTGGTGTGGGCGGGGTTGCAGAGGGCGCAGAGGCATGTCCCGGATCGGTGTGCTGGTCAGTGGTGCGTGTGTGCTGCGCCTCCTTCTCCGGGTTGTCGACGCCGCCCTGCAGCGCGTTTTCCGCCGTGCAGCGCACCTTCCACGCCTCGCCTACACACGGCCGGCACAAGCGGACGGGTCGGGCCCGCGGGACGGCCGCGCACGGGTGGAAGCACGCACGCACCGCCGCTGCCGGGCAAGCTGTACGACCAGCGACCGCCCCCCATCCCCTTGGGTGCACAAGGCGACTCGGGCAACCGCCCGACGAGCGAGAGAAAGAAGCGTCCCACCGCGCCCTCCGAGGGCGCAGGCGCGCGTTCGTCGTCGGTGGCCGCCGCCTCGGCCTCTTGTGCCGCCGGAGTGGTCGGCGCAGGCGGGCGTTCGTCGTCCGGCGGCGCCTCCGCGGGCGATGGCGGAGGAGGCTGGTCCGTCAGAGACGCCTCGGACGTCACGGAGTGGCGCCAGCTCGGGGACGGAAGCGCCTGCGCCAGGTTCTCCAGCCAGGAGCGCTGCACGGCCTGGGGTGTGGGCGAGGTGAGGCCGCCGGCCGGCGCCGCAGCCGCGGCCGGCGAAAACACCTCCGTCTCCGCCAGCCAGGTCCGCTGCACGGCCTGGGGCGTGGGCGAGGCTCCTTGCCAGGCTCCACCGAGGATGCCCTTGCCAGGCTCCACCGAGGAACTCTCGCGAGGCGAGTTGGCCGAGGCCGAGCTGAGCGGCGAGAGCGGCGTGCGGCTGTCCACGAGAGTTTCGGGAGGAGCGGTGATCGGAGGCGGTAGGCCTGTCGAGTTCTTCCTGCTGAGCGTGTAGCGGCGGTGGAGCCGGTCGAGGTCAACCATGACCGTAATGCTTCAGCGTCAGGCCTGTGCCTCAATTCGAATGGGGCTAGGGTTCACATAAACGCACACAATTCCGGACCCAAGACGCACAAGCACAGACACGGGTGACTCGAGTATGGTAGGGGTGCGAAGTGGTGGTTTAGGTTTGTTGTTAACAAGTGAAGACACAGAGCTCACACAGAATCACAGCGGGAGGAAAGCGAGTCGCAATTCCTGGGGTCCTTCTGGCGGGCCACCCTGTCCAGAAAGGCATGGCCATGGGTGGTGGTGGGCAGGTGGGGGGGGGGGGGGGGTATGAAGACTCGCTCCCTCCCTCTACTGCCGCCACCGAGCGGCCCGAGCAGGAGCCTTCGCCAGGTCGTGTGAAGAGCACACATGCTGTAGTGAGTGAGTGGTCCCGGGCCCTGCGGGAACTAAGTCGACGCAAGTTAGTCTGTGAGCTGGACGAGATCTAGTGGTGCGCCGAGGCGGGTCAAGTGGTGAAGTGCTCCCGGGAGTCGTGGTCGGAGGCCGGGACACTACGCGCACTAACTTAGTGCGCGGAAGTGAGTGCCTCCGGCCGGCCGCGAGGGGAGTGGTCCGGCGGGCCGCTCGTAGTGCCCTTCGCCGGCGGACGGAGGCGGGCTCGGCTACTACGCGCACTAACTTAGTGCGCGGAAGTGAGTGCCTCCGGCCGGCCGCGAGGGGAGTGGTCCGGCGGGCCGCTCGTAGTGCCCTTCGCCGGCGGACGGAGGCGGGCTCGGCTACTACTAGCGCACTAACTTAGTGCGCGGAAGTGAGTGCCTCCCGCCCACCCCGCGCACTAAGTTGGTGCGTGTAGTGAGTGGGCCGCCGGCGAGCGGGCTAGTGGGTGAGTGCCTCCCGCCCACCCCGCGCACTAAGTTGGTGCGCGTAGTGAGTGGGCCGCCGGCGAGCGGGCTAGTGGGTGAGTGCTTCCCGCCACCCCGCGCACTAAGTTGGTGCGCGTAGTGAGTGGGCCGCCGGCGAGCGGGCTAGTGGGTGAGTGCTTCCCGCCACCCCGCGCACTAAGATAGTGCGCGTAGTGAGTGGGCCGCCGGCGAGCGGGCGAGTGCCTCCCGCCACCCCGCACACTAAGATAGTGCGCGTAGTGGGTGGGCCGCCTTCTAGTGGTCGGCGAGGCCGTGGCCAGTGCCCCGGCCCTGCGGCGCCGCCTAGTGAGTGAGTGCTCGCCGACCCTCCCCACACTAAGTCGGCATGCGTGCTGTGTTTTTTAGTTGGCGAAGGCTCCTGGCCCGAGCGCCATGAGGTAGGCGCACGCCTGCACGCGCTTGTGTCGCGGAGCTGCTGCAGCTGGCTGCGCCACTCGCCGACACCCTTCTGGTTGGCGCCTCAATGTCGCCCCGGGCTGCCCCGGGGGCATGCGGATTTTCTTCTTTACGACCTTGACATTGGTCAAGCTCTGGCGAGTAGAGACCACGCCTGCATTCACAGCACAAGCCCTCGCCGGGGGCTCGAGCATGCGCAGCGAAAAGCAATACCCCCTGTGAAAAAGTGAGGCGTGCTGTACTCGCCAGGGTCATGCTAGCGGCGCTGTTGCTCCTCTCTGCCCACGCCGCCGCGTCCAGCGGCCGGGAGGAGCATCCCCTCGCCAAGTCGATCTCCACCGCCGTCCACGCGACGGGCGCCAGGCTTGAGGGGCTCTCGGCTCGCACGTCGCACGCGCTCGCGCACTCCTTCTCCTCGGCGAGCGAGGCGGCGGGAAGCGCGCTCCACGAGCTGCAGCACACGCTGCGCGAAGGGCTTCCCCATATCCTCGACAAGCCCACCCGCGTGCTGCCTGAGAAGCATGCGCCGCACCCCGCAAAGCCCCTGCCCAACGCGCCCTCGAACCTGACGCGCGGCGGCGGGGTGCCGCACCGCCACGCGCCTTCGCCGCCGCACCGCCACGCGCCGCCGCCGCCGCACCGCCACGCGCCGCCGCCGCCGCATCGCCAGCACCGCCATGCGCCCCCCTTCGTCGCCAAAGCGCAGCCGCCGCCGCCGCCGCTGCCGCCGCCGAGGCCAAACGCCTCCCGCGGCGCGCCGCCGCCGCCGCCGCCGCCGCTGCCGTCGCCGCCGCCACATATGGCCACTCGCAACGGCTACTTCGCCTCTTTCTCGGGGGCCGGCGCTGATGCTGCCGCCGCTACCGCCCCCACGCAGCGCGCCTGAGCCCTCGAGCCTGAGGCTGAGCCCGCGGCGCGGGAGGGGGCGGGCGGGGGCTAGAGGGCGGGGGGGGCGAGCGGCAATGCGCTCAGTCAGTGGTGTTTAGTTGGTGCACATATCGCAGGCAGCTCGCAGCGGCGCAGATAGCTATAGGGCGTTTTCTGCTTCTCATTATTGTAGGTCGTCGTAACACAGATTGGCGCACAGTCTCCGCACATAAGTGAAAGTGTGTCAAGAGATGAGTCAAGTGTCTCTCTCGAGCGGTGGTCTCTCTCTCAGATCGTCGTCTCGGGTCTCACACCGTGTATGCGTCGGGGCGTGAGGGGCGTGGGGGGCGCGAGTGCCGCGTGCGGGCCGCGCCGCCGCGCCGGCTCGGCAATGCAGATCGATGTAGGCATGGCGCATGCCATGCGCCGGCATGCGGTGAGTCGGTTTAACAGGGAGACAACAGACATGTGCCGCGGTCGCCTCGCGCGCGCTCCGCCGCCGACGCGCGCAACAGAATAACGTAAACCACGGAGACTGATGCATCTCCTCTGAGAGGCTCATGTCGCAGCTAGCGCACGCTGTCGCCGCCGCTGCAGCCAGCGCCCCGCCGGCCCATCGTCACACGAGTCCTCCTCCGCCGGCGCGAAGAAGCTCCAGCCTTTCGCCTGCGCACGCGTCCGCTGCCCGCCGCCGCCGTCTGCCGAGTCGGCGGGGCGGGGGGGGAGCGCCGGCCGCGGCACCGCCCGCGGGCGAGCCGCATCGCCGGCCTCGAGCGGCCGGGCGGGGTCGAGGGCCTGGAGGTGCGAGGAGGCAAGGGGGGGGGGGGGGTGGGGCG